AAGGATTTTTCATGACCTTTGATGACATCCCCACTGTTCTTTGATAGGTTTTTCCATGGCAAAATAAGCTTTAAATGGGGATTGAATCGGCCAGAACAAGGAGATTGTAAGGGGAAACCTAAGCAACAGTGGGTATTTAAACAGCAATCATTTGGTAGAATGATGGGTAGAATAATCGCACATATTGACTAACGGAAACTCCATCGAGGTATCCCATCAGGAGACTGACAGTTCTTCTGTTTGTTTTTCGTGAATAAAAATATACAGAAATTGGCTTAGCCAGTGAGAATTGCAATTGCAGAGGCGCTGATGGACCTAGAGATACATCGTCAGCCCGTCAGGGTTCCAAAAACTGAGTGTCCATGTACTTGAAATCACTGGGCCAAGAAATACATAAATCATAGCATAAGTACAATGATTGCTCCGTTGAATAATCAACAATATATAAACAATAGATATCAACAAATTCATTTGGCCAATATGACTATCCATGAATCAGTGGTCCATTGAAATACCACGAACAAAAAACAAAACAATATCAGTATATAAAAGAAACAAAATGCTTGATGTTCTTGTGCCTGCAAAACGGCTTACATTTTATTGACGTACCATAAAACGGCTAATGTCTGATGTTTTTTTGGAACTCTGGCTGTGTGGGGTCAAATCTTGGCCACCAGACTGACCTTTAAAAATGCTGGAGCAACACACAAAACGCTCCTGATGCCAATGACCTAATTCAGTTGCGGCGATGAGTTGTCTTTGAACCTTTGGCTTCTGGGCCATCTGGGAGTGAGTTGGGGCTGTCAAATTTGAAAGCCCCAAATCCAATGGTGTTGCATATGTGTTTCCCATTTGATACCATAGTTTGACACATCAAGAAAGTCAGGCACAAACACATGCTGGAATTTCCGCTTTCAACATTGATCTGTGGGTGGATTGAAGCCCTACATTTCTTCCTCATTCTGCTGGCATCTGATGGAGTTTTGAGGGGTGGATCTGATGGAGTTTCCCGGACCTGGATCAAAGACACCAATGGATTTCATATTGCTTGGAGGCACCAATGTGGGACTGTTGAAGATGGAAAATATGAAGATGGGGGCAACTAAGATCACCCCATGACTCTGGAAAAAAATCTGACCAGGATATGTTTGCTCTTCAATGTTGACACGTACCAATATCCGGATAATCTAAAATGGACGTGCATTTTCCCACCAAATTGGTATCATTTTTTGTGTTTCTGTGTTGCTACATCATGTTTAGTTAGGATCCTGCAGACAGATCACCCTCGAAGAAATCTAGATATTTGACCTCCAGCCGCAAGAAATGTGATGTGGATTCACTGGTCATACTTCTTGAGGGGGTCCATATCAAATGTGGGCTGCTTGGCCAAAATCCATTCAGATTTCCATCTGGGTTTTTGTTAAGTCATGTCCCTTTATATACCAGTTATAAGTACATTCACAAGTCACCCCATAGAAATAGAATGTATCTCATCCCATGGTTTTATAACCAGTTATTTCACCATCATTAATCACTATTAGCCACTATTATTATATAACCATGATTAAGCACTATTGATCACCAATAATCACCATTAATAACCAGTTATTTCACAAGTTTTCTAACCAATAAATGACCATAACTGCGCTGCATTGATCTCCCACTGCGCTGTGCCAGCGTCAAACTTTTACTTCGCCGTATTGTCACGCAGCCACCTGGCCTGGCGCTCAAAGCGGCTAGCACCAGGGCACGGTGCCTGGGGTGGAAGCAAAATGCCAACGTTGAAGAAAGCGCGTTCTCAATGGGATGGGCAAGGATGAGGCATCACGGAAAATTGGTGGCTGTATGTGGGTTTTATAACCGAATGCACAGCTGATGTAACTGGCAAACCAGATGCAATCCAGTATTTTAAAGTAAACCCATGGCTTGAGGCAGGGATGAGATGAGCACCAATTGTTGGCATAAGACCAAATCCTCTAAATGCTTTATATATATCTGTATGCCCTGAGTCAGACAAGTTTGTAGGACGCGTATGGAATGGACATTGGCAGATCGCATGGGTACTTGTGCTGGTGGCCTCAACAATTGATCGAAGTTCCAAAAGCAGCAAGAAGGGAATATCATGTTAGCCAATCAGCCCAGCCTAATGGGTCATGGAGATAGAAACATATAGAAACTAACGACAATTAGTGATTTGGGTATGGGTCCCATGGGTCATGGTTGATCAACGCCATCATCCCTTCGGACACATTTTGTGGAACTGCAGCTCCGCGTTGCGGCGCTGTGTTTTTTTCCAGCTGCCCGCTATGGTAATTTCACATAGCCGTAGAACATCACCATGTGACCATGTTTCATCGTTTTTTTTCGAGAAATCATTCATAAATGGGCCATTTTCCAAAGCAAACTATGCAAACTGTGCAATAACCGGAGGCTATTTCTGGCAAAACATGCCATACAGTGTGGCTTGTCTCCATCTCAGGGAGCCACATAGTGTGATAGGAGATGGGCATTTTATAAGTTGAAATTAAGATTATCTTCGGTAATCAAGCGTGGCAATGGACAATCCCATACAATCCCTATATGAATGGTGCAATCCCCTATATATAAATGGAGGTTTCAATAATCTTAATGGGAAAATCATCTATAAATGGAGGAGTTTCCATTGCCATGTTTGATTACCAGAGGGTATCATTTCGGGATATGTACTGTTTTGGGACAACCCCCATGCCACAGGGATACGTGTCCAAATTAAGATAGAGTATGAATACAAAACATTACCAAAATTTGTCTTGGGAGTTCATACGACGCATAAACAATTGCATACCACTTAGATGATGGCAAGGAAGGTGCAGAACAACGATAGGATAGAGTTTGCTTTGCCTATAGATTCTGAAGGGGGGGTGCAGTGCAGTGAAATTGGGAACCCTATCGCTTTTTTTGCCCGACTTTAGCGACTCCTTGATTTGAGAACCCATCTAACATCAGAATCAAAATGGCTGTCTATATTTCACCTTCGTTTCTGAGCCCCTATTCAAGTGACATTGTTGTTTACGGCTTTCCTCGTTGTATCTTGTGGGCTCCAAGAAAAGGCCATTTTTTGGGCCCTAATATTGCACTCCTCGGCACAGCCCCTAAGTGGATCTACTGCCATGCAGGGTGTATATCCCAACTTGTTGAGGTTTTTATGTGATAAAACCTGCCGTAGACCATCCCCAATAGAGGTTCATTACTAGGCATACCCCTATGACTGGGATGATGTAGTTGGTCTATGGGATTCAATGTTTCCCCACATGAACATCTGGGGTGTTCGGAGCAACCTTGGGAAGCTAGGCACTGGTGACTATAGGTGTCAAACATACTCTAATACGCCTCACGGTTCTCCAGAGTTTTTTTGGAGAAAGTTCGGATATGGGGATTTCCTAAAATAGGGGTACCCGCAAATTAACAATTTTAATAATTAGGATTTTCTATGAAATAGTCCGCCCCCGTTTATGGAAACCCCATATAGCCGCTGTTCTGTGAGAATTTGATGATTCGGCTGCTTGAGGTGGGACCTTAGCAACCCAGATGCATGCACCACGCCGTTCCACGCCGTTCCATGGCAGGATGATGTTGATTCATTGTTTTCGAAGCTTTGAAACTAGCTTGTTAATTACTTCTTAGAGAACGGAGACAGTAGGATGGCTATGTGCCTGAAAAGTAAGCTTGGGGCTGGAGACGCGTGGATGTCAAATATGATATGAATCTGTTTTATCATCAGCATATCGGATTCTTGGACAGTCAAACTTCATTTTCGATGCTTGTTTTTTTGTGTTTATCATCAAGGGGTATGGATTACACAAACTGATTGTTTATATGATTTTTTTTCAGTAATTTAAGTAGTTTCCCTTTTTAAGGAGTTGAGTCACTTCGGAGGAATTTCATTTTTCATGTGTTTGTTTGTTTCACTGACTCACCTCCATTCATATTTGACGATCCCTTTCGTCAAAGCTGCACCACACCTGGCTTGGGATTTGACGATCTCTGGCACGGTCCTAGCCATGACGTCACCCAGGTGAGCAAGATAAGTACTTGGAGGATCATCTTACTTAGTTACTGGTTAGTAGCCTTATGTGTAATTATATAATATAATATATATATATATTATGGAACAAGATCGTGCAAGTATTCCCCAAACAAACTGCAAATGACCAAATCCAAAAGGCTTTGAACCCATTGGTGCTAGCCAAGAAACTATATTGTATATCATATATGGATATCCTACACCCAAGAGACCTTGCTGATCCTTAATTTCCTTTAGACGGGGGTATCTCATTGCTCCTGTGCAGTTCTTGACAGTCGTCCCTAGTGATCTTGGTCCTGAAGCCGTCCATGAGGACTTTTGGCTGCAGCGGATATGATCCAGCTTGGAATGGTGGTAGAGGCAAGCATTGCTGGCGGCTGGGGCGATCGTTTCTTTCTTTGGCTTTCACCTCCTCGATCCTTTTTTTTGAATATGAAAAGGAATGCATAGTTCTTCTTGAGTCATTCATACCTTATTTGTGCCAATCGTAAAAGTGCTGCATGATTCAAAGTGCCCCGAGCATTGCGAATTTGCTGCACCTGAGCACGACTTCAAGACATAAGACCGTCCGATGGCCATTTGTTTGCTGACTTCAAACTCTGTCCACCCATACTTAGACCCTCCAAGTACCCACAAGAACAGGTAAAAGTCCCAAATTATGGGTAGATTTCCCAATTTAGGAAGCTTGGTGCCAAATCGCAGGTTGGAATTGACATCTCGTGGGCTACGGCTGGATAGTAGGAGGATGGCAAATATCATGATTTTAAAGCCACAATAGGGGGACGGTTACCCACAAGTTGAGAGGGATTATATTAATGGTATATAATATCCATGGCCAGTATCTCCTTTGACAAGTGCTGGTTTCCCTTACCAATTATTATTTCTGTTTGCAGTTTTCAAAGTCAAGTCGCCTCAAGAGTTTCGACCGGTTTCGGACATGGCGTCGACTACAGCATCGAAGACACCGATAACGGCTGCCTGGATGCCGAAGGAGATGATGTCAGAAGACAGCGAAGTTTTGATGGCCGTGTCTCGACTTGTTGCACGAGTTCTCTTTGAACCAGCGCCCAAGACCAGTGCAGGCGTTGCTGCAATGGTGGAGGTCTTGAAGCCCAAGCTGTATCAGCACTTTGGGGATAGTCAGAGTTCCAATGGACTACTCCTTCTTCGGGATGAACAGTCTCAGTTAGCAGGGATGGCAGGCGTTGTTGTCGCGAAGTTGCCGGGATTCCAGGATGAGGTGCCGCGGGTTTGCTACTTGGTCATTGATCCTCGTCTCCATGGCCAAGGCTTCGGCTCAATGCTGATGCGCCAATGCGAGGATTGGGCGGCAGCCCGTGGTCACAGAGCAATTTGGCTGTTCGTCTTGAGACACAAGGAGCGCTTGTGCCAATGGTATTCCAAGATGGGCTATCAAACTGTGGATGAGCACCGCACTGCAACGGTGCCGGTATCAGGCCAGGGCAAGATGGAAGGCACGGTGCAGATGCTGGGACGGGAGGTCACTTTGAAGAGGAAACCTCTTTGAGTCAATCTTTTTGTGCATTTTATGCGCATTTGATGAAGATCATTCTGAGACTCTGAGATCATTCAAATTCGTTCATTTTAACGTCTGGAGCACTACCGAAGGGATTGTATCGACTATTTTGGACAGTCTTAGCTGCCGCGGATTTTGGCTAGCTGTCAAGCTGTACAGACATACAGGAACCCTTTCACTCTTCGACCCTTCTTTGTGCGGCTGCATGGACAGCCTCTGCAGTGACCATTGGCAAGCTGTTGTGATCGTGGGTTGTTTAGTCTTGGCACGCTTGCCTATACTCCACTGCCTAGTAGTCTTGACTTCACGCAGGACAAAAGGAGTTGTGTGTTGCGTGCTTTCCAGTGAACATGCGAACATGAAGTATAGAAACATAGATTTGTTGGGGAAAGTTGCTCCACGCTTGTCCAACTGAAACAGAAGAAAGGTGTGCCGCAAAGCCGTCAGTCCGTTTGTTACTGTCGAGGTCCGTTTGTGCAAGCGGAAATCAAATGATTTTCTAGGTTCTTGGGGGTCCGAGACACTTCCAAGTAGAGATTGGGAATCAAGATTCTCCGGAGCACAGGTGCAGTTGCCATCTGGTTTCCTCCGGCTCACAGAAGAGGCTGCTGCTCAAATTCTGGGTATCAAAGTGTTGGGAGGATGCGGTGTGGTGTCAATATTATGTAATACACAAACCAGTCATGGAAAAATACAAGAACTGATCAAATTGTGCACACATTAAATGTGTGAATTAAGATTACTGTAACAAAAAACATAAGATGAAACAGTTCATCACATAATTTAGAAGGCTTTTTGTTAGGGTTGTGGGAAAAATCAAAACAAAAATTGGAGGATGCTGAGGATGGTGGTCTAATTACAACACAGCCCTTTGAAGGTCTTTAATAATTGGGTGAGTTGACATGAACATCACCATCACCATCCATCACCAGGATGATCCGAGTGAATTGGCTCCCATCATTCCCCTTCATTAGGTTGGAATAGTTGGAATAGGACGATGACAGTACATGCGGTCTAGTGCATTGTATTCACGTTATTCACGTGTCTTTCTTTTGTGAGCGCCTGAGCGCCTGAGCGTAGGGTGTTTTTTCAAAAAAAAGTTGAAATCATACGTGTTCATTACATCTTCACATCTTCTCATCTTCTCATCTTCACATCTTCACTTCTTCACATCTTCACATCTTCACATCTTCACATCTTCACAGCTTCACATCTTACATTTCTCCCACTGCGCTGTGCCAACGTCAAACTTTTACTTCGCCGTATTGTCACGCAGCCACCTGGCCTGGCGCTCAAAGCGACTAGCACCGGGGCACGGTGCCTGGGGTGGAAGCAAAATGCCAACGTTGAAGAAAGCGCGTTCTCAATGGGATGGGCAAGGATGAGGCATCACGGAAAATTGGTGGTTGTATGTGGGTTTTATAACCGAATGCACAGCTGATGTAACTGGCAAACCAGATGCAATCCAGTATTTTAAAGTAAACCCATGGCTTGAGGCAGGGATGAGATGAGCACCAATTGTTGGCATAAGACCAAATCCTCTAAATGCTTTATATATATATATATATATCTGTATGCCCTGAGTCAGACAAGTTTGTAGGACGCGTATGTAATGGACATTGGCAGATCGCATGGGTACTTGTGCTGGTGGCCTCAACAATTGATCGAAGTTCCAAAAGCAGCAAGAAGGGAATATCATGTTAGCCAATCAGCCAAGCCTAATGGGTCATGGAGATAGATACATATAGAAACTAACGACAATTAGTGATTTGGGTATGGGTCCCATGGGTCATAGTTGATCAACGCCATCATCCCTTCGGACACATTTTGTGGAACTGCAGCTCCGCGTTGCGGCGCTGTGTTTTTTTCCAGCTGCCCGCTATGGTAATTTCACATAGCCGTAGAACATCACCATGTGACCATGTTTCATCGTTTTTTTCGAGAAATCATTCATAAATGTGCCATTTTCCAAAGCAAACTATGCAAACTGTGCAATAACCGGAGGCTATTTCTGGCAAAACATGCCATACAGTGTGGCTTGTCTCCATCTCAGGGAGCCACATAGTGTGATAGGAGATGGGCATTTTATAAGTTGAAATTAAGATTACCCTTCGGTAATCAAGCGTGGCAATGGACAATCCCATACAATCCCTATATGAATGGTGCAATCCCCTATATATAAATGGAGGTTTCAATAATCTTAATGGGAAAATCATCTATAAATGGAGGAGTTTCCATTGCCATGTTTGATTACCAGAGGGTATCATTTCGGGATATGTCCTGTTTTGGGACAACCCCCATGCCACAGGGATACGTGTCCAAATTAAGATAGAATATGAATACAAAACATTACCAAAATTTGTCTTGGGAGTTCATACGACGCATAAACAATTGCATACCACTTAGATGATGGCAAGGAAGGTCCGGAACAACGATAGGATAGAGTTTGCTTTGCCTATAGATTCTGAAGGGGGGGTGCAGTGCAGTGAAATTGGGAACCCTATCGCTTTTTTTGCCCGACTTTAGCGACTCCTTGATTTGAGAACCCATCTAACATCAGAATCAAAATGGCTGTCTATATTTCACCTTCGTTTCTGAGCCCCTATTGAAGTGACATTGTTGTTCAAGGCTTTCCTCGTTGTATCTTGTGGGCTCCAAGAAAAGGCCATTTTTTGGGCCCTAATTATTGCACTCCTCGGCACAGCCCCTAAGTGGATCTACTGCCATGCAGGGTGTATATCCCAACTTGTTGAGGTTTTTATGTGATAAAACCTGCCGTAGACCATCCCCAATAGAGGTTCGTTACTGGGCATACCCCTATGACTGGGATGATGTAGTTGGTCTATGGGATGGTTTGTTATTGATTTTACCACAAAAAACTGCGTAGAAACTTCAAAAAAATCGCATCTTGATGGATAGATGTCACCATAGTTATGGGATGTTATGGGGCTATATGCCAAGGTATAGGGGTGAACATACCATAGTTATCCCCTAGGTTTTTCACCCCAACGTGCCCAAGACCTCGCCCTTCGGCCGAGGCGCCGAGCCGGATGGAGAAGCAACGTATCTGCCGGGATCCACGAGATCTGCGGCCGTTGCCGCAACGAATCAGAGCCATGTGGGTTTTTTTACCGTAGGGAAGTGAGATGACCCCCCAAAAAATGTGAAAATTCGTAGAATAATACCCACGATAATGAGAACAATAATGAAATGAACATAATCATGGGAAACAAATGGAACAAGAACGGAATGACAGTTATAAGTTATAAGGATTGAGATAAAGCTAGCAATCATACCCTCTGGATCCTTCTGGTAATTCGTTAGAGTTTGCTATGGAAGCCATGGACCATGACTAGATGTTTTACCAACATGTTGTTTTATTGTTGGCATAGCTACGCGAAATTACCCGATGATAGTTTCTGTTGAAAATCAGGTGTGCTCCAACCTGTTACAAGTAAAGCGAATGGTTGGTGGGGAAAAGGCTGACTTTACCCCTTGCCTTTACTTATTCAATGTTTCCCCACATGAACATGTGGGGTGTTCGGAGCAACCTTGGGAAGCTAGGCACTGGTGACTATATAGGTGTCAAACATACTCTAATACGCCTCACGGTTCTCCAGAGTTTTTTTGGAGAAAGTTCGGATATGGGGATTTCCATGGATTTCCTAAAATGGGGGTACCCGCAAATTAACAATTTTAATAATTAGGATTTTCTATGAAATAGTCCGCCCCCGTTTATGGAAACCCCATATAGCCGCTGTTCTGTGAAAATTTGATGATTCGGCTGCTTGAGGTGGGACCTTAGCAACCCAGATGCATGGACCACGCCGTTCCAGCTGCAGGTTGGCCTTTTTTGCTGCCAGCTGTATGGGTGGTTTCTTCCAAGATGGAGCCCATGGAAGGATGATGTTGATTCATTGTTTTCGAAGCAGGGAAACTAGCTTTTTAATTACTTCTTAGAGAACGGAGACAGTAGGATGGCTATGTGCCTGAAATGTAAGCTTGGGGCTGGAGACGCGTGGATGTCAAATATGATATGATTTTTGTTTATCACCAGCAGATCGGATTCTTGGACATTCAAACTTCGTTTTTGATGCTTGCCTTTTTTCTGTTTATCATCATGGGATATGGATTACACAAAATGATTGTTTATATGAGTATTATTTTCGTTCTCAGTCTCAGTAATTTAAGTAGTTTCCCTTTTTAAGGAGCTGAGTCACTTCGGAGGAATTTCATTTTTCATGTGTTTGTTTGTTTCACTGACTCAACTCCATTCATATTTGACGATCCCTTTCGTCAAAGCTGCACCGCACCTGGCTTGGGATTTGACGATCTCTGGCACAGTCCTAGCCATGACGTCACCCAGATGAGCAAGATAAGTACTTGGAGGATCATCTTACTTAGTTACTGGTTAGTAGCCTTATGTGTAATTATATAGTATATATAATATTATATATATAATATATATATATAATATATATATTATGGAACAAGATCGTGCAAGTATTCCCCAAACAAACTGCAAATGACCAAATCCAAAAGGCTTTGAACCCATTGGTGCTAGCCAAGAAACTATATTGTATATCATATATGGATATCCTACACCCAAGAGACCTTGCTGATCCTTAATTTCCTTTAGACGGGGGTATCTCATTGCTCCTGCGCAGTTCTTGACAGTCGTCCCTAGTGATCTTGGTCCTGAAGCCGTCCATGAGGACTTTTGGCTGCAGCGGATATGATCCAGCTTGGAATGGTGGTAGAGGCAAGCATTGCTGGCGGCTGGGGCGATCGTTTCTTTCTTTGGCTTTCACCGCCTCGATCCTTTTTTTTCTTATTGGCTTCCTTGTTGGGAAGCAGGAACTGACATTGAATATGAAAAGGAATGCATAGTTCTTCTTGATTCATATTCATACCTTATTTGTGCCAATCGTAAAAGTGCTGCATGATTCAAAGTGCCCCGAGCATTGCGAATTCGCTGCACCTGAGCACGACTTCAAGACATAAGACCGTCCGATGGCCATTTGTTTGCTGACTTCAAAATCTGTCCACCCATACTTAGACCCTCCAAGTACCCACAAGAACAGGTAAAAGTCCCAAATTATGGGTAGATTTTCCAATTTAGGAAGCTTGGTGCCAAATCGCAGGTTGAAATTGACGTCTCGTGGGCTACGGCTGGATAGTAGGAGGATGGCAAATATCATGATTTTAAAGCCACAATAGGGGGACGGTTACCCACAAGTTGAGAGGGATGATATTAATGGTATTTAATATCCATGGCATATCTCCTTTGACAAGTGCTGGCTTCCCTTGCCAAATATTAATTATTTATGTTTGCAGTTTTCAAAGTCAAGTCGCCTCAAGAGTTTCGACCGGTTTCGGCCGACATGGAGTCGACTACAGCATCGATGACACCGATGACGGCTGCCTGGATGCCGAAGGAGATGATGTCAGAAGACAGCGAAGTTTTGATGGCCGTGTCTCGACTTGTTGCACGAGTTCTCAGTGAACCAACGCCCAAGACCAGTGCAGGCGTTGCTGCAATGGTGGAGGTCTTGAAGCCCAAGCTGTATCAGCACTTTGGGGATAGTCAGAGTTCCAATGGACTACTCCTGCTTCGGGATGAACAGTTTCAGTTAGCAGGGATGGCAGGCGTTGTTGTCGAGAAGTTGCCGGGATTCCAGGATGAGGTGCCGCGGGTTTGCTACTTGGTCATTGATCCTCGTCTCCATGGCCAAGGCTTCGGCTCAATGCTGGTGCGCCAATGCGAGGATTGGGCGGCAGCCCGTGGTCACAGAGCAATTTGGCTGTTCGTCTTTAGACACAAGGAGCGCTTGTGCCAATGGTATTCCAAGATGGGCTATCAAACTGTGACGCACCTCACCATTACGGTGCCGGTATCAGGCCAGGGCGAGATGGAAGGCACGGTGCAGATGCTGGGACGGGAGGTCACTTTGAAGAGGAAACCTCTTTGAGTCAATCTTTTTGTGCATTTTATGTGCATTTGATGGAGATCATTCTGAGACTCTGAGATCATTCAAATTCGTTCATTTGAACGTCTGGAGCACTACCGAAGGGATTGTATCGACTATTTTGGACAGTCTTAGCTGCCGAGGATTTTGGCTAGCTGTCAAGCTGTACAGACATACAGGAACCCTTTCACTCTTCGACCCTTCTTTGTGCGACTGCATGGACAGCCTCTGCAGTGACGAACAAAAGGAGTTGTGTGTTGCGTGCTTTCCAGTGAACATGCGAACATGAAGTATAGAAACATAGATTTTTTGGGGAAAGTTGTTCCACGCTTGTCCAACTGAAACAGAAGAAAGGTGTGCAGCAAAGCCGTCAGTCCGTTTGTTACTGTCGAGGTCCGTTTGTGCAAGCGGAAATCAAATGATTTTCTAGGTTCTTGGAGGGTCCGAGACACTTCCAAGTAGAGATTGGGAACTCTTAAGATTCTCCGGAGCACAGGTGCAGTTGCCATCTGGTTTCCTCCGGCTCACAGAAGAGGCTGCTGCTCAAATTCTGGGTATCAAAGTGTTGGGAGGATGCGGTGTGGTGTCAATATTATGTAATACACAAACCAGTCATGGAAAAATACAAGAACTGATCAAATTGTGCACACATTAAATGTGTGAATTAAGATTACTGTAACAAAAAACATAAGATGAAACAGTTCATCACATAATTTAGAAGGCTTTTTGTTAGGGTTGTGGGAAAAATCAAAACAAAAATTGGAGGATGCTGAGGATGGTGGTCTAATTACAACACAGCCCTTTGAAGGTCTTTAATAATTGGGTGAGTTGACATGAACATCACCATCACCATCCATCACCAGGATGATCCGAGTGAATTGGCTCCCATCATTCCCCTTCATTAGGTTGGAATAGTTGGAATAGGACGATGACAGTACATGCGGTCTAGTGCATTGTATTCACGTTATTCACGTGTCTTTCTTTTGTGAGCGCCTGAGCGCCTGAGCGTAGGGTGTTTTTTCAAAAAAAAGTTGAAATCATACGTGTTCATTACATCTTCACATCTTCTCATCTTCTCATTTTCACATCTTCACTTCTTCACATCTTCACATCTTCACATCTTCACATCTTACATTTCTCCCACTGCGCTGTGCCAACGTCCAAATTAAGATAGAATATGAATACAAAACATTACCAAAATTTGTCTTGGGAGTTCATACGACGCATAAACAATTGCATACCACTTAGATGATGGCAAGGAAGGTCCGGAACAACGATAGGATAGAGTTTGCTTTGCCTATAGATTCTGAAGGGGGGGTGCAGTGCAGTGAAATTGGGAACCCTATCGCTTTTTTTGCCCGACTTTAGCGACTCCTTGATTTGAGAACCCATCTAACATCAGAATCAAAATGGCTGTCTATATTTCACCTTCGTTTCTGAGCCCCTATTGAAGTGACATTGTTGTTCAAGGCTTTCCTCGTTGTATCTTGTGGGCTCCAAGAAAAGGCCATTTTTTGGGCCCTAATTATTGCACTCCTCGGCACAGCCCCTAAGTGGATCTACTGCCATGCAGGGTGTATATCCCAACTTGTTGAGGTTTTTATGTGATAAAATTTGCCGTAGACCATCCCCAATAGAGGTTCGTTACTGGGCATACCCCTATGACTGGGATGATGTAGTTGGTCTATGGGATGGTTTGTTATTGATTTTACCACAAAAAACTGCGTAGAAACTTCAAAAAAATCGCATCTTGATGGATAGATGTCACCATAGTTATGGGATGTTATGGGGCTATATGCCAAGGTATAGGGGTGAACATACCATAGTTATCCCCTAGGTTTTTCACCCCAACGTGCCCAAGACCTCGCCCTTCGGCCGAGGCGCCGAGCCGGATGGAGAAGCAACGTATCTGCCGGGATCCACGAGATCTGCGGCCGTTGCCGCAACGAATCAGAGCCATGTGGGTTTTTTTACCGTAGGGAAGTGAGATGACCCCCCAAAAAATGTGAAAATTCGTAGAATAATACCCACGATAATGAGAACAATAATGAAATGAACATAATCATGGGAAACAAATGGAACAAGAACGGAATGACAGTTATAAGTTATAAGGATTGAGATAAAGCTAGCAATCATACCCTCTGGATCCTTCTGGTAATTCGTTAGAGTTTGCTATGGAAGCCATGGACCATGACTAGATGTTTTACCAACATGTTGTTTTATTGTTGGCATAGCTACGCGAAATTACCCGATGATAGTTTCTGTTGAAAATCAGGTGTGCTCCAACCTGTTATAAGTAAAGCGAATGGTTGGTGGGGAAAAGGCTGACTTTACCCCTTGCCTTTACTTATTCAATGTTTCCCCACATGAACATGTGGGGTGTTCGGAGCAACCTTGGGAAGCTAGGCACTGGTGACTATATAGGTGTCAAACATACTCTAATACGCCTCACGGTTCTCCAGAGTTTTTTTGGAGAAAGTTCGGATATGGGGATTTCCATGGATTTCCTAAAATATCTAAAATGGGGGTACCCGCAAATTAACAATTTTAATAATTAGGATTTTCTATGAAATAGTCCGCCCCCGTTTATGGAAACCCCATATAGCCGCTGTTCTGTGAAAATTTGATGATTCGGCTGCTTGAGGTGGGACCTTAGCAACCCAGATGCATGGACCACGCCGTTCCAGCTGCAGGTTGGCCTTTTTCGCTGCCAGCTGTATGGGTGGTTTCTTCCAAGATGGAGCCCATGGAAGGATGATGTTGATTCATTGTTTTCGAAGCAGGGAAACTAGCTTTTTAATTACTTCTTAGAGAACGGAGACAGTAGGATGGCTATGTGCCTGAAATGTAAGCTTGGGGCTGGAGACGCGTGGATGTCAAATATGATATGATTTTTGTTTATCACCAGCAGATCGGATCCTTGGACATTCAAACTTCGTTTTCGATGCTTGCTTTTTTTCTGTTTATCATCATGGGATATGGATTACACAAAATGATTGTTTATATGAGTATTTTCGTCCTCAGTAATTTAAGTAGTTTCCCTTTTTAAGGAGTTGAGTCACTTCGGAGGAATTTCATTTTTCATGTGTTTGTTTGTTTCACTGACTCAACTCCATTCATATTTGACGATCCCTTTCGTCAAAGCTGCACCGCACCTGGCTTGGGATTTGATGATCTCTGGCACAGTCCTAGCCATGACGTCACCCAGATGAGCAAGATAAGTACTTGGAGGATCATCTTACTTAGTTACTGGTTAGTAGCCTTATGTGTAATTATATAGTATATATAATATTATATATATAATATATATAATATATATATAATATATATATATTATGGAACAAGATCGTGCAAGTATTCCCCAAACAAACTGCAAATGACCAAATCCAAAAGGCTTTGAACCCATTGGTGCTAGCCAAGAAACTATATTGTATATCATATATGGATATCCTACACCCAAGAGACCTTGCTGATCCTTAATTTCCTTTAGACGGGGGTATCTCATTGCTCCTGTGCAGTTCTTGACAGTCGTCCCTAGTGATCTTGGTCCTGAAGCCGTCCATGAGGACTTTTGGCTGCAGCGGATATGATCCAGCTTGGAATGGTGGTAGAGGCAAGCGTTGCTGGCGGCTGGGGCGATCGTTTCTTTCTTTGGCTTTCACCGCCTCGATCCTTTTTTTTCTTATTGGCTTCCTTGTTGGGAAGCAGGAACTGACATTGAATATGAAAAGGAATGCATAGTTCTTCTTGATTCATATTCATACCTTATTTGTGCCAATCGTAAAAGTGCTGCATGATTCAAAGTGCCCCGAGCATTGCGAATTCGCTGCACCTGAGCACGACTTCAAGACATAAGACCGTCCGATGGCCATTTGTTTGCTGACTTCAAAATCTGTCCACCCATACTTAGACCCTCCAAGTACCCACAAGAACAGGTAACAGTCCGAAATTATGGGTAGATTTTCCAATTTAGGAAGCTTGGTGCCAAATCGCAGGTTGGAATTGACATCTCGTGGGCTACGGCTGGATAGTAGGAGGATGGCAAATATCATGATTTTAAAGCCACAATAGGGGGACGGTTACCCACAAGTTGAGAGAGATGATATTAATAGTATATAATATCCATGGCCAGTATCTCCTTTGACAAGTGCTGGTTTCCCTTGCCAAATATTAATTATTTCTGTTTGCAGTTTTCAAAGTCAAGTCGCCTCAAGAGTTTCGACCGGTTTCGGCCGACATGGAGTCGACTACAGCATCGATGACACCGATGACGGCTGCCTGGATGCCGAAGGAGATGATGTCCGAAGACAGCGAAGTTTTGATGGCCGTGTCTCGACTTGCTGCACGAGTTCTCTTTGAACCAACGCCCAAGACCAGTGCAGGCGTTGCTGCAATGGTGGAGGTCTTGAAGCCCAAGCTGTATCAGTACTTTGAGGGGCATAGTCAGAGTTCCAATGGACTTCTCCTTCTTCGGGATGAACAGTCTCAGTTAGCAGGGATGGCAGGCGTTGTTGTCGGGAAGTTGCCGGGATTCCAGGATGAGGTGCCGCGGGTTTGCTACTTGGCCGTTGATCCTGGTCTCCATGGCCAAGGCTTCGGCTCAATGCTGGTGCGCCAATGCGAGGATTGGGCGAAAGCCCGTGGTCACAGAGCAATTTGGCTGTTCGTCTACAGACACAAGGAGCGCATGTGCCAATGGTATTCCAAGATGGGCTATCAAACTGTGACGCACCTCACTGATACGGTGCCGGTACCAGGCCAGGGCGAGATGGAAGGCACGGTGCAGATGCTGGGACGGGAGGTCACTTTGAAGAGGAAACCTCTTTGAGTCAATCTTTTTGTGCATTTTATGTGCATTTGATGGAGATCATTCTGAGACTCTGAGATCATTCAAATTCGTTCATTTGAACGTCTGGAGCACTACCGAAGGGATTGTATCGACTATTTTGGACAGTCTTAGCTGCCGAGGATTTTGGCTAGCTGTCAAGCTGTACAGACATACAGGAACCCTTTCACTCTTCGACCCTTCTTTGTGCGACTGCATGGACAGCCTCTGCAGTGACGAACAAAAGGAGTTGTGTGTTGCGTGCTTTCCAGTGAACATGCGAACATGAAGTATAGAAACATAGATTTTTTGGGGAAAGTTGTTCCACGCTTGTCCAACTGAAACAGAAGAAAGGTGTGCAGCAAAGCCGTCAGTCCGTTTGTTACTGTCGAGGTCCGTTTGTGCAAGCGGAAATCAAATGATTTTCTAGGTTCTTGGAGGGTCCGAGACACTTCCAAGTAGAGATTGGGAACTCTTAAGATTCTCCGGAGCACAGGTGCAGTTGCCATCTGGTTTCCTCCGGCTCACAGAAGAGGCTGCTGCTCAAATTCTGGGTATCAAAGTGTTGGGAGGATGCGGTGTGGTGTCAATATTATGTAATACACAAACCAGTCATGGAAAAATACAAGAACTGATCAAATTGTGCACACATTAAATGTGTGAATTAAGATTACTGTGACGAAAAACATAAGATGAAACAGTTCATCACATAATTTAGAAGGCTTTTTGTTAGGGTTGTGGGAAAAATCAAAACAAAAATTGGAGGATGCTGAGGATGGTGGTCTAATTACAACACAGCCCTTTGAAGGTCTTTAATAATTGGGTGAGTTGACATGAACATCACCATCACCATCCATCACCAGGATGATCCGAGTGAATTGGCTCCCATCTTCCCCCTTCATTAGGTTGGAATAGTTGGAATAGGACGATGACAATACATGCGGTCTAGTGCATTGTATTCACGTTATTCACGTGTCTTTCTTTTGTGAGCACCTGGGCGCCTGAGCGTAGGGTGTTTTTTTTCAAAAAAAATGAAATCATACGTGTTCATTACATCTTCACATCTTCTCATCTTCACATCTTCACATCTTCACATCTTCACTTCTTCACATCTTCACATCTTCACATCTTCACTTCTTCACATCTTCACATCTTCGCATCTTCACATCTTCACATCTTCACATCTTACATTTCTCGTCTATTCTCTTCTCTTCTCTTCCCTTCTCTTCTCTTCTCTTCCCTTCTCTTCTCTTTTCTTCCCTTCTCTTCTCTTCCCTTCTCTTCTCTTCTCTTCTCGTCTCGTCTCGTCTCTTCTCTTCTCTTCTCTGCTCTTATCTTCTCTTCTCTTCTCTTCTCTTCGCTTCTCTTCTCTTCTCTTCTCTTCTCTTCTAAAATATGGTGATGCCAGAAGTTTCTTGGACATTTCCTGCAACAGATGTCTGCATTGATTGATAGCATTGAAATTATTTATTAGTATCCCTTTGCAGCATCTCAGGATCATCCTTCGTGGGTTCCGCCAAGTCACTTCTCAAAGACGATGGTTCCACTGGAACCATCACCCCCTGTAAGTGCGCCAAGCGTCAGCTTGAGTCAAAAAGACCCCAAAAACTAAATTAAGATCTATCCAAAGCTAAAAAGGACGATGGTTCCAGTGGAACCATCACCCCAGGCTAAGATTGATATTTACGAAATGTTCGGGTAGCTATTAGTAGCTATCACAGGGGACGGGGACGACTGTTCCAGTGGAACCATCACCCCTAGAGATTGTGCAAAAAGTAGGGTTTGGGGACGACCCAGGGTGTTATTTTGCGAACTTTTCGGCCTATCATTTTGCAAACAAATGGTGGCAAACTGCTACCGTACTTGGCAAAACTCAGATTTGGCATCTCCATACTTTGGCAACATGATATTTTGGCAATTATTCTGTGGCAAAAAAATGCTATGGCAAAATGATATTTTGGCAAAATGATATCTTGGGATACACGCTGCCCGTTTTCAAAAAAACACATAAAAACACAGTGTTCAAAGCGAACGGGTTTGCAAATTGGTTCACGAAGTAGTCGTAATCTGAATAGCAGAAGAATCACCAATCCAAAGGTCTTTGATCTTTGCCGGAAAAACATCTGCAGGAGCATGAGAAGCAAACGGACCCGCAGGAACCCGAATTATGTGCTACTAAGTCTGATTTTGATTGACTAACGGGATACCGACTGCGATATATTGTTCGCTGAGCAAGGGTGGTGCAAGACTGGGTTGCGTTGTATCATCACGGGTGCCGGGACGCCGGGACGCCTCCCTGCATGAACATGCTTTGAAGTCATGCGCTGCCCATACTGCATTTCTGTGTAAAGACCGTTCAGCCAAGCTTGAATTTGTTTTTTTCGATCATGAAAGCCATGCCAGTCGATTTTTCTATCGGTTTATGTTGCGTCATAAGCGTCACAGTCATTGCTTGCAAGTGTTGTAATTTGAGCCTGGCAGTACCAATAGCGAACAATCCAACACCATCATTACAGCACAATTGTCCCAATTGTTGAACAGACACACAGTACCAACCGGAAAAAAAATCCATATCGGCAGCATCTATTTGATTGAACATGTTCATTTTACATAGTTCACCTGCGTTTAACCTTTTTATGCAGTAGGAATGTACAATCCAAAACATGACTGCGTGCAGTTGCCCTGCTGCAGACATAACACCTGAAAACAATGAGACATACCTGAATGCTTGGAAAATGACTTGTATGCAGGTACAACTATCGTTGGTTGTGCACACAGGAGGTGTTGTGTTTTTTTTCCTATTCCCCTCCCCAAGTGGAATGATGCTTTTCACTTGATGATTCCCCGGGGAGGGGACTTACACAAACCAACATATGGTGCAGGCGATCTCATTTTGTGCCTCCGCCTATATTAATAACTTTCCAAGGTCCCACGGAATCTATATATATTTTGCGGGCAGGCAAACACTCAGATTTTCTTATGATAAGATGATGATGCCTTCAAATAAGGCTGTGATATCGGGACCAGGGTTGGTATGTAGGTTTGCTGTAATGATCCTTGATTATCCCTTAAAAAAATGCTGTGAACAGATCAGCTACGGTACGTCTCATATATCAGCCCAAATCAGCCCTCTTTGAAAACAACATGGTTGATGGTAGTCACTAGCCATCGACACCATCAATGCTGATAGCAACTAGCTTTGTGGATGCTTTTACCGGGCACCAGGTTTGATTGAAAATCTATAGGGAACACTCAAAACCATCAGGGAATCACCATTTTCCCTGTCATTTTTTGAGTGACGAACCAATGGGAATCGGAATGTATACGCATTTTGTTCCAAGATGCCATGATTGATTTGGGGATAAAACATGATCAAAATTTATCAAGACTCCAATTTCATTTCCGCCCGATTTCCGCCCTGTTGGCGGATCACGGCTGTTGAGGAACCCGTGGACGGCGTTTTGAGCCCTTTGGCCACCGTAAAGCTGGTCTCTTCGTCTATGGCCATGGTGGCCGGGCAGCAAGGGGATCAGATGGTAGCCACAGGGTGACTCCGAGTTCTGAACAAAAAATCGTGGAGTTATTATATCTACATATGGCCCTTTACCATTTTTAAGTACGAACAAACCCTCAGCCATAGAATGTATATATATAATCCCATAGAAATAACAGGTTATAACTATAACTAATGAATGGCCATAACTGCAATCACCAAAAACCCCGAGTCGACCTAGGGACTTAGTTTTGTTTTAAGAAAAACTTCGCTAACTTTGGGGCACTGGTGGAGTGGGGGCTATGGAGATAACCATGGAGAACCATGATTCTTACTAGCATTAGCTGGGATAGAGGCCCTGTAACAAGACCCAAGAAATGCTAGACAAAATGCTGGCAATAAATATTTCATTGATTGATCAGCAACCATCGGCACATATTGTATGTTTGTCATTGATCGACTTGTTCCACATTTGTCCAATTTTTTGTTGTTTACATGACGTTTGTTGGCAATATTTAGCTGTGTCATTTGTAGGGGTGGCAATCAAACTGAACCGGGGCCACATTCCTGAGCCCTTCTGAGGTGTTTCCTTCCGTTCTGCTACTTGGCCTTTGCGCGACCAAGAGCTGTGCATCTTGAGTTGTCCCTTTTTAGTGGATTCAGCGACAGATGCGGAGAGATCTCCACTACCGCGTGATGGACTCCGACAACGTCCCAACATCGCGGGGGTGTGACCTTTGACGTGACTCTGAACTCGTTCCACACGGGGTTCTCAAGCCACTTGCCCAATTGAACCTTGTTGGAGTGTGACGCTGGTGAAGGATGGTACACATCCTCAAATACGAAAAGATCGTGTGTCATGCCATCAAGATTAGAAAGAACTGCGCCAAGACACACTGAAGATGAGGAAGAAGTTAGCACGGTATCCGGCGGCACACTGCTGGCTGATGGGCTTTCACTGCGAAAACTCTGGGAAAATGAGCATGATGAGCTGCAATGACACTTTGGTATTGGCACAAAAACATGCTGGACTGGACCTGCACACCTTGACCCGCAGGTAGTGTTTCATCCAACCTTGAAGTCAGGAGGAAAAAGATCAGGTGTTGTGGTTGTTGATCACATTGGGATAACAAGTGTTATTCTCACAGAATGTTCTTTACGTATTAAGTATTGATATCAAAAATATACAAATCATGTTTCCAAATAAGGTGAGGGTTTTGTTTTCTACAGTGAAGGTCCAATTAAATCCAAATAGATGTAGTTTGGGGATGTTGGATGTTTGAGGCGTCTGTGTTTTGATGTTGAGCTATTAAAAAAAAGCAACGCCGATACACATGACTAGGACATGACTGGATGCAAAAGTGATGCAGCAGGCACAGTTAATTTCATATCCATTTGTACAGTAATTACACATATAGGTATATTTATTTTGTTGAATTAAAAAAAATGGAAAAGGGATGAAAAGGGATGATATTCAAATCAGAAGCCAGCGGATCCCTTTATTTTTGGTGTTTCTGCCGGCGGTCACATGTTCTCCAGCGACATATCATCCTCAAGCCATCCAGCATCGACTACGCTGAGGCGTGGACGGGGGCAAACATACACAGACATGGTGGGAAACCATGGAAAACCCATTGTTTCCATAGGAAAATCATCTTTCCGGGTGGGTTGTCGACATCTATAATTAAATGTAAACGTTTACAGGAGGGTATTTGATGGTATTTGTATATCTATTTTTTTTTAATTTAGGGTATATACGTGTATAAGCCACTAGGCTTCAGAAATGTGTCGGGAACGTGTCATTTTTTTGTCTGTGCAATGGTTTCAAGATTTTGGAAACGATGTTTGTTTTCTACTTCCAACTTTAGTTTGGCAGAAGAAGCTCAAGCGGAATAAATCCAAAATACAGGCATCGTGTCGTGCCAAGATCATCCATGTACGTGTAGCCATTTTCCACAGCTAAGTCAATGTGCTTTCTATTTTTGAAAGGGTTCTGATAGATTTGTCACCAACATCAACCAAGGGATATATCTGTGACAAAGCCAGGGGGTGTCCCTCAATCGGATTAAGCCAGACCGGGAAAGATAAGTGAACATTATTACATATGTCGTTATTTCTATGTTGGTCTATGTTTGTCTCTGGTGGTTTGCTATGTTTATTTGCTATTATTAGTAGTATTAGTCAGAGATTCGGAGAAAGTTTAGAAGTCAAACTTCCGAGAATATGGACAGATGGAAAAGCAGAGGTGAGAAAGAGCCAGGGAAAAGAAGATGCAGATGCGCGAAAAGGTAGAAAAGTCGCGATTCACTGTGTTTTCCATGGATTTGTGGCTCCAGAGGGTCGAAAAGTAGGCTCACTAAAGCGGCGGGTGCGGAGTGATCTGGCCAGATGAGAGATGAAAAATTGATAAAACTTGCACCGCGTTGTGGCGCAAAGCACATTTTTCGAAGTCAAAATGTACAAAGCAGCTCAGCTTCGGAGCGCTTTTAGGAATTGAGCTGTCGAAAAAGTGTACGCCGTTGTGGTGCGAAGCACATGTCCAAGTCAAAATGTTAAAAGCACCACATGTTCGGACGACTTTTGGACGTTCAGACGTCGTTTCGCGTGGCAGACGCAAGGGATTGTGCACCTCGTCAAAAGTGACCAAAATCTGAGGGTTTTGTAGCAGTTTCAAAAGCGATGGCAGGTGTGGGGCATTTGAAGAGGATCTGCGAAGATGCATTTCGCGTGGCAGGTGCAATACAAAAGATATGTTCATCAGAGATGTTAGGAGGTCAGGGCGCTGATTTCCTGAGAGCGGTTGCATTTTGGAGCATGAATGAGATCTTCAGGTTTGCTAAGATGATTTTGCGTGACAGGTGTTGCACTTCGTATGACCTGGCTTCACTTTTTCGTGGCATGCACAGTACTTTAGACAGATGGAATGGAAAAATCGCAAAACACATTGGCACGAGGCCGTCAGCTCTGCACTCAACTTTCCATTTTTGAAGGAAGTCTCGCAGAATTTCTTTGTTTGTGATGTTGTCACCTTCAAAAAATGAGGAAGTCTCGCAGACCTGCTTCGTTTTTGACCTTTTCAAATTCAAAAAATGAGGAAGTCTCGCAGAAATGCTGCGTTTTTAATGTTGTCAAGTTCAAAAACTGACGAAGTCTCGCAGAATAGCTTCGTTTTCAAGCTTGCAGATAGACAGATAGATAGAGAGACAACTACAACTGCAATTTCAACTGCGATTACAACTGATACTACTACTACTACTACTACTACTACTACTACTACTACAGCTACAAGTACAACTAGAATTACAATTACACTACGCTACACTAATTAGACTGCAGAACGCTACAACTACAACTACAAGTACAAATCAACTGCAGCTACACTACATTATACAACATTATGCTACACTAATTACATTACATTACACTACAACTACAACTGCAACTACAACTGCATTTACAAATGCAACTACAACTACACTATATTACACAACACTAGGCTACACTACGCAAACTACACTACACTACAAACACAACTGCAACTGCACTACTTTACACTAGACTACACTACACTATCCATTCTACAGTGCGCAACACTACGCTAATTACACCACACCACAGCTGCAACTGCAACTGCAACTACGCTACGCTAATTATATCACACAACAACTACAAATGCACTACGCTACAACTACAACTATAACTGCACTACACAGCAGTACATCCAGCAGTTGTGGTGAAGTGATCACTGCAACCATTGTAACCACCCCAAAAAACATAACTCCAACCACCCTGCGGTCCATCAGTGGGTTCGCTCTGCCGTCCATGCATCACAACAACAAACCTCTCCTATAGGTCTCCTCCTTTTGAAACTTCCGCCACCGCCTTGCGCGGTACTACTGGTATTTTTTCATATATTATATATATATATTACTACCATGTTTATTTGTTATTTTCTATCATTGCTTACTATGCTGTTTTTGTATAATCATTTTTGTCGAACCAAAATACCATTAAATCCTGCTAACTGCCTAGTGTTATTGTTAAACAAAAGACACCGGTATCCTCAAGAATCGACCAGGGACTTGTCCAATCATTGGATCACCAGACGTCGGATACGTCGGCAGGTAGCGCCATGAGATCTTTCATCGCCAGTTTGCTTTTGGGTGGAGCCGGGGACACCCAGTGGCCAATGGTGGCGGCCCCCTGAGGCTGCTTCACCATTATTGGGGATTTTTTGTTGGGAACTCTGTGTTTTGACATTTTCTAGTCCCCAGAAAGCAATCCAAGTCACATATGATCATTTCATCCAGGTATCCAAACAAAAGGGCCTAGAAGCAGGTCGTAGCATCTAACGTTTAGCACCATTTAACGTCTGACTGGGGACGTTTGGTCGTTGGATCTTGTTTTTACGGTTTGGGCCACACGAAAAGGTGGATGGTTTGGGTGGGGTAGTTTGTTTGCAAATGTTTGGGCAGAAATCATTCCCAAATAAAATTTTTGTTTGATCGCGATACTGATGCGTGTTGGTCAGGATTTTCGGGGGATTGCAACAAAAAATCACACAATTGGGACTGGCAGAACATTGAAATGTTTACCTTTTTATTGCAGGTCGCGTTGTTTTTTTTATTTTTTTTGTTTGCATGTATTGTGCCTTCCATCACAAGTAGCACGAAACACCAACTGGAGTAGCTGAGTAGTTCATGTTTCCCTTAGATAACATTCCTGGTTCCTTAAAACAGGTTTCGACCGGAATGTCTCCATATAGCCAATTCGTATCCACCCAACATCTTTGTCAGTTCATCCGCAATGGTTTAATGTTTAATTGATTTTAATTGTCCTACTGTACTTTGATTTGGGCCACACGACTGCTCATAGCTTGCTGGCGATGTCCCTGGTTCCCTGGTGCATGGATTGCATCCAAATTGTTGGTGTCCGGCTTGCAAAACTAGACAATGTTGATATATATATATAGTTGATACATGTTCATACATGTTGATACTTTATATATATATATACATATTTGTCAAATATATAATATGTTGATAAGTTTTGACTAGTTTTTTTCAATTTTGGAAGACTTCGGTTCATTTCCCTATAGAGAAACCATATCGTCATCGAGGCAGCGCTACTGTGCGCCGCAGAGGAGGCTGAAGTCACTCACAAGGCGAACGTTGTGAGCAGCGGTGTGTCCGGTCGTTGATTAGAATAGGGGATATTCACCATTCAATGTTATTTTTTGTTTAGCTCACATGAATATAAGGAGGATTATGAATAATGGTGGGATTTCAATGGTGTATGAGGGATTATGATCATTTGAAATACTACCTGGTTGTTATACCATGGGTCTATCGGGATGGGTCAAATGGAGCGTATGACCGGGGAAAGAACCAGCACCAGCTAGGCATTTGGGTGCTCAGGGTGCCATGTTCTCCCTCACTGAAATAATGGGGAAGACGATCCCCAAAAGTTTAAACCAGCTTGGTGCATTGGTATAAGTTATCATATATATATATATATACATATATATATACATATATATACATATATATATACATATATATATACATATATATATACGTACCTAGATAGGCCAAGGAGTTAGTTGTTTGACTATATATAGTAAAGGAATTATGACTTGGGATAATTCGTGGGTTTCAACTTAGTCAAAAGACCAGTTTGCGAATCCCATGGTATATGCATATATGCATTTGGGTCTTGATTTGTATACAGTTGAGTTATATATAATATGTACCATCTATTTGGGTTTTGAAAAAGGCATCAAGGTGTCAAAGATTGGAGTTTCCCCAGATAGGCGATCGGGAAGGTTATTCGCAATGCGGGTAAAACAACAATGAAACCATTCCCCAGTCATCTCATTTATGATTTTATAGGTGGTATAAATATGTATAAACATGTATAAACTATTAAAACGGTATATTCCCATGGTAGCTATCCATCATGGAAAAGATGGTATATTCCCATAGTCCCATGGTAGGATTCAAACCATTCCCAGTCATGGTTGGTTTATTGTTTAACCCGTATCCCTTCAGGGTCCTCCGACCTGGCGGCGGTCGAAATTTCGATGGGAATAGACAAGTCGTATTGGTTCGAGACCGACACCCAGTGATGATTAGAGATTGGATAATGATTAGTGATAATATGACACCCAGTCATATGGTTGATACTATGTTTCGAACTATGCAAAACTAGGCTGTTAACTGAGATCATTATTGACAAATCAATATGGTTGATGATTTTGTTGACAAATGATGATTGGTTGATACAACAACAAAACATTTGGGATTGCTGAAAGCACACGGATTTGATCAACAAATAGAGGCCCTCTTTTAGTGATGGATTAATTCTGAGCACTGAGCACCAACTTTTTCACTGAGTACCTTTTGGTCACATGGAAATGGGAAATAATCTGCCAATGGAAATTTGAATGGGAAAACCATAGGAACATTTTGAAGAAAACAGCTATAAATGAAGAATTTACTGGAAAAATCATCGAAGTAAATGGGAGATTGTCCATTGTCATATTTGATTGCGATGATTGCCAGACTAAATCTGACGTTGTGGGTGTTTCAGCACTGAGACTGTAGTTGTGTTCAACCGCAACGTCCCGGGCATACCCGTCTAGTTTCACCGAGTATACCTTCCGGTAAACTAAGATGGCTATAATGGAAAATGTCCATGTTCAATAGGTGAATCAACTGTAAATGGTCGATTTTGGGCCATTTTCTACAGCTATGCTGAAGTACGTTCAAGTACGACCTTAGAGCATCTTAGAGCCGCAAAACCTGCGAGTTAGGCCCGTAATAACCTCTGATTTGTTTGTTTCCATTGCCACAACCGCCATTTGCAGGTGTTTTTCGATGTCAAGATCGGCGATGAAGCAGTTGCTCGGCGATGAACCAAAGAGCAGATGCTGTAAAGACATAAAAGGAGTTCAATATACCTCTATATATAAATATGTATAAATATGTATAAATATGCTGGTACCAACCACTTCGCAAAGATACCTCAAAATCCTCATGATGGCAATATGTTCGTTTAATGTTCAGTTGTTGGTGGGCTGTGGGGTTGAGTTCGTCCCATTTTCAGCTGGAAAACTACCAACATATCCTTCAGGATTGAGAGACATGATGTAACTACAGCTGGTACTTTACTTAATTTGTTCTTTTAACAGTCAGCATCCTCTTCTCTTATATCGGGATTTCCTAAATGGGTGTACCCCTATGATCATCCGGTTTAACAGGATTTTCATGGATTCTCTATTACGGGCTATCCATGTTTGGCCAAATTTCCGTTATGTCACCGAGGAAAGCAAGCGAATCACCATTGGCCTCTTCGGAAAGGATGTGCCAAAGACAGTGCCGTGGCGTGGTGGGATTGCTGCATAAGAGTGGAGAGTTTGGCCATCGTTAGAAAATACCCTTCGTTAAATCCCATTTATACATAGCTTATTTTGATGCATTATATATATATATATAACTTAATTGGACTCTTAAGATAACATATTGTTTATAATGTGTCAATATTTGGTATGTAGAATATATATATATATATAATTTACTATACATATATTCTTGTGATGCCTTTTCAGAAATCCCAGGTTGTATGTAGTCGACTTCCTAGCTGGCACGTCCAAGTGAGAAAAGTGAAGCTGGCGATGTGGACGACAGACCGGCAAGGTATTTGTTTGTTTTTTTAAACCGGACAGCGGCGGTCAGAGGTTGGCCGTTGGGGCTGTCCGATCCGAAGAAAGTGACAATTTGCGCGCAAAGCGACATTGGCACGTCCTCCGTCACCATGTTTGAGGGCCCTGTACGACTTTGGGTGGCAAGGCGGGTGAAACATGATCTTTCAATCGGCCCAGCCTTTGCGACGGACGAGCATCAGGGTCAGAAGCACGTGGAGGAAGGGATGGAAAAGAAACCAAAGTCACAATGACTTCGAAGAATCATCCTCCCTCGTACAAGAGAACCGAAGAGTGTGCGTGCCCTCCATCTGGTGCATTTGTTGAAGCGGATGAATCCGTGCACCCCTGATGAACTGATATTAACTGCCCCAAATTGGATCTATCAATCATCATTTTTGTTGGCCACATGAAGTCAGTGATCATTTTTGCAACTTTTTCGATGTTTGTTGGTTTACAATGGTTACTATCTAGGTTTCCTCCTATGAAGGGCAATTTCACTTCAGCCTGGGTAAACCACCAAGCACCTGTTGGTGCTAAGGTGATGAATTTTGTTCATTTGTGCACTGGCGATAAGGGCAAGGTGTGCGGATTTTGGCGGATGCGCGTTGAGCACGTTGAATTCACCATGGTTTTGAAGGCAGAATTTCTTGGGAGGACAATCCACTTCCAAAGACACTGGAGAACATTTTTTTTTTGGTTTCTTGGGTCTTTTCTTGTGAACATATTCAGTTTTTACACGTTGTTTTGCTTGTTTTTACAATGGTTACAGCGGCAGGGTATTTCTGCTTGCACTGCATCATGTTCAGCAAAACAGCAATGCTGGGACACTCTCAACTCAGTGGACCCTTGGACCGCCACAAGGCGTCACAAGACCTCCCCTGCCCCTGCTGACAGGCCTCAACTGGTGTGCCTTTGCACTACAAGGCTGGAAAGATGCCATTTCATGCGGCCAAGAAGTGTGTTTTTTTTGTTGTTGATGTCAGGTGTTTAAATGATTTAACCCTGAAATATCCTGATGTTTGTTTACCATTGTTTACCCACTGCCCATTTTGGAAGATCCCAATCGACGTTCTAGTAGTTTGGATTTATCTCCAGCTATCAATGAGCTTGACACGTTTTATCCGAACCACTGTCTGATCCAGTCAGTAGATTTAACATCATCTCCTTTACCTGATACAGATTGTGCGGATATGATGAGAAGATGATGTAAGTTAAATGACGGCATTGCTACACCAGTCAGACTACTTCAGTGCGGTCATCCTACGAATTTTAACGGGTTCATAACCCCATAGTAAGTCCCCATTCAGTGCGGGCCGAGGGACCCCGGGGACCCCTGGTGATGCCCGGAGATCCGAAAGTCTTCTCATTTTTTGTTGAGAAAAAGCTTGGAGGTGAAACGAACAAGGAAATCACAGAGACATCAACTAAGAGGGTATCTATATGTATATAATTATACATATATTGATATACATATGTCTTTGTTCAGTAAACTGTGTGATTTTTGTTCAAAATCCCCATTTAGTTAGTTGATATCTCTTTGAATTACAATTATTGTTTTGGATAATCTGTGTGAACACAATTCAAATTAAACAAAGCCCACGACCCAGGGCAGCAAGTTCCATCGCATCATCCCAAACTTCATGATCCAGGTCAACTGTGCCTCGGGTGGGGACCAGGATGCATCATATATATATATATACATATATATACATATATATATATGTATATATATATAGCCTCTTGGTAGTTGAACATAGCGAAAATCATGATTCTTCACAGGGAATATAATTTAATCTGTGTATATCTATGTAATATATATATATATACATGTCCTTGTTGGCAATGTTCGATGTGTGAAATTACCAGAGGGTCAGCTTGCATCTCTGTTGATCTGATAGCATTGGAACACTGTTTGAGATAATTGATACATTAGTATAGTCCGGCCTGGCTATAGAAAAAGTAAGGTTTCCAACCTCACAGATGTTGGTCGTTTCAAGCAGCAGCCACACATGTTCTTCCAGAATGCAAGTTTGACCTGTATCCTCTTGCAGAAAGGCTTGGCGCCAAGACTGAGTAGTCTGAGCAGCAGTAATTACACATCTTTATCGTCGAGGATATGGTCCGTTTTCAGGCTATATACTGGTCCCTTGCTGGTGCTTAGGGAAGGGGTGAGTGATCCAATCCACAACTATGTGGTCGAATTCCCCCCATTCCCTACTAAGCCATAGTAAGTAAACAATCCATATGGCTTTCTTTGGGCCCGTGTTGGCAACAGGGTGGTGACTTCACCCGTGGTGATGGCACCGGTGGTGAGAGCATCTATGGCTCCAAGTCTCTTGGTTTGGCAACTGGTTGGGGATGGAAATGGTTGGGGCATCCGTTCTCAGTGGTTGGCCGTTAGCTGCCATGGCTGCCATGGTCTAGATACTGGGATAAAAACATATCGCTTAGTTGGGGGATGGGAATCATCAATCCATGTGAAACTGGGATTTATCCATTATGGAATCAATTATGATTATGATTATCCATTATGTTATCATTATCCATAAATTCATATAATATGTACCCATGATGTTTGGATTCCAATGGCGGCATCACGGGATGACCATAATCCATGAATCCGTAGCCTGAGTCCGGAAAGATTCCGGGCTTCGCAGCAATCACCAATCAGACAATGGCTGAAGCTAAAAGCTATTCCAAAAACACAGAAACAATGTGGCTGAGGGTTATTTGGAGGAATTCATTATCAAGAGATACAGCCGAGAATTCCTGTCTGGAACCCAAGCCAGTGGCTACCCATGTGAAGATGGTATGAGTCAATGGTGTGCTTTAGGGTGACCACTCACTCAGTGGAAATGTGTGATAGTGAGGGAATTGACAATGGCTTTGTCAAGGTCAAAATTATACTGTATGTGCAAGTTGTGAAATAGATATAGATATATTTTTTTTAAAATATATACCTATATCTAGTCATTCCAAGATCAACATTCTTGTATAAGCCAGTGCAACCTAGCTGCAAACTGGGATTTGAACTGACGTAATACAATCATGGGACATGGCATCGTTTGTTTTTGCGGAATGGCTAGTCCTCGCAAACTCAGACGTCGTCACTCAGTCAGCAAGCCACCAGGGGCTGTAGATAGAGGGTCCGAAAAATCCATTGGGTTAGATAGAACGCAATCCCCGTAATTAGTGATGGTTAATGGTCAATTATGGTTAATGATGGTTAATGATGGTTAATGGATGTTAATGGATGTCAGTGGATGTTAGTTATTAACATAACTATAGTGATGGCATCCCAATATCATTCATATACAATTAACATGTAGTCAGCATCTCTGCGTGTGAGTTTCGTAGAACTGTCCTCGGCCCTTCCTTCTTGCCAAGCGGAAATGGCGAGGTTCAACGATGAGAACTTCAAGCTGAAGCACACTGGTCCTGGCTGGGGCCCCAGATTCAATGTGGCATTCATGTATTCACAGTGGTTGGATGGTCCGGAGATTTCTGGTATGCGAGGGCTGGTACATTAAATCCTAAAAGATGCTAGATTATTTTTTCCCATTTCACATCATTAAGAGCTTGTAACATTTCATGTTTCTCTTGTGTTTCAGCTGTATTTGCAAGAAGAACATATGCAGACTGGATGCTCAAAACTTCCAAGTGTTCCCTGCAACCAGCAGCTCGAAGTTTGGGGCTTGCAAATCATTTTTTCAGGTTTTTAGGATCGACGATCCCCAACGGTAGGAATCATGGTGGGCCATTCCAACATATGATGCAAACAAAACATGGCATGCAGATGAAGTGCAGCCGTATAGCCCAATATTGAACGAAATGGAATCATAATTTTGTGTTTGATGCTCGTAGCCTAGTCATTCCATGGCAGTGCCAGATTCTTTCGACCAACAGATTTTTCGGGAGAATTTTCGCTTTTTCTCCCACAGGTCACCCAGTCGACGGACAATCAGTGTCTAATGAAGTGATGAGAATGCCATAGCTCTGGGTTGAGGAAGAAAGATGCCATAGCATTCGGAATGCCGCCGTTCCAACTTGGAGGAATCTAGCAAAGACATAGAATAAAGGGTGAAACTCTAAATGCTTGGAAAAGGATGTAAGCATGAAGCACCGTCACCGTTATAGTCCAATTTAGTTCTTTTTGCTTGACCCATCAGCATTAGGATTCACCATCATTTTGGGATTGACTCTACCACTGTTATTGAGACCTAGACTTGGATGAAGGACCGCTCTACACTAAACACATGTATCATTTAGTGGTAGGAAAAAATGGTCTCCTGCACGTTTTCTTCCCTGACCCAAGCACATTACCTATAATATAGATATAATGATGTGCTTTTGGGTATTCCAACAACTCCAAATAAATATTAAGTTGGCAAGAAATATGTGTTGTTTCTTGTGTTTGTTGTTTCGTTTCAGACGATCCCATATGTGAAGAAAACACGGTTTGTTTACAAATATAGATATATAATATAATAATATCATATAAGATAACACTATTATATCATGATAAAATAATATGTTATAACAATATAATATCTAATTTGATTAATGTAATATGTCGTAGCATACGATAACATATTTCTAATATATCATATAAGATAATATGATATGATGTGATACAATATAATATGACATAATATGACATAAAACATATTCTATTTAATATATTACAACATTATATATATACGTATATATATATATATGCATATTACACAGTATCTATACTTAGTTTCTTGTTCTTGGTGTTTGTTTATTTCAGCCCAGATCAACTCACAATCCTTGGCCCAACGCGTTCAGGTATCCTCAGCATGGCCAACGCCGGCCCCAACACCAACGGCTCGCAGTTCTTCATCACGACGGCCCGAGGGTTTGGATTTGGAGATAGCCCAATCAGTTCGGAAGCGCTGGCTCACTATAGCAACTATAATTCGAATCACTCTGGTTTCTATCTGATTCCACCAACTCCCTCATTCGGCCCAAAAAATCCTTGAAAACTCCAGTTCCATGTGGGTGTAGAAAGCCATGGGTTTCCCGTTACAAAATCTTCTCCTTAAAAAAAAACAACGGTGCCCGGAGGTGAAGACCCAGTGGTTGGACGGTCGGCACGTGGTCTTTGGCAAAGTCGTGGATGGTATGGAGGTGGTGCAGCAGGTGCCGTTCGTTGAATGGTGGAATCCACAATCTTCCAATTTTTCGAGCTAGCTCAAAACATGTAGCTGGCAGCTGGCTCAATTTCATCAGGGGTATGTTTTGACAGTCACCTTGGGCTTTTTCAGAGGTACCATATCTAGTACTAAAGTAATCAGTGGGGACTGAACCTGGCAATTTAACACATTGGGAAGTTTCTGCGAGCTTGCTCAACTGCAACGAGCTGGCTCAGCACCATCGAGCTCGCTCAAACACATCGCTCTAGCTCAGGGGCATCGAGCTAGCTCAATGGCATCGAGCTGGCTCAATTTTTTCGAAGAAAAAAAACGCCCAAAAAATTGAGCCGGCTACGTCACGTTGAGCTGGCGGACGAATGTGAGAGCATCAAAACGAATACTAACTATGTATTGGCCGGGTTCATGACGCATTGGCGAGCCGGCTCAAGGGCATGTAGCCGGCTCAATTTCTGCGAGTTTTTTTTTCTTTTTTTTTCGCTAAAAAAATTGAGCCAGCTACGTGGCGCTGAGCCAGCTACGAGGCGCTGAGCCAGCTACGTGGCATTGAGCCAGCTATGTGGCACTGAGCCAGCTACGTGGCACTGAGCCAGCAAGGTAGCTTTGAGCTTTGAGCTAGCAAGGAGGCAGTGAGCCAGCAAGGTAGCTTTGAGCTTCATCATCATATATATATATATACCTATGCAATCCCAACCATATAATCTACTAAATCTAGGGAAAAACTTTTTTTTGAGGGAGACACGTACCTTTGAGCTGGAGCGGGAATGTGAAATCTACCATTCGAGTTCGAACCGTTCGGGTCGATGGATGCTACGAGTTGCCAATGGGCTGTTGAATCGGGGGGGTAGCATTTAAGTAGCAACTCTGCACTATCCGATGGTAACCCCCACTCATCAAGCAGGGTTGATGATTGGGTTGAAATTAGGGTAGTTTGAACTATCCAACATGGAGAAACCAGAGAATTGGGAATACCTAGAAGCCTTGGGGCACGACTGGTTTCAAATCTTTGTTTGTTTTTGTTCTCCTACAGATGGGATCAACTGACTTTCAATCAAGGTGACTCAAAGTTGTATCGCCAAGTGGCCAAGTTTTCTCCAGACTTTAGTGAGTTTAGTGAGTTTGGTCATGATTTTCAATTAGAAACACATGGCGTTTGAAAATAGAGAAAACTTACCCTCTGGTAAACTAACATAACTATGGAAAATCACCATCTTCAATGGGTAAATCCACTATAAATCACCATCTTCAATGGCTATTTTGACATAACCAGAGGGTTTTCCCCCCCTCCATGGTTTGGTTCGCCGTAGGTGGAGGCAGTTGGATCCCAAAGTGGTACTCCATCCAAGAAGGCCCTGCAGAAACTCTGCTCGGGTTCGATTTCTGGGGCCCGAGTTTCTGGAGTTTCAATAAGAACATGGTATGTTTTTAGCACTGGTTGGTGGTTGGGATACATGAATGGATTATTTGTCCATTCAGTTGGGAATCATCATCCCAACTGACGAACTCTTCAGAGGGGTGGCTCAACCACCAACCAGTATGATGAGCATTTTTGGGTATTTATCTGGACAGTGTTGACTTGGATGTGCATCGCAGTTGGTATATGGCCCATATGCATAGTTGGTTGTGTACTTGTTTCTGATGATTAGCTAGCATGCCAACACGTCCACTGTTGCCCGATGCTCATTTGCTAAATAGATAATTGGCATGTTTCTTCCAGAATAGAAATCCCATGCCCCATAGCCTATGTCTGCTAGCATAGAAGGGACAGTCATATCATTGAATAATATTGAATCATAACAGACCATAGTAGATGCCCCAGAATCCAGGTGGGGAATGCTGCGTTCCTGAGGTCGAAATTGTCGATAGTGGCCTCTTGGAAGGATCTCTTGAGCTGTAGCTGTGCTCAGAAACGCCGCTTTCCCGGCGGATTTTGGACCTGTCTCGCAAAAGATTGCTCGCAGCGCCCGCATGAGTGCGTGAGGATGGGGATGGGATGGGTGATAGGAGATGTCTGTGAGTGTTTTAAGGTAGTACACGTGGGATATCTATGGAATATATCTGAGATAGTCAGAAGTTGTTCTTCATTTCTGTCAACCCTTCAACGTCTCAAGGTCAGTAGTAGCTGGAACCATTTCTCGGAATCAGTTTGGAAAAAGCACTGCACTGCTTGTGATGGCTTCGAGCATTGCACCAATGACGACAAGCAGGTTTCAGCAAAGGCCGCTCAGAAAACTTTCATCCCAACAGGAAAAGGCAAAGGTCGACTGCACTGTAGACTCTAGATTCATTTGGACTATCACCACGTATTTCAAGTCAAGACTGGCATGATTTGCTCTCCCGCTTCAGGAGTTGTTCGTTGAAACCTGGCTTCCAGTTCCCAGACGAAGGAACAAAAAATAGGAGTGGATGCAGTTCTGGGATGTTTCCCACATATTACTGTACCAACATGTTAACCCAGTCACGTCACAAACTCCTTGTGTTGTACAGTCGCGAACTGGCATTCCAAGCAGTCGCCATGTCTCCGACAGTCGCAGCACCAAATCCCATGCCAAGTCGTTTGGATGCTGTGGCTCTTGAAGGTCATTTGGCCTACAGCAGGTGGGAGCATCTATCGCTTGGCCCCAAAAGGGGAACCCCCAAGTGTTTGACTGTTTGAATATTTTTTGCATGATGAACCATGCGATTTTGGGGTATATTCGGGTATCATATGATGAATCCCACAGTTTCATAGAATGCTTGATAGGATAATTATAAATTTCTGTATTTTGGCCTATGTATAGTGCACTCAGACAGAGCCCTTTGTCAGTTTCAGGGTGATATCCAGACGTAGTCATGAGCAATGTCTATCTTGGTTGGCAGTGTGAAAATTGTCAAAATAAATCCCTAGGCTGTTAAAATTTTGGGTACCAATTAAGTCTTATCACTATTTGGAAGGTACCCCACAATTAATAAACCATGGTTTCTTAATCCGAGGTTAACATTAAATGCACGTCGTTGTGCGAGACTGTTACTGGTCGATTGAAAACATCAATCTAGCAGAGCTTGAGGCAATTTCACGAGATTGTGGGCTATAGCCTGTCCTTAGATTGCTTGGAACGACGATTGTCCAGGTGGGAATTACATATCTATGTTTAGGTCATATCATAGCTACCTTCATTCCCCCATCCACAGTTTGAAAACTGCGTCAAAGTTGGCACGTAACTTCTGTGCATAGATGCGGTGTGTTGCTTCCGAGTATTTTACTCTATACCTCTATACTTCACCGCTGAAGACCTATAGACTTACTGGCTGGATGTTTCGCAGTAGTTTTCCCATTCGCAATCATTCGCACGTTTCCGTCCAGTCGACGCATCCCCATGTCGCAAGTTTTGGGGCTTGATGTCCGTCCCAGCGGAACTTGGGGGCTTTAAGGTGACTTGTTCTACAGTGCACTGCAGCATGCAGAGGTGCGCCAGGGTGGCGGCCCTGTGGTGTAGCCGAGGGTGTGCCAATGTTAGGGATGACATGGATGTGAGATAGTTTAACCAGCAAAAACTACAGCAGACATGCCATGCAGATCCTAAAATGACCACGCATTGCCATGGAAATTGGTCCAAGTTCACCATCAAAGATTGGGTCCAAAGTCCCACATGGGGATGTGCTACGAGACTCTCACCGCACGTTAGTATGCTTTCCAAAGGTGTCCAAAATGGATCAAAATATATCAAAATGGTATACAGGACGTGTGTCATACTATCTTTGATGTCTTTTGATGTTGCTTATTGTCTAACTTCAAGTCCATTACCCTCTGGTAAACTAACATAACTATGGAAAATCACCATTTTTTATGGGAAAATCCACTATAAATGGTCATTTTCAATAGCTACGTTAAATTACCAGAGGGTACCTTTTCGAGTCGCGAGGTGTGGCTTCAAAATGCCCATCGCGCTGTGCTTGGCACCATGGAGGTGTGCGACGGGAGCATGGCCCGCAGGTAGCAGATTCGTGACATGTTTCGTTTCACAATGCGTGCTGTATCCAATGGTTGGACTATAATCAACGGATATATATATATATAATATATATATATACAACCAACAATAAGATAATAAGGGATACAATGGGAGTTTTTTTTGGGGAACATAGCCTTGCCCAGCTCCGAAAGAGCATGGGCATCCGCCCATTAGGGGCTAATATACCCATGACAAGGAATCCTTACTGATGATCTGATAACCGTACCCCACACGGTTCTCATATAACATGTTTTTGTATATTTTCAATGGGAAATCCAAGATCCTAAAATGGAGGTAACGTACCATATAAGGCCATATTTTGTGGGGATATTCCCTTACATAGGCCTTCCTTATATAGGACTTATATATGGTAGGTACCTGAAATGGCCATTGATAATTGCACAATGTGGTCGTTAACCCTGGCTCCCCCTGAGGATTGTTATGGATATGCGCAAATGTGCATTGTGCAGGTTTTTAAGGCCATCCTCAGGAAATAGGTTGTCATTTCAATTGTAAAACGGGCCGACTCTACCTACCCAACTTGTGGATCATACGTAGTGCAGTAGTGCAGTACGATTCCAAGGGTGAACCGCAAAGTATGTATACAAGATGCACATTGGCAAACTGTTCGGAACATATAAGCCTGGACCCTCCAAATACCCCAAAAAAGTGACTGTACTAAAATTGTAGGGTAGAACACCATGTTTACGGGTGGAGGGTCAAACGATGTGTGTATGTGTGTGTGTGCTTCAAGGCTCCTGGATAAACAAATCCGATCAGTTAAATCCCAATATTTCCCCATCAAATCCAATATTACGATTTAAATATCCATTCAATTCCCATTAGCATCTCATCAGAAAACCACATTTACAATAATCCCATTTAGAATCTAATTTTCATAATATATTATATTATATAAATATACATATCGTTTTTGCATATGTACTAATATGGCTCGATTGTTTCTCAAAAAAAGAGGCGGAATTGAAGCACATGCGCTACGAAAACATGCGCCTCCGTGGCATCTTGGAGGAGGCTGCGGAGATATCGACACGTTACCGTGGTGTGGTTATAAGACATGTTATATGGATGTTAATGGATGTAGATTGGAACTATAGATGTTTATAAACTTTGCCATAACTATGGTTTATGGATGTTAATGACATAAGTTTGTAACATTGTGGAATATGGTTTATGACACTTTGAAATCTAGTTAATGGATGTTAATGGGTTTTATATAAACCAAACATCGGAATCTATCCACGTTTTACCCTATGAATTATTTGGTTTATAGATAATTTAGGTAATAGTGATGATATTTACAACTACTTATAACCATAAATATTGGCTTTATATAGCTTCCAACCTCTACTATATAGTTATGAATGTTAATTAGTAAAACCCAATGAACACTATAGTTATAAGTATCATCAACCAAAGTCATTGGAATTCCTGATGTTTGGGTAGCCCCAATCATCCAAAATTAGACTACAGTAGTTTAGAGTTGAAACCCGTGGTGACTTGGGGATCCTTTTTTAGGAACCTTCATTTAACTGCATATATATATATATCCATCATGACTCCAACAGTTCTGGAGTTACAAAGCAATCAGGGATAAATAACCGGCCAAAACTGGATTGATACACATGAATAACCCATCATTTTTCTGTGTATTGACACATGTTGCCAAGATTGGTGTTGTGAATTTAAAAAAAATACCCCATTTGTGTTACCTTTGATGGCTCACAACAACCTTTCTGTCTCACTTTGGTAGTTCAAGACTCTTTGATATCCTGCCATTTGATGGGGTCCATTTTTATATATATATATATATGTTTTTTTAATGGTGTACCTGGGGTAAACAGCAATGGATACATATATATATATGATTCTGATGATATCATTTCATTTCATATAATGCAGAAATCTGATATTGAAATAAATTGAAATAACTATTGGCTTTCCATGGTTTTATTATCAATGTCCTTTTGGTTATTATCCAATAGTGCCTTTGACCCACCTTGGTGTCCCAAGACGAGCAGAGCAGGCCGGGCTGAGTGAAAAGGCCAATGTCACCGCAGCCTTCGGCGCGATGGAGGCAAAGGAGGCCAGCTGTTCTGTTTTGAAGCAGCGGAAGTTACCCTCTGGGAAATCACCAGTTTTAATAGGTAAACCATCTATAAACTATGGGAAATCACAATTTTTAATAGGTAAATCATCATTAAAAATGGTGAAACATACATAAAACTACGGAAAATCACCATTTTTAATAGGTAAACCATCTATAAATGGGCCAGCTATTCAATCGCTATGTTAGTCATTACCAGAGGGTAGCTTTGTTCCAAAATAAGGTATACCTCAAAATCAAATGGTTCATGATCATTTTCCTGTTTACAAGGACTATTTTGGGGGTATACCGGTATACTCCATTTTCAGACACACCCAAACGGGAGATGCTTGTGGAAGACCTGAATTTCCACCCACTGGTTCATCATCATTTTGAAAATGTTCATTTGGGTTACACCGGAAAAAACCGCATTTTCAGACACATACACAGTTAAATAGACGGTGATGGGAGTTATAGTTTACAATGTTTACAACTTATAAGCAATAATTTGGGAACATAAAATCATAGAGATAGTCTTAACTTGTCTCTCAGACCATGTCCAAGTGTATCACTTGTCAAATGTTTGTATTTCCCCACCTGCCAGGTGAGGGTCTCTAGATGCTATCAGAGTTGCTTCCTCCTCCTTTTTCTCCTCCGGCAGCCTCGGATCTCAACTGCGAGCTCCAGATGTCAGTGGGGACTGCCCTACCTCAAAGAATGTCAAAGTCAGACAAAATGTCAGAAAAAAAACATATATATATATATATACTGCCAGATGGTATGTCGAAAACTATGTCAGAATAATGTGCCAGGGTTAGGATCACTTGAAGAAAGTCATATTTCATTCAGAGATGAATCTGATGCTTTGACTTGCAGATTTGTTCATTCTATACTTGGTGAACTCTATCACTTTAAAGAGCAAATCAGTTTCCAACACATTTGGTGCGTTGTGACAAGGTAATGACAAACCATTTCATTACTTCATGACTTGTTGGGTGATGAGCATCCTGATAAGGCAGCCATGACATAGCATGAGAATCTTCATCAAACAAATCTAGCTGGTTGGTGGTTTCAAACATTTTTTATTTTCCATAATATATTGGATAATCCTTCCCATTGACTTACTAGTATATTTTTCAAGATTGTTAAAACCACCAACTAGCTAGCCATGAACGTCCAACAAACTCAACCCACCACACTGCATGGAACTCATTGAACTGCTATTGCAGGAAAAGCCAAAGTCATCCACGGCAGATGCCATGCAACTTGGTGAGCATTTAGGCGAAGTGACCAACATTCAACAACAAAGAATCATATGCAATAGACTCAAATAAGTTTGGTGAGTTTTGATATCCACATGCATGTACATCGATTTTTAAAAATTTTGTTTACCCGTAATGCACGTAACATAGCTCTCAAACTCCTCCAAATTCCCAAGGACTTCCTGTGAAGAGCAGGAGATCAAGGCGCAAACCCCCAAGGAGCGTCGGGCTTTGGGGGGCCTTAAGCGAACAAAGCTGATGCCTTAATGATCTAAATTTGAGACATCAATGCCAGATATATGTTTGATAAGGTGATAATTGATAATTGTATATAAAATCTGGCATTTGATAATGTGATAATTCTTTGATAATGTGATATTTTCTATATGTATATAATTGTCAAAATGTCACGTCTGATGTCAACATAATTTATCAATAAATAACAGTTTTCCATTATGGATTCCATGATGCCTTATCCAGACATGTTGATATTGCCCCCCCCAAAAAAAGTGTTTTCAAAGGCCCCCCACCGGAATGACTTGGGAATCCAATAGGTACACGGGATACCCAAAGCACGGTCATTCTAATATCGAGAAAAATGAGGATCGAACATGTGAATGGATTAGTTTAATGGAAAATCTACAGGAAACCATCGAATTTCCCCTTACATATGGGGTTTTCCTGTAAATTTTCCTTTAAACCAATCCATTGAAAATTGGGTTTTGGGCTCTGGATTCCACTTTGCCCTGCTGATCTTGGCACAGGAAGCCTCGCCGGTACCATACACAGAAAGGCCGCAGGCGAACTGTGAGATGGGCAGGGGCCAAAAATTGATGTATTTACGGTTGATGAACACAAACAAATCATAGAAACGATTCAATCTTCAAATGAGATGACTTTGCGGAAATTGTAAATCCTAAGTTTGAGGTTGAACTTGGAACATCTTGAAACCAGAAAACCCAGAATGCTGGTTGTGAATCCGATCACATGGCCCCTTGCACAGATATTGCTGGTAATTACGCCGTGCAACTTCCCAGAACGGGACATGACGTGCACGTGTTTCTTGGGTATAGAAACATCAAGAACTTCACATGTTGAAGATGGTTTGAAATCACTTGAACAATCTTAAACAGTTTTTTCCACATCTGGGGCACGAGGTATCAAGAATTCCCAGGGAGTACATGGCCGGGTCAGTCAACACCAGGCAAGTGCTACTGCAGTTACCACTGCTTCAAGCAACGCTCACTGGATCCCTGTGAAGCATGAAGGTGCCATGAAGGGATCCAGCGGGTTCTGTGATGTGTGTATGTGTGTATTTGTCTGTGTGCGTGTGTGTTGGTAGGTTAGGGTAGGAACGGATCTTTAAAATAGGCACATTAGAACATGATTAACACAATGCTGTTTCTAGTTTTGACTGTCCATCTTTGCATGTGTGCAATTTCGGTATTGTTGCTGGATGAACAAGTAACTTTGATTCGTGGATAATCTCGCTGCATGAATTCGAACTGTTGGTGCGAAGTTTTGTAATAAAATTGAATTTCCTTGATGTCTTTGCTCCCGGCTATCCAAACCTGTACATTGTAGAGATAACAAAGCTCCAAGATAAACAAATCACCAAGGTACATGCCTCATTGTGCATCCTTTTCTGTGGGGTCAACACATCACTTGGAAAGAACTTCCCCAAAAGTCATGGGCAGTTTTGTCACAACCCAAAAGGGAAGATATTGATTCCATCCAGTTACAAAGAAGTCATTGCAGGTGTGAAGGCTGAAGATTTAGACAAGATGTCACAGGAATCTTGAATATCTTGACAAACACACGTGCTGTGAATTGCGAATGAAGGCAAGATCGAGGCAGGTCGGATTTCATTGATTCTTTTGGTGGATTCATACATTACCCATAGGATCCATGTATGGTATATATGCTAACATTGGGGGTATAGTGATGGTAAATTTTACCATATATGGCATACATGGATCCTATGGGTTATGTTTTGATCCTGACGTAACCCAGACAGTCTTAGTCTTTTTGGACCCGTCTCAAGGCCTCCGATCTTCGCTGACAACGGTGTCAACGGCCGCAGCAACCACAGCTACAGCGACAAGTCCTGATGGATTCGACCTGAGATCCAAAGTGGCCTGGTTGATTATGGGATTTTGATGGTTTCTCAGTTTCCCATAACTCTCCCCATAGGATCCATGGTGCTGCTATATATGGTAACATGGATCCCATCAATATACCCCAGTCATGTTAGCATATATACCAACACCATGGATCCTATGGGTCCATAGCTTTATCATAAGTCTCTTGGATTTTCCGACGTGTCTCACAGTTTTACCATCGGTTTTCCATAATTAATCAAAGTTTGCCGGGGGTTAGCTTTGAAATTTGAACGTTATAGTTCATCTAGCCGACAGCATGGATTATTGGTGATTGGAAGCGGGGGAGCAACTCGGTCTCGGGGCTGTGAAGACAGGAACTGCCAAACTCACCAGATAGCTGGTCATTGGTAGCTGGTTATTGTCATGACAAAGGTCTATGAAATATACAAGATCAAATTAGGACATATATTAAGAATATGAAATAGATCGCGTTGATTCCTGCTTGTTTTTGTTGTTTGCGTTGATATTGTCCAAGGAATACTGGTTTTGATACCCGTTCTTTCTAGTTTTCATAAGCATCTTATATCCATGGGATCACCCTTGGTGCCAGGAAGATCTGTCCAGCGTCAGCCGGGAGCAGCTGCAGAGTAGCGCTGCGCGCGCTGCGCGCGTCACCGCAACTCAGCTGCAGGATTACGGTGTGAAACCGCTTGGAAGTGGTAAATCCCAGTCAAGAAGTGTTCAAACGATCCTAGGCCATATTGGAATATAACGGATGGATATGGGTGGAAGGATATTTACTATATGACCGGGGATGACCGGGGTATTTCTTTAAATGGCAACCAAATCAAATGGACTATAAATGAATATATAACTATTTACTAAATGGGATTCACACGGGATATTCATAGACCATATTGATGGAATATAATGGATGTGATATTGTCTTTAAATGGCATATTATCTACACATGGGACTGTAAGGGATGTAGCAGGATATTAAGCAACAGTTTTTGGGATATACCTTCTGGGAATTTAACGTAGGGAATTGGACAATGACAAGTCATCATGTTTATCACCTGTAAATTGGCCATGGCTTATGGTAGAGCCGGTATAGCTATGTTTTTGTGTGGCCGCCAAGAATTGAGATACCATAGGAGCCTGGAAACTTGGTTTGGTGTCTACCCTTCTCAAAGTGGAGGTCAATATGTTTGAACAATACCCACAGGATCCATACAGCTGAGTTTTTTCGGGGCTGAGCCATTCATCACAAGGTGAAACGGCTACGCAAGTATGAGTGACGAGCCATATACCACCTATGATGCACATCTATTTGGCGATTTTCTTGCTGAGAAGGTGGAGGTGATCCCGTTAGAAAGTTAGATATGGTGACAAACGATATGGGTGTATCCCTACGTGTCCCAACCATGAGGGATTGGACATAGGCGTATGGTTTCAAGTAGGGGATTCTCTGATGACAGTAGGAATGTTCGCATAATACAGCAACTTATTATTATATATACTATCATTTGTTTGTTGACCCGCTGGAAGACCAATTGAAGACCATTGTTTTCAATGTCATCGTTGTGGGACTAAACTAAACCATGTGGGACTATTTTTTTGTCAAACAAGTTAGTTTTCCTAAACCATAAGGTAAAACCACTTAAAATCAGGTAAAACCATTGTGGGAATACCGGAAGATCTTCCCAGGTTCCTCTGGGCAAAACCCTGGAGGTGCAAGGGCCTGCACAGTATCACTGGACACGTATGTTACCCTAAGGTAAACTTACAAAAAAATGTGGAAACTCATGGTTTCCCTAGAAAAATTATCTACAAACGGTATCAAAAGGTGGGTTTTACACACCTATGTAAGTTTACAGAAGGGTAGTTTTCTTCCAGACAAACATTTGTTTCAAAGTCACCATATTGAAAGGTGTACACATTTGAAGACATAACCGGCTGTGAATTTTGGTCCTAGATGGTCCCAAAGGGAACTCCAAAGTGCTGAAGTCCATGGTTTCCATCCACATCTCTTCGATGACCTTTCATCTTTGAGCCGAACCAAAAGGTCTCATGTCTGGAAGATTTTGGGGTCGGATTTGCTTGAAAGCACATGTTTTTTTTGGGGGAGTATCAATCCACACTATCCACGTTTGTTGGCTCTGTCTCCAACCCCAGCCTCAGATTTCAATTGCAGACCTTACCAAAGAAATGGGGGGGGGATCTCAGCGACGTACCATATATCTAACAGTGGAGCCTTTGCTCACCGTGAGCATTGTGGATTCTGGGGCGTTTTTTTTTTGTGACTTCAAGATTACTTACCCATGCACGGTTGAATCGAACAGATTCAAAACGTACAAAACTATACAAAACTTGTATGACAAATACATAGCTAAGTTGGTTTATAACTCCAATAACTGTGGTTTATAGCTGGTATATCTATAGTTAATGGGGTTTATAAACCAATTTATAACTAGGGGGCACCACCTTGTACAAACATTCTGACACCGTCAGAACAGCTCAGGAGATTGTGTTTTTTTTAATGGCCCTGCTGTTGCTTGTGCCCTTACTGATTGATACCGATTGTGAAGGGCTGTAGAGCTCCTTGTGGCAGGCCCTGTTGGCGCAGTGGGGTTGGCAGCACTTGGAGGTTCGCCTTGCTGTTGTCTGTCAGGGGGTTTGGCCTCTTCGTGAAGGGCTAAGCCTCAACAAGAATAACTCATGGATGTTTTTCAATTCCCCAGCAACAGATTGAAGATTTCACGATTTATTGATTGGGAATAGGATGCTCATGTTTGGGAGTTAGACACCAAAATCATGAGGTTGGGAAGTGTCCTGCCTTCAGGAAATGAATACAATTCAATTACGTTCTTGAATGTTTGGCGCAGTTTTTTTAATCCGGTGACGTTTAAGTGGGATTTGAGAAACGAACCCCCCTGAGGCAGAAATTCTCTCAGAGTCTGGCGATGTCCGTGACCCAGCAGACGACTTGCGAACATCTGTTTTGAATGGGCCAAGGGGTCGTAAATCTGGAACAACTATAGAGGGCATCAAAAGGTCTTATTGGTGTCTCTGAGTACAGGTTACGTAGTCAATCCATGTCTCATGAAAGTAAATCGTTGTGGTGACTGGAACTAGGGCAGAGCATCTTCATTCCGCAAAATCTGTGTCGTGTTGTTTTAAGCTGCCTAAAATTAATTTCTTTTAGTAGCCACACAAACCGAAACCTCATGTATAAGCTCTTTTAAGTTCATAGAATATCATAATATGCACGTAAAGGAGCTTACACATGAGAGAATAGTTTAACACTATCTCATTATATCTCATTTGTCACACTATCAGTTGATAATATCAGTGACACTATATCACTTTTATAAACAATATCAATTATCAGTGAAACACTACCCCCAAATCATCAATTTTAATGGGATTTTCCCTTATAAACAATTCATTTGGGGTACCACCATTTTCAGGAAACCTCCATATCAGTGACTTTCTGCACATCAGTCCGAGTGTCACCCAGAGCTGTGGCACTGTCGACTCGATGTCGAGGTGGCTCTCGCGAGCATTGGAGGCGCCAAGTTGAAATTGAGGCGCCAAGTTGAGTGTTGTCGAGCTGGCCCTGGTTATGTTGTTGGTGTTGGTTTGTAAACCCCTTAAACTATAGAATTTGAATTACTAAATAGGATCAACAATATTCCATAGGTGGGTGAAAATTCTGAACCCGGGGAGTCACGGGTTTAGCTGGAGGTGTGTATTTTGACATGCCTATCAAAACCGAATCATACATGTGGATTGGTATTTTCAGCAGGGTTTAGGCCGTTTCAGAGGGTCTCATGGGTTGGTACAGGATGGAGCATTCCAACGAGCCGTTGGGGAGCCAAGGTGGTTCATGTCAGGGTGTTTCATCAGAGTATTCTACAGTGAAATTCGTAAGTTCGAAACCATTCGAAGTGGAATATGACCTTAAGTCCAAAGTCTCAAGGTGTGGGACGGGGTGCATCCTTGTGGTGAAAATTTAAGGCTACCAATAGATTTTTTTGAACATAGAGGCAGTTTTAGTTGGATGTGATCTCGCTTAAACGTGGACCTGAGGATAAATCATTGTTGAGTCAGAGTCATCACTAGTCATATCATATCCATAAAAAATATCCCAATTCTTCCCTTAAGATGTTTCAGCTTGCAATAATTCACACCAGAATTCCCAATGTCAACTGGAGCAGTTTCCCACTTGGACCAATGGAGCCTTGAGGCGGCAAGCTGGTCGACTACTGGCCTGGGATGAGGATGGAAACATTTGGCAGGCGTGCAAGCAGCATGAAAAAAAACCTTAGGACTACCCTCTGGTAAACTAACATAGCTATTGAACATTGCCATGTATAATGGATTTTCCCATTAAAAATAGTGATTTTCCATAGTTATGTTAAATTACCAGAGGGTACGTGCAACCAGAAACATGTTTCATAACCTGAGAGAAAGCACCTGCTGCAATTATATATATATATATATATATGTTCAAGGACAAATGCTAAACTTGGTCTTGGCGTCTTGGCTTGTTATTGAGCTTACCGCATTAAACGTGATTTTAACTTCCGCAGAGATCGCAGAGCCTGCATTGAGGATTCTCAAGTTCAGGTGGATGAAATTGTCGAAGCCTTGTGTGGAGCTCCCATATTCGCAAGCTTAGAGAAATGGCCATCCACAAGGCTGATGTGTGATGATCCAAACTGCTTTGTTTTGCATTTTGGGGTTACACTGGTATCTCCTGTGTGTTTCTCGTTGAAGGGTGGCATGCAGACGGCTCTTTCCTCGCAGGCATTGGAAGTTCTGATTCGCAAGAAACGTTTGCAGAAGGCCATCACTGCGAGAAGACCAAGATACCTTCAAGGGGGGAAAATGTGCTTTGGGTTTTTCCAAAATGAGGGGGGTGACCCCCAAACCCGCAAAAGCTCATTTGAATGGGGAATAAAAATTGAATCGTGGAGTTTGGGGTACCCAAACAAATCCACATGGTTTACAGCATTGACATCTCCATTCCCAATCCTTTGGTTTACTTATATAGCGCATCCCAGCATGGAACTGGATCATACCATAGCTGGATGTATCCAATGAATGGCTGCACTTTACCGACCCCGGATTCTCATTTATCATCCACCTGAAATGGCTAGGATGCATATCAAACTAGGGCCCATGCTACAAGTTACAGCAGGTAACTCGCCCCAATTCATTGTCACATGCGTCCATGTTGGCGCAGGAACAACTGGGGGGTTGCTCATCAACATGTGCACATAATCACTAGTCAGACACAAAGGAACGGTTGCTTAATACCTCAAACATACCGGAAACAAGTCCACATGAGAGAAAGGACCCGCAACGGTCAGTTATCTAGTGACAGATTATAGTCATCAAATTCATCATTGAACTCAACAAGGGCCATATGCAGCAGTATAGTAACAAAGATTTTTTGTGGCAGCCCTTTCTTTTTCGGGTTGGTGAAACTTACAGAGTCTAAATATGTCTAAATCCAAGAAAAGTACATATCAATCCGGTTGGTGGTTTGGAACATGTTTTATGTTTCCATATATTGGGAATAGCAATCCCAACTATGACTATTACTCACTCATATTTTTCAGAGGGGTAGGTATACCACCAACCAGCCAATACATACCATAATTTGGCCGGTTAAATCTGCGTTTGCGTTGGCTGACGCAGGTGGTTCGTGCATGTCCCGTGGCGGCAACCCGCGAATTCACCCGAGACGAATCTGAGTCGGAGTCGGTCCAGGCAGAACTTCCAGGATGGGTCAAGACATGTCAAGACCAAAAAGCACAAGCTGGGCGATTTATCTTAACCGTCTTAGTATAAAATGGTGTTAAAAAAGGGATTACCATGGATTACCCTAATATTGATCTTATATCTCTGATGAATAACTTCAATTGAATAGAAAGTAGAGATGTTTAAATCCTAGCATTGTGCTTGAACAATGGTGATCACGTGTTCAGTTATCCCACAAAAAAAAAAAAACGGCTAGATGACTAGGGTACCTCCAAGATCCTGCCAGGTAGACACACCTCCTATAGGGCTACCCGGCTGCCAGGTGGCAAATGTTGAAGTGGCTCATTCCGGTCGATCACAGACACTTGGTGCCAGGATGTCGGAAGATCTGGTTCCACTATGTTCCACTCCTAAAATGGAATACATTGGAATAGCTCCGTTCCATCGTCCCACTATGTCCCACAAAAATATGTGTTTTCATCCCCTGTACTGTTTTCCATGTTTTTGTTTTGGTGTTTGATATTTCGGGGGATGGGACGTTTTCAATCGTTTTCTCCTGGGGTGGTTATTTGTCATTGTCAGAAAAAGGTTAGTCTCATTGGCAGAATTTTAGTCCACACTGCGGCTGCGGGGCCAAAAGTTGTGAAGCCAGGGATGTTCTGAACGAGAGATCCGCTCCGCAGAATCCATGTCTCTTTTCTTCGCTTGGTGCAGCACGTACCCGGCCTGGTAAAGATACAAAAAACGATGGTGAAAATGTCTATTTTCACTGGGATCAATGGGTAAATCCACTATTTCTATGGTCATTTTCGATAGCTTTTTGTATATTTACCAGAGGGTATGTGTCACAAAATCATACAAAATCTTTTTTCAGTGAGGCCAGGCTGGAAATTTGGCGATTGAAATCAAACATGCCCTGGCTGCCATGGGAAATCCTCCATGTGTAGGTTACGTTCCCATGAACATTCACATTTTTTTGTGGGGAAATTTCATCATTACCATGTTTGATGACCAGAGGGTACCCTACGGCGTTGTCGTTGTGATATGGTCTTTTGTTGTAATCCTGCAATTATTTGACATTCTGGTCTACCCCAGCCCAAAGTGACACAAATGCCTGCGACTATACTGTCATAGTTTCGCTGTTTGTGGGGTTTAGCTTCACTTTTTAGCGGGTAGATAGTGGTTGGGGGCAGCAATAGCAGATGTGATGCTCATGAATCACAAGAAACTCTGATGTAGCAGCACCACTTTCATTGATAAGCTAAATTCAACTGATGAACGCGGCTGACTCATAATATTTTACTTCTCAAAGTTTGCATCACCGTTTCCACCGCTTCAAAACCCAATTCTTTGCAGAACAAGCTTTGTTAAACCGAAATCTTGGGATTTCAATGAGAAATTTCCGTCACTGGAGAGCAACCCAGCAACCTGGTGAACTCTCCATATCTCACCGAGATCTGATTTTATTTCAGGATTCCCAATTTTTAAGTGATTGAAACAACTTCCCACCAGTTTATTCTGTTGTTTCAATTTTAGAATGTGATAGAAACAACATCCCACCAGTTTTTTTAAATCCCAAGTTCGATTATTTCCCCATTTTTAGACAGTGATAGAAAGAAACACGACTTGCCATTTTTCAATATTGATTCATGTTAATATTGCGCAATATAGGATCCACCATCTCTATCATTCGCCATGGCCATGTGTGGCTTATTCATGACTAACCTGACGTGGCATTGCCACGTCAAGTCCCCCCCGATTTTTGGTCATGGCGAGATTTCGAGCATCCCGAACCAAGGCTCCGTAGCCCGTTGACCTTGGCTCAACTGGAGGCCTTGCCCATTGAGTCACCCGTGAAACCCTTGCGACACCGCGCAGGGCGCTGAAAAAAATGGCAGGCCATGGCTGTGGCCATGGAAATAGCCTAGGGATAATTGTAATGAATCGATTAGCCAATGGATTTAGAAGTTTATAGCCTATATAGCTTTCAAATAGCACTTTTCATAGGGATAATGGTGATTCACCGATGGATTTGGGAGGTTTTCTGTCTGACATTTTCAGACAGACACACATCACCAAGGTCTATGAAGGGCTAAGTTTGAGACTTAGGTTGTTCAGACCTTCATCGGATTTGTTGCTCGAAGATTTCAAATGGCGAGCCGCAGATGCATGAATAGCTTTGCAAATGAACTACAGAATTCGGCTGATGCGCAAGAATGAATTCGCAACTGCAGGACAACGATATATGACAAAGATCAAATGGGTGATGCGACAGAAGTGTTGACACAGTCCGAGTCTTCAAATGGCCACAACCCGTCCAGCACTACTAAGAATTGAGATGTGTTTTCCAGCCACAAAGGATTCATTGCCGCAGCATCCGCCAGTCGCATGGGCGTCCATTTCGGATCCAACCGTTCCGATCCGATGTTAGGCGACTCGAGCACTTTGGTGGCCGATGTTAGGCGACGCTGTCTGAAAAGGAACAGGGTCTCTGCAGATGGGATGTTTGCTTTTCTTGAAACACAGTTGGGTATGGATCAATACCTATGAAAATACAATTTTTAGTGGGATGAACATCCATAAATCCCAGCTATTTTGATGTGAACTACAGGGGTACAAGGTTTTGACACACTGCCAGTTGTGGCCCTTTACCAGATAGAAGTACTATGAAGTACTTATAACATAACCGCATTTATAGAACGTATAATCCCATTTATAACCAGTTAGAACTGGTAAATTGCCATAACTGCAGACTACTGTAGATGTTTGGAACAAGTCATGTAGCAGCATGTAACACTGGTGTAGGGTTCCTAATGATAAAGAACACATAAATTGAAAGCAGCTGTGCCGACCACAGATGTTCGAGGAAAGGGGTGTGCAAGATTGCGCAAAATACCAACATAAAATTCGAAAACTGTTGGACTATGTTGATGAGTTTTTGAATGTTGAAACTATGATGAACTACAAAACATGGTCTTCACTCCCATGCTTTATGTTTTGTGTTTTTGACGTGTTTTTGTCCATGATTCATCATAATTCTCTCATAGCCTATGTGTCTGAGTCCAAAGGGACATCCAAAAAAATCTGATCAAACGCCATTTCTTCGGGGCGCCGCAAGCGAGAGACACTCATGGGGATGTGCCGACCTTTCTTTCGCCCGACACTTGTGGCTAGCTGAATCGCTTCCCAAAGAGGGGGCGCTAATATAGATGGTGCCGTTCCAGCGGAAGCAATGAAACCAGTTGAAGCATCTCCGAAAGACAGCTGCACACCAGGAACCTTTGATAGAGTCGTGATTTCTTGCAAGATATTTCATGGTTTCGGAGGTTTAATACTCCAAGAATCGTTCTTATCCACCCGAAAAGACAATGGAGAGTATCTAAATCCAGATCATACCGGCTTGTATGCTCGATGTGCATGGGAGTACAGACTCGAATCTATATATATATATATATGCACAAGTGTGATTTTCTTCAGGGTGATATAATTACCCATAGGATCCATGTATACCATGTATGGTAACATTTACCATCAATATACCCCAAATGTTAGCATATATACCATACATGGATCCTATGGGTTATAATATGAGCAGAATTTACATGAATCTAGACACAGCATTCACCAAAGCCGTTATTTTTGTTGGGTAAGTCCATAAAGGTCACCTCCAATCCGGCGCATGCTGGCGGTGTCATGTGCCAGACGTGACGGTGCGCAGCTGCATGTCTTGGGTTATTCCACTCACAACAAGTAAAGGTGGAAAGAGGTTTTAGTAGATTGGTTTAAGGGAACAATTACTGGTTTAAGCCCCATATTTAATGGGAAAATCTTTGGTTTCCGGTTAAGATTTTCCATTAAACCAATCCATTGAAGGTTGTCACTAAGTGGCCAGCACCAAAAAGATATGACAATACCAAAAAGAGTGGATAGTATGAATTGTGATGACCACTGGGAATCGCAGGTTGCTGTAGGAAGAGGAATTGCAGCCAGAGAATTGGTGTGGCCTCAATTTGACATGGCCATGGAACATGGCCCATTTGTAGATGAATTACATATTTGCAAATTTAATTTTACCAAGGGTAATTCTTCAAAATTCTCACTCTTACTGCTCCATTGAGTGGAGTTGACCCCACATGACCCCAGCTATAGCAGGCACTTGCCAGTATTGAATTCCATTGACGTGAGGTATTGATCAACAAAATGGTACTCTGAAATGGGATTGTGCACTTTTCCTACGTGAATCAATTAAGAAATCTCTTTGTTCTCAGGGTTTGACATATTTTGGGCTATACTTATGGGTGCACCATGGTGGTTCTAGTGGGAATAACCGTGGTGGTAACCTCCACACTTTGATAACCCCACTGATGATATCTATTGTCAATGGCCATTCCAGGATCCGATTGATTGGAGGTACCTACCATACATAAGGCCTATATAAGGCCTATGTAAGGGGATATACCCCCAGAAAATATGGCCTGAAAAATGGTACAGTACCTCCGTTTTAGGATCCTGAAATTCCCATTGATATTGTCAGCCCAACTTCACCCCCAAGTACCAATTTCAAATACTTTTGCCGGATTGTGCATATGTGGCACGGTGAAAAGTTGACGGTATACCAGTGCTGGAAGGGTGGTCATCAATACATTCATGGGGTTTTATATATCCATTAGGAAGGGTTTCCCAATATAGTGGGATTACCATACACCATATACTGTACCATGTCTTGACCCTAGTCTAGCACGATGATTACAGGGGACTATACTACTTCATACCATGATGGATTCTCACAATCCATGAACAGGGAATCCCTATCAACCAAGCAGTATAAAGGCGCCACTGGATGACATGGTTTTTGAAGCTACTCAGGTGGTCCAGTTATGGCCATTTATCAGTTATAAGTACTTATAACTTATAACCTTATTTATAGAATGTATAATCCCATAGAAATAACCACTAATAACTGGTAGCCATGGCCATAACTGCAGATGGTTCCGATCCACCCTCAAACACCATTGATCCATCTGGAAAATCCCTTGGTTTTCTCCCGGTGGATCCCTAGAAATCCCAGCAGATCTGATCAAAACCAGGCTGCCCTTCCCAATGATCCCGGAGGGGTACCGGGCCCCACCCACGGATGCTGTAAGAAGCTCAGGGGAATCAAGGCATTGATGGAAAAGAAAGGTGGGTTTTTTGTTCCCCACATCTTTGTGTGGGGTTCTTGTTTTTGATTCTGTATCCCGGGCTTCTCCTCCTCCTCCCGCCGCCTCCGTAACACAACACACACAAACTTAACATACAATAATTTCACACACACAAACTTAACAGACAATAACTTCACACACACAAACTTAACATACAATAATTTCACACACACAAACTTCACATACAATAATTTCACACACAAAAACTTAACACACACAAACTTAACACACACAAACTTAACAGACAATAACTTCACACACACAAACTTAACATACAATAATTTCACACACACAAACTTAACATATAATTTCACACACACAAACTTAACATACACAAACTTAACACACACACAACACACACAACACTTAACAGACAATAACTTCACACACACACAAACTTAACACACACAAACTTAACAGACAATAACTTCACACACACAAACTTAATATACAATAATTTCACATACACAAACTTAACACACACAAACTTCACACACACACAAACTTAACAGACAATAACTTCACACACACAAACTTAACATACAATAATTTCACACACACAAACTTCACATACAATAATTTCACACACACAAACTTAACATACGCAAACTTAACAGACAATCAATTCACACACACACACCGTCGTTTTGCGTGGCAGGCGTGGTACACATGGCACTGGGTGGCGCACTTGGTGACATCCACCCTCGTTTCACGTGGCAGGCGTGGCACAAAACTCGCATCCACCGTCGTTTTGCGTGGCAGGCGTGGCACTCATGGTACTGGGTGGCGCGCTTGGTCCGGATTTGTCGCCTGTGACGCCGCGGCACTTTGTGTGGCAGGCGTAGCACTTGGTGACATCCACCCTCGTTTCACGTGGCAGGCGTGGCACAAAACTCGCATCCACCGTCGTTTTGCGTGGCAGGCGTGGCACTCATGGTACTGGGTGGCGCGCTTGGTCCGGATTTGTCGCCTGTGACGCCGCGGCACTTTGCGTGGCAGGCGTGACACTTGGTGACATCCACCTTCGTTTCACGTGGTACCTGTGACGCCGCAGCACTTTGCGTGGCAGGCGTGGCACTTGGTGACATCCACCCTCGTTTCACGTGGCAGGCGTGGCACAAAACTCGCATCCTCCGTGGCAGGCGTTCATGGTGCTGTGGCATTTGTCGCCTGTGACGCCGCGGCACTTTGCGTGGCAGGCGTGGCACTTGGTGACATGTTTCACGTGGCAGGCGTGGCGCATCCACCGTCGTTTTGCGTGGCAGGCGTGGCACTCATTACTGTGGCGCGCTTGGTCCGGATTTGTCGCCTGTGACGCCGCGGCACTTTGCGTGGCAGGCGTGGCACTTGGTGACATCCACCCTCGTTTCACGTGGCAGGCGTGGCACAAACTTGCATCCACCATCGTTTTGCGTGGCAGACGTGGCACTCATGGTACTGGGTGGCCCGCTTGGTCCGGATTTGTCGCCTGTGACGCCGCGGCACTTTGCGTGGCAGGCGTGACACTTGGTGACATCCACCTTCGTTTCGCGTGGCAGACGCACAAAACTCGCATCCACCGTCGTTTTGCGTGGCAGGCGTGGCACTCATGGTACTGGGTGGCGCGCTTGGTCCGGATTTGTCGCCTGTGACGCCGCGGCACTTTGCGTGGCAGGCGTGGCACTTGGTGACATCCACCTTCGTTTCACGTGGCAGGCGTGGCACAAAACTCGCATCCACCGTCGTTTTGCGTGGCAGGCGTGGCACTCATGGTACTGGGTGGCGCGCTTGGTCCGGATTTGTCGCCTGTGACGCCGCGGCACTTTGCGTGGCAGGCGTGGCACTTGGTGACATCCACCCTCGTTTCACGTGGCAGGCGTGGCACAAACTCGCATCCACCGTCGTTTTGCGTGGCAGGCGTGGCACTCATGGTACTGGGTGGCGCGCTTGGTCCGGATTTGTCGCCTGTGACGCCGCGGCACTTTGCGTGGCAGGCGTGGCACTTGGTGACATCCACCCTCGTTTCACATGGCAGGCGTGGCCACAAAAACTCGCATCCACCGTCGTTTTGCGTGGCAGGCGTGGCACTCATGGTACTGGGTGGCGCGCTTGGTCCGGATTTGTCGCCTGTGACGCCGCGGCGCTTTGCGTGGCAGGCGTGGCACTTGGTGACATCCACCTTCGTTTCACGTGGCAGGCGTGGCACAAACTCGCATCCACCGTCGTTTTGCGTGGCAGGCGTGGCACTCATGGGACTGGGTGGCGCGCTTGGTCCGGATTTGTCGCCTGTGACGCCGCGGCACTTTGCGTGGCAGGCGTGGCACTTGGTGACATCCCCCTTCGTTTCACGTGGCAGGCGTGGCACAAACTCGCATCCACCGTCGTTTTGCGTGGCAGGCGTGGCACTCATGGTACTGGGTGGCGCGCTTGGTCCGGATTTGTCGCCTGTGACGCCGCGGCACTTTGCGTGGCAGGCGTGGCACTTGGTGACATCCACCCTCGTTTCACGTGGCACGCGTGGCACAAAACTCGCATCCACCGTCGTTTTGCGTGGCAGGCGTGGCACTCATGGTACTGGGTGGCGCGCTTGGTCCGGATTTGTCGCCTGTGACGCCGCGGCACTTTGCGTGGCAGGCGTGGCACTTGGTGACGTCCACCTTGATTACATGCAAGGTCGTTTTGCGTGGCAGGCGCCTCACTGATGGCACTTGGTGACATACACCTTGATTTCACGTGGCACGCGGTGGGCACAATCTCACGTCCATGACGCCAGCAGTTGATCATGACTATTTACCAGGTATGATTACCAGCCACAGGGCATGCAGAAAGAGTTCGCAAAATTTGCGGCTTCGCCCGAAAGAGTGCAGAACATTACTTTGGTCAGCGGAAGTATGGAGAGCACACCATCGCTTTGATAGAGGGCTCTGCCACAAAAGCTCTTTCGGGAAGCAACGTCGGGGAAAAAACCATCAGAGCCTGGTGGAACTCGAAGAAGGCGAGTGAGACACGTCGTGAGACCTAGTGTTCAGCACACACCCTTGGATCCCACAAAGAATTTCCGTGGTAAGCATATCTTGTTTCTTTTCTGGCCTTCAGTGACAAGTCACTATCTAGTGGAAGAAACACCACCAGACGCGCAACTTTGTCACACACATACACATACATACATTCATTCATTCATACATACATACATACATACATACGTACGTATGTACATACAGACATACATACGTACGTACGTACGTACATACATATATATATATATACATACATACGTACATGCATACTATCTTTTCACATACTTTCACACACAGTCTTTCACCACCTCCTTTGTCTTTCCTTCCTTCTCCGACCCCGCTACAACCTTTGAAACTCATTATTGGAAGAAGTTGACTTGTGGGGTTATCCGGTCCTTTAATTGGAGTTATAAGATATTTGTTTAGTGGATATGTGTTTAATATCGTTTAATGTATAATGATTTTATGTGTGTATATATATATATATATTATATACGTACATATTTTATCACTTATCACCCATAGTTTTAGGGATGATTGTATCCCAACTTCTTGAGTTTATCAGTTTTAACCCACAACCATATAGTTATTGTTATTACAGCCCGACTTATAGAGGTTACCAGTTACCTACCACCATGTTTGAACCAAATTTTAGCTTTCCATCGTTCCTCGATGATTAGGACCACTGACTCATTTTTTCAGTTGGTTTGAAACCAGCAAACAGTAAGGGCTGGAAGCTGAAGCAGTGAATTGGGTGATATTGGGTGTTGGTCATGGAAGAGAACTTATCACGTACTTGTACTTTTGATGCCTGTCGAAGTGGAGTGAATTACATCTTGAAGGGACCAGGGAATGTCCATGGTTGGTCTCAACGCTCAGAAAACTGTATGCCCACCCATGTTTTTTTGTTTAAGGCTACTCTCTGGTGATTTAACATAACTATGGAATTTGGCCCATTAAAAGCAGTGATGAAGTTTCCAGAGGGTTCATGTTTTTTTAATGCTGGTTGGTGGTTTCGAACATGAGCAAGGGTGCCCGTATTTCACTGGTTCTGGATTGTTTGACCCATACTGGGGATTCTATGATTGGGACTACAGTTCCTGATTGCAGGCAGATCAGGGTGCTTGGTGCTATCAACCCCCAAATCAAAGGCTGTCGGAGGGTCACAGTGTTCGATGCTGTTCTGGCCAACCCTGGCAAGATCCTGGATGTCCACTTAGATGAGCAGTCCGCTGTCATTGCCCATGGACTTAGCCCTGCTGAAGATGTGTTTCGGTGTGTTGAGTTGTGCTCGGAGATTGCGTGCTCCAGTTCGGGTCTTCTCCATGCCGGTTTCAGACATGTGTGTAGTGTTGAGTGGCGTGCCCCTTTTGTGGACTTACATCGTGTCTCCAAACCTGGGATTCCGGTGGTTCAGGGTGATATCAGTGATCCTTCCTGTCTCAAAGAGGTCGCCTGTAAAGTGGACCCCCCTTTCACGTTGATGACGGGTTTTTCATGCCAGCCATACTCTACTGGTGGTGCTCAAGGCGGATCCAATGATGAAAGGTCTGACACTGTGCCAGCCACGGTCCGTGCTGTCCACCTGTTCCAGAGTCCAGTTCTGATCATTGAGAACGTCACCCAAGCCCGTTCCAACCAGTTTGTCCGAGCATGCCTGAAACAACTTGAAACTGTCCTGGGTTACCAAGTCTCAGAGCTGACATTGAAGTTGGAGGATAACTGGTGTGCCAGGCGTCACAGGTGGTGGTTTGTTGCTGTTCACCCGGCTTTCGGACCTATCTCCATTCCTGATTGGCCAAAGAATCCAAGTTTGACCATCCGAGATGTCATGCCTTTCATCAAGTCGTGGCCAATTGAAGATCTGGAGCAACTCAGATTGTCCCCACATGAAGCAGCTCGGTTTACGATGGATGGCTCCTCGCTGCGGAAGTACATGGTGCAAACAGAGGGCAAGTTGCCGACCAGTCTTCACTCGTGTGGGAGCCAGGCTGGGGAGTGTCCTTGTGGTTGCCGTAGAGCATTCAGTGATCAGTTGCTCCGACAGAGAGGGGTTTATGCCCAGCTGATCCAGTTGCACTCAGCTGACGGTGGGATTGGATACCGCCATTTGCATCCGGTTGAACTGTCATTGCTCAATGCCATGATTCCACCGGAGTCTTGGATGTCCCGTGATCGCCCATGTCTCCGACTCTGTCTGAGTGCCATTGGCCAACTTGCGTCACCGATGCAGTCCGTCTGGGTTGGGTCTTGTCTCATGCAACAATTGTACAATGTGTTGGAATTGGAATCTGTGGCACCTTATGAGCGTCTGTGCACTTTCAAGGGTCAACTGCGTGCCTTTGCCAAAGACCTCTTTCCGGATGTCACTCCAGGTCCCAAGCCTGCAGTTTGGACTACGTTGGTGTACCCTGACAACACTAAGGTCCAGGTTCAGGTTCAGCCAGACACAACAGTCATTGAACTGTTTCAAGCAGAAATGGCGTTGCAAAGTGAAGCTTCCTCGGATCAGTGGATTGATGCTTCGACGGGACAACAGTTGGACTACTTCACTTGTGTTGCTGGACTTGAAATCAGAGTGAAAGGGACTGGACAAGACCCCGCCTCCCCAACTGGACTTACGCCTTGGACTTCATCTGATCAGCCCATCCCTGTGACCTTTGAGGACCCTGAACAAGAAGACTCATTGGTCCCTGTTGCAGGTTCCACCAGTGCGCCGTCTGCCAGTGTGCCCAGTAGCATGTCACTCGGCCCTCCTGAGCATGCAAGTGGGAGTGGAGATGCAATGGATTTGACAACTGAGCATCATGTCGTTCCAGGACATGTGATGGACACCTTGCATGGACTTCGTAACCTGACTGGCCACCAACTTGCTGACCTTGTCCCACCATTGGTCTCTGACAAGTCGTCCTGCCTGATGTTCCGACGAGAAGTGGTTAACATGGAATCCAGACTTGATGTTTTGTCCAATGAAGGCCTTGCAATGGGTGACGACGAATTGAATATTCACCTCCAGGCATGTGTGAAGCTCTGTGGTAGGTCCGATGTCCAATACCTTGATCCTCTTCTGACCTGCAGTTGGCTTCAAGGGGGCTCCATTGATGTTGTGCGAGATTGGTTGGATCAATTCCCTTCCTTGACCACCATTGTCACGGCTGTCCTTGTGAAAAGTCACTGGATCCCGATTGTTTGGACTGCTGGCATCTCCGATGTTCAAGTTGCCTTGTGGGAGCATGTTGACGTTGATGTGGACTTCCTGAACCCCCTGCATGGACTTGTCAGCTCTGCGTGGGGTCGTCCTATGTTCGGCCTTGCCTGCACTCGTCGGTCCTTTGCCCGTGGGCTCTGTGCTGCTGCTGCTGTGGCGTTCGTGTCTCATCGTCTCCTGGGTCATGACTTGCCTAGCTCGTATGATGCGTTGCTCCTGCTGCACCAAGACTTGAAAGCCAGTTTTGCTGCTACCTGTCGCACTGCTCATGTCTTGCCCAAACCTTGGTGCTGGGGCTTTGGTACTGCTGATGTTTTTGGACTTGCCAGTGAACTTTTGCAAGCGCACGGGGTTCCTGCCTCACAAGCCCCTCTGCGAGCCAAATTGATTGTCCAATCACTTGGCAAAGCCGATGTCCAGAAGGCATTGCATGGAACTTCACCTTGGAAGTCCCTTAAAGCCCTTGCAAATTTGCAATCACCGCCACTGCAGATGGTTTTACCTGATGAGCAAGCTCAACACAGTCAAGTCAAGCAGGTCCCAAAGCAGAATAGCAAGACGAAGAAGCCTGCCGCCGTCAAGAAGTTTGCCCCTTCCAGACCAGCGGATTTAGATCCGGCCAAACTGCAGCTTGAGCCTGGTGCCTTTTGCGTTGGACAAGACGAACCAGTCAGTCAGGTGTCGTTTGCTATGTTTGGTCCTTTGGCCACAGGGGTAGCCTTGTCGACTTTCCAAGATGCGCAGCCCTTTTTGCAGGCGGGTCAGCTACTCACCAACCATGGTTTGGCACTGCTGATTTTGAATCCACCGACCGAAGTTCAGACCTCGTTGACAACAGCCACCATACGGTTTGCGGCCAGGTGCAGCATGAATCAAGAGCCTATGATTGTGACAGGTCTGCTTGTCCAACTTGGAAAGACCTGTGTGTATCAGTACACAGCCAAAGACACCCCAGCAGTCATCACCACTGAAGTTGCCTGTGCCAGAATCACGGTCTACAAAGACCAGTGGGAACACGACTGGGAAGAGTTCACAAGTAGGCCTGTCAAGCATGTCCTGTCCGTCCTCCAGTGTCTTCAGACCTGTCGCAATGGTATTGATTGCACCTGTCAAGGCTGGCACCCTGGGCAAGATCAGCCGCCTGATGCCGTTTTGGATGTCTTTCGTAGACAGTACTTCAATGATTCAGGTAGGCCAGTCAAGTGGGATTCTGCTACTCACTTTGCGGTGTTTGTCCGGTATGCCAAATGTCTGGAGTCCCGTGTCCTTGCCGCCAGTGGTCAACATGGTGTCTATGTCGAGCCCAAGTCTGGAGATGCCCTCAAGCCTCACGGCGACTATCAGGTTGTCTGGCTGCCTCAGATGGACTTGCAAACTGTGGCCCATAAAGCCAAATGTGAAGTTGATTGTTTGGGCCTCGCTCGCACAGGTCAACGGTATGGACTTAGGGTTCATGTCAGGCACTTCCAACGCCTTTTCACCAGCGCCAAACCAGAGGCTGTGTACTTGGCTCCAGGCACCAGAATGGTGTACCACAGTGGCCCGTGGCCTTTTGGAAGTGATCGCAAGAGCATAGCCCGGATTTTGAAATCCAGCCAATGGGAATGCCGACCCCTACAGCCTGTTCAGCATGTGTCCGGTGGTCTGATGTGGTCCGTCCAGGCTGTCCATGAGCCTCCGGTACGTGTCCTGTCCCTGCAACACGGCCAAGTGGTTATCACGTGTCCAGACACGAAGCCGCCTGTGCTGGAGGTTGAAGATCAAGTTGTTGGTCAAGCTGCCACGGTGAAACTGTGCCGCCCATCTGATGCCTGCCAAGACCCATGGTTGACCAGTGACCCATGGTCCAAAGCCATTAGTGCCGCCCCGATGCTGCCAGCTGGGCCCCCTGCTCAGCCTGTCTTGCAAGAGCTTGAGCAGCGCATAGAACAAAGCATTCTTGCGAAGCTGCCGCCAGCTGACAAGATGGAAGTTGATGACCAGGATCACCGACTTCAACTGTTAGAAGCTCAGGTACAACAGCTGACAACCCGACAGGTGAGCTTGGAAAACACCGTCCAGGAAAACCACCAACAGAACACAGCACAGGTTCAGTCCTTGCAGCAGCAGATGAAGGTTCAAATGGATTTGCAGACGCATCAGATGCAGTCGATGCTGACAGACCAGATGGCGAGAATTGAAACCATCCTTGCCAAAAAGCCACGCACAGAGTGAAATGTTGGGGGCCCTGCGCCTTTGCCCGCTGCCAGGGTGACCCCGGGGCGTCCTCGCTCCTTTTGGGCCTTTTTGAGAGTTGTTTTAGTTTTGATGATGTGCCGCATTGGTGAAGCACGGGTTCCCGGCCCTGCCTCTGACACATGGAAGCTTGGGATTGTCAATCCCTCGGGATTGCAGGGGAAACACCATGTGATAGACAGTGTCAAAGCTGAAGTGCTAGCCATCAGCGAAACGCACTTGACTGCCCAGGCCAAACGAGGCTTGGCATGTTCCTTTCGGTCTCACAAGTCTCGGTTCAAACATGTCTTGACAGGTGCACCCATGGCACCTAGATCGCAATCCAGTGATGCCGGCCAATGGGCTGGTGTAGCCTTTGCCTCGGCATATCCTTGCCGCACAATTGCCGCTCCCTGGCCCAGTGATTTGTACGAAACAGGACGGCTTCAGTTCGCTGCCTTCCACACCCCAGCCGATTGGGTTTCAGGGGCTGTGGTTTATGGCTACCCTGAAGGCAAGACACACCCCAATGCACATGCCAAAACAGAAGCCATTTTGGACTTCGCCTGGAATCGGCTGCAAGCACAGCCTGGACCTCGATTCATGGCCGGGGACTGGAATTTTACCCCTGAACAGCTTCAGTTGGTTCCGCACATGCGTGCTGCAGGCTGGGTCGAAGTGCAGGATCTCGCCAGATCTTTGACCGGCCAGGCTATTCAGCCTACCTGCAAACAGACGACCAGGAAAGATTTCCTATGGCTGTCCCCTGAACTTGCCCTTGGATTTGTGGGCCTTCAGATCGATGCTCAGGTGTTTGCAGACCATTCAGTTTTGATTGCCACCTTTTCTGGGGGGAAAGCACACCTTGAACGGTTTGTTTGGCCTTGTCCGCAACCCATTGCTTGGAATTCTGTCCCGGCCTTGCCCGCTCCAGTCAGTTTTGATGGCTCCTTGGATCCGACCACGCAGTATGCTACTTTGTGGCGACAAAAGGAAAACCTTGCCCAAACTGCCCTTGCTCAGGATTGGTCCCCTGCTATGGCCGGACGAGGCCAACAGTTGAAGCCCCGCCGTGTTGTTGGCCGCATTGCTCCTATTAGACAAGGAAGGATGGATGATGTGCAGCCTGGGTTTTTTGGATTTTCTGCCCTCCACACCAAACGGTTCAAGCAGCTCAGACGTTTGCAAAACCTTTGTCGGTGGGCTGACAATCACGTCATGAATGATGTCACGGACTGTCTTCATGGAATTGGACTTTGGAATTCTATCCTGCGTTCTTCTGGATTTGGCTCTTCCTTTTCCAATTGGTGGCCTTCCCGGAGTTATGTCAGCCCACTTGACCCTCTGGTCATTCCTCCTTTCTGTCCTTGCCCTGCAGTCGCCCGACAGATTTATGATGCTGTGCATGCTGATGTCAGGCTTTTGGAGCAAAGATTAACCCAGGCTAGGAAAGCCAGTAAGGTTGCCCAACATGATCGAGATCATCTGCTGGTGTTCCGTGATGTTGCTCGTCCGGCTGCTGCCCCTGTCGAAAGTCTTGTACATCGGGTCGAAGCCAAGGTTGTCGCTGTTGATCCTACCGAGTGTGCCGTGGAGTTAGATCACCCAGTTCAGATGATTCCTGATGAGCCGGTCTGGATTTCGGGGCATGCACATGAGATCATACATGCTGAGTATGACAAGGTTTGGGTACATGATGTGTCCTCGGTGCAAGTGGCCGACACCTGCGTTCAGTCCAAATATGTGGGCGACCTTCAAGCCCTGTTTGATGCCTTTCATGAGCAATGGAAATTGAGGTGGTGTCGTCACGACGGAGTCCCCTTCAGCCGTTGGCAGGAGCTTTTGGACTTTGCCCGACGGATCATCCGTCCCACTGTAGTGCCTCATTTGGCTGTTGACTGTGCCTTGCTCCAAGCGGAGGTGCACCGGAAGAAGAAACGGGCCGCTACTGGGCTGGATGGGGTTAGCAGGCATGACCTTGTCCTTGCGGATCCCTTGACTTTGACCAGCCTCACCAGCATGTACCGGCGGGCTGAAACCGATGGCACATGGCCTGCTCAACTTGTAGCTGGCAAGGTCCATTCCTTGGCCAAGACTGAATCTGCATCCTCCGTAGGAGACTACAGGCCCATAACTATCTTTGGACTGACCTATCGGGCTTGGAGTAGTATTCAGTCGAGATACTTGCTTGCCTTCGCTGATCAGTGGGTTGATGATAGTGTGTTTGGCAACCGTCGGGGTAGACAGGCCTCAGACTTATGGATTCAGTTGCTCTCTCAGATTGAGTTGGCCTACTCTTCCTCCACTGGCCTTGCTGGCATTTCAGCGGACATTGAGAAATGTTTCAACTGCATCCCTCGGTTTCCGGCACTGTGCCTTGCTGTCCTTGTTGGCACTCCCAATGAGGTCACCACTGCCTGGAGTGGCGCTTTGGCCAGCATGTGTCGCCACTTCAAAGTTCGTGAGTCGTTCTCTTCAGGGTTCCTGACTTCCACTGGTTTGGCTGAAGGCTGTGGACTTTCTGTCTTTGGTATGCTGCTGGTTGATCACTTGTTTGCCTGTTGGCTCCGCTTCCAAGCCCCACCTGTGAGTTGCCTCACCTATGTTGATGATTGGCAGACAATCACCAGGGACGTTGACTACACTGTCCGTCAACTTGCCTTGGTTGAAAGGTTTGCTGCCATGTTTGATCTTACCATAGATCGCCGGAAGACCTTTGGATGGGCCACCTGCCCTGACATGCGACGCTGCATGAGAGAGCAGGGCATAAGGGTTTTACACCATGCCCGTGAGCTGGGTGGGCATATGGGTATCTCCAAGCAGTACACCAACCGTACTGTTGCCCAACGCATTGCTGACCTTGGGGAATTTTGGGTTCAACTGCGCTCCAGCCATGCCAAATACAAGGCCAAAGTTTACATGCTGCGGGCCGTTGCCTGGCCTAGAGGCCTTCATGCCATCTCCAGTGCTCCCATTGGGGACCAAACTTGGCTGGCGTTGAGACGTAGTGCGGTTAAAGCTTTGGGTTGGCAGAAGCCAGGGGTCAATCCTGCTGTTCTTCTCAGCCTTGTTGAATCAATGGTTGACCCACAGTTTGTGGCCATCTCCTGGACTTTTCGCACTTTGCGTGCTCAGTGCCCTGTGGATTTTTGGGCCGTTAATGTTGCTCCGTTAGCCAATGGGGACCTGGACTTACCCCCCAATGCTCCTGCTTCCATTGCTCTGCACCGTGCGCAGGCTGTTGGGCTTCAGGTTGAACGGAATGGGTTTGTTGTGGATCAGTTTGGCCCGTTTTGTTTGCAGTCTTGCAACATTGTTGAAGTTGACTTGCGTTTGCAGTGGGCATGGAAACTTGTCATTGCGCAGAAGGTTTCCCACAGAATGGATTTTCATGGGCTCTGGCAAGTCGACTTAGCAGCCACCCGACGTGCCCTTGCTCTGTTGGGGCCCGATGATCAAGCCTTGTATCGTCTTGGACTTGCAGGAGGCTTGTATACTGAAAGTTACAAGTCCAAATGGACTGATCAAGCTGACTGTTGTGACTGGTGCGGCCAACCTGACACGTTGAGGCATCGGTTTTGGGAATGCCCTCAAAACAAAGATCTGCGGGAATCCTTAGCCCCGGATATCCCTCCTATCCTTGATCAGCTCCCTCCTGTCATGTCCCTCAGGGGTTGGGCTTTACTTCCCCCTACCTGGCACTCTTGGATTCAGCTTCTGGTGAGTCTTCCGCCATGTCCGTTGGGGACGTCTGTTGGATTTGCCAAGGGGGTCTGGAATCATGTGTTCACGGATGGGTCCTGCCTGTTTCAGTCTTGCCCTCTGTATCGTTGTGCCGCCTGGTCTGCCATTCTTGTGCCTGCCTTCTGCTCAAATTGGACACCGGGTGGTACTCGAGTGGTTGGGGCATCCTACTTGCCGGGTATCTGCCAGACTGCCTTTAGAGCTGAGCTGTTTGCAGTGGCCTTTACGCTTCATCAAGCAGCTGACCAAGGTGCACCGGTGAAGATCTGGACAGACTGTTTGGGGGTGGTTAACAAATACAACCTACTGGTCAGAGGACACAAGAAGTTGAACCTCAACCGCAGCAATGCAGACTTGTGGGCTTGGGTGTTACAATCTGCTGATCGCCTTGGCTGCCAGAACATAGTTTTGTGCAAGGTACCGGCGCACCGACCGGTGACTAGTGCCACGACGAAGCTTGAAGCATGGATGTTCTTCCATAACGATGTAGCTGACAGGTCTGCGAGGATGGCAAATCAAGCCAGGCCGCCCAGCTTTTGGGAGGTGTGGGAAGCTCATGCTCAAGCAACTGGTGTTTCAGCGGAACTTTTTCGACAGGTACAAGCGTTGCATTTGGCTGTGGGGAGGCGACAGGTCCAGAGCCATGTCAGTGATGACACCGGCGATCATGGCTCTGGACCTGTCCGCCAAACCAGGAAGTTTGAGACTGCCTTTGAACGAGGACATTGGGATGGCAGGTTGCCGCCGCGAGTTTCCAGACTGTATGGTTCTACAATCATGCAGAAGGTCATCAAGTGGTTTCTGGCGCGCCTTGCGCCTTCTGCCAATTTGGTCTGGGTTTCTTTTGCACAGTTATACCTGGATTTTCAATTGTCAGTCGGACACCCAGGTCCTTTACGAGTTCAGAACCATTGGGTTGATGCCGATCAGAGACCTTACCTGGCGGTTGAGACCTTCTCTTTCAAGCAGAGGACCAAATGGTTTAGGCAATGTCTCAAGCATCTTTGGAAGGAAGCTGGCTTGACCGTTGGCATGGAGCAGTGTCGACCACGATCAGTTGCCATCCATGCCTTTTTGCCCGCTGCCTCTCTGCCCTGGGATAGCCATGCATTGGCGACTGTAGATGAGTGGCTTGGATCTCACCTCAAAGATCCATGCGCAAGGGATGCTGGAATTTTGAACAGCCTGCCGCTTCCCACAAAATGTGGTAGCATGCAGGTTGCTTAGAATGTTTTACCCGAGACAGAGCTGCCTCGCTCCAAACACTGAGCAGGCAACAGCACCGAAAACATGGCCGAAAACATGGTGGTTTCGAACATTTTTTATTTTCCATGTCATATATGGGATGTCATCCTTTCCATTGACGAACTCCTATTTTTCAAGATGGTTGAAAACACCAACCAGTTATCAGATCCAATCCAATCTGATTGCTCAATCTAATGAAGTCCCCAGACTGATCGCTGAGTAAATCACCCACGTTCCCATATGGTGAGGGATTAAGTCACCATCACCATTTGACCACCATTAAGTCATGGCACATGGCCGATGGCCGAGCTTTCGGGCCATCGAAGTGTTGGTCGACTCAAGTTGGTGAACCATGTCCTGTTGAAGGACTGTGACTCAAATTGGTTGACCAAGTTTTCTTTTGTTCATTCAACTAGGTCAATCTTACACGGGTACTTTAATCCTTTAGTCTTTTGGTATTAATGGGAATATCTACTAACCAGCAAAGAATTTATTTTTTTGCAGGGTATCTAAGATTGGCAATATCAACATTTGGGCAGCTTTGTCCAAGATATGCGGCTTGTCGACAGGTTCTAAATCGTTTAAGTTGGGCTCTCAGATTGGTGGTTTGGGGACAAGGGTGGAAAGGAGTCCAGAAAATACTGTGACAATCATGTGGTCAACCTAAAAAGTTTAGGTATGAATATACATCATACATATACGTATATATAACACATAATGCATATATATATATACTGTAAAAAAAAATGTATAAATATAATTATATAAATATAATTATATATATAATTATGTAACATACATATAAGTATATATATATATATATTTAGTGAAAGGAAAACATGGAGTGATATTCACTATTAAATTACTCCGTGTCACAATGATATAGAATCATAGAATTTGTTGCTTCTTGTTTTGCCAAACGCGCATGGACTTACGGTTCTTCCCTGCAAGCATACGCAAAGGGGATCCTGGTCAACACAATCATGTTTGGTGTGTTTATAACAACCTAGGTGGGGGTTTCCATAAATGGCTACCCCCAAACGGATGGTTTATAAATGTAAAATACCATTACCATATTTCAGGAAACCTCTAGACTCTAGACTAGCATGTCCTGAACTTTGAGATTACCTAAATCCATTTGTGATTTCTTTGGAGATCGAAGGACAAATTGAATTGGGTTTGGTATACTCTCCGATTTGACGATGTCCCCAATAAATGGAGGGTCATTTGGAAGCCAAGTCCATTCGTCATCGTCTATACGGAGATATTCATGGATAATCCATTGCCACTGGCAGGTAGCCTCTGGTAAACTAACAGACATAGCCATGGAAAATCATCCTTAATGGCTAAAACAACGATTCCTATGGCCATGTTCAATAGCTATGTAACAAATTACCAGAGGGTATTACATCACCAGTTCCAGGTGTTGTAGATCCTCTCATTTTGCTCCCAGGTCAAGAATTCGACTTCCAGGAGATTCGCGAGGCCAGGATGACAATTTTCCGGGAGGTGGATACTGTAGATACAAAAAGCTACGGAAACTCATTGGGTTTCCGCAGGAAATTTCCTACACATGGTGGATTATCCTTATCTATATGTTAGCTAACTAGAGGCTAGGCAGTTTCAATGATCAAGGTTTTTTTTTTGTGTGTTTATAACATATCCCATAGGATCCATGTATGCTATATATGCTAACATGGATCCCATCAATATATCCCCAATGTTAGCATATATACCATACATGGATCCTATGGGTCTATTTTGACCCATGGCATTGTGAATGCTTTCGTTCGTCAATGTTGACCATATACCCTCTGGTAATTTAAACATAGCTATTGAAAATCACAATTTTTAATGGGAAAATCCACTATTAATGGTCATTTTCAATAGCTACGTTAAATTACCAGAGGGTATTTTGACCCATGGCATTGTGAATGCTTTCGTTCGTCAATGTTGACAAAGGTATCTCGGCAGGAGTTGCTGCAAGTTGCCGTGCCCGAATGTTCCCCAACTTTGTTCCCACAATGTGTTCGGCATATCTGCATCTATTTGAAGTAGGGCATGTTCCATGTTTTTATTTGCTATAGATCCTACAGATCTTTGTGGATGCAGCTCGTGTTTTTCGCTTGGATGATGTAAATCTTCCGCTAAGTACCATTTTGGTATTGGCTAAACATCGCCGCTTTGTGTCTTCGATATACATGTCTGTTATGTCCTGGTTACATCCACTTGTTTCTGATCTAATGAAGTCCCCTATGATCGCTGAGTAAATCACGTCAGGGTCAAATCATTACCAAAAATCACCATTAAACCACAATTAATTAGGAAATCACTATTACCCATAGGATCCATGGTGCTGCTATATATGGTAACATGGATCCCATCAATATACCCCCTTTTTGTTAGCATATATATATATACCAGCCCCATGGATCCGTCATGGGTTAAATCACCATGTTCCCACAGTTATGGCCATTTATCAGTTGTAAGTACTAAGAAAACCCCATTTATAGAATGTATAATCAGATAGTTTTATAACCACTTATAACTGTTTTTTTTGGCCATAACTGCATCATCTTGTCCATCCAAAACCAGGCGCCAAACGGCCCGCCCTTAAACGTCCTGTTAAACGTTTGAGAATTCCGTAGGCGACACAGCAGTTCAGCGCAGCGCATCGCCTGGGAGAGGCGTTGGATGGAATGCCATTGGATTGCTCCATGTGTGGTATATTTACCTACAAAATTGGGTGATTTATGGGGTAAATGTTGGTAAATATATTGAAGCACCATGGATCCAATGGGTTTTCTCATGGTAAACCATTGTTTGTACTTTTTATAGTAATTGATTGGTAATAACTTAGCCATGGTAAGCCATTAAAGTGTTTCCTATTCTCAGAGAAATCCAATATCTTCAAATTATGGTGCAAAACAAATGTTTTTGAAAATGCAACCATGTCCATAAATCACACTGATAAAAAGATCTGAGGGCGATATGACAACGTCTAGAATGATGATACTGGCCGGAGTTGGTGAAACCCCGAAAACATCAGATGTGGTTACTCCTTGGTTTTTTCACATAGCTCTGGAAAATCACCATTGTTACTAGGTAAATCCTTATCATTCATTTATAAATGGGCCATTTTCCATGGCTATGTAAGATAGCAAAGGGGTAGCTTTCACATTTTGTATGACGATGATGAAAAAAGATTATGATGATGGATGATAGGGATGAGGATAATGATAACATAGATGAAACCGTCTAAATGTGTTATGTGTGAATTTTTGGAATGATGACAGATCACAACTCACAGCATGCGATTGCAGTACACGCAAGAAAGACCAGTCTAAAGCAGTGATGTCCTCAGAGTCTTAACAATTTGAGCCATGCATGTATGTTTTTTGTCGGATTCATGACCCATTGTGGATTTGGGTATTTTCCATTCCTATATATATATATGTATATCTATATATGTATATACACATACATTGTAAATATATATATATATATACCAGCAACCAATTTTCCACAGAATTTCCACTGTCAAAGTCTCATCCAACTCAGCTCTTGCCCCAGACATCGGTGTGAAACGCGTAGCGCAGGGCACCTATGGGACCGTCTTTCGTGGCACCCTTCGTGATGGCACCGAAGTCGCGATCAAGGCGAGGTCAAGACTGGATGGAAAAAATGGATGGGTAGATTGCTAAAAATGTGATATTAATGGGATGTTGATAGGATTTCTATAGAATGTTAATTTTAGTGGGATATTTGTGGTGATTTACAGGTATAGTCATGGGAAATGAATGGGATAAATGGAGGTTTTGTGGGATACTAATGCAATTTACTCTCCGGTAATTAAATCAGATGAAGAAAGATGTTCATTTATTTAAAAGTTTCTGCAGGACATTATTCGGAATTTCATTTCCTTTAGGGTTGCAGACAGATCACCAGCAAATCCAAATGCTGGATCTCAATTGGGGCTTGTGAAACACAACCTCGGTGTCCTCAAGTTATCACCATGCTGGGACAAATTCACCCCCCGAGTAGTGAGTTGGTTAGTTGGTTTCATAAAAACCTTCCAATTGTAGATACATCTAGCAGAAGCTCAAACGTGTTCTAGTCAAAAGCAAACTGAAATGACTGAAACCAATCAACTGGGGGCTTCTACATTGTATTTGATTGCTCCTGGCTTAACCAAAAGACGATGCCCCCAGTTATGTTCCTTAACTGGTCTAGTTTCACCACATGAACTATGTAGTTTGATCTATTGTCTACCCTGAATTCGTTCACTAAATTTCACTAACCTGCTGAACTAAACCTTTTTAGCGTTTCCGAGCTGGGTAAACACCTGTGCCGGTTATATATCTGCTATCCCCATGTGCCACCCTTTCCATTCGCCAGAGCTTCCCGTGCCGCTGTGCTCAGGCATTGGCATCCCCTAAGGAGGGCGGTTTTAGAGAGGAGGTGGAGGTGGGAGATGGGATGACACGGGGCAGCCTGGCCAGGGAAAGGCCACCACGATTCGAAGAAATCGCGATTCGAGACTCGAGTGGAGAATGTGACCCTGAAATGGGCTTATGGATGTTGATTCCCCACCTGCCAGGCGAGGGTTGTTAGATTTTATCAGGGTTGTTCTTCTCCTCCTCGGCTAGCTGTCCTCCTCCTCCTCCTCCTTCTCCTCCTTCTCCTCCTCCTCCTCCTTCTCCTCTTCCTCCGCCTCCTCCTCTAGTTTCTCCTCGACCATGTCTGCATCAACTCCACTTCCGCCTTGCCAACTCTTCGCCAAGCTCTTTGCCAACTCTCTTCGCCAAGCTCTTTGCCAACTTCCCAGCTCAGTGTGCACCGCTGGACCTCAAACTGGGACCTGCCCAGCTCAGTGGGCACCGCTGGACCTCAACCTGGGACCTTCCCAGCTCAGTGTGCACCGCTGGACCTCAACCTGGGACCTTCCCAGCTCAGTGTGCACTGCTGGACCTCAACCTGCGACCTGCCCAGCTCAGTGTGCACCGCTGGACCTCAACCTGGGACCTGCCCAGCTCAGTGTGCACCGCTGGACCTCAACCAGGTATGCACCGCTGGACCTCAACGGCCAGATAGAATGCCAGATGATATGCCACATAGAATGTCAGATGGAATGCCAGAAGATATGCCAGATAAAATGCCATGAGATATGCCAGATAGAATGCCAGAAGATATGCCAAAAGATATGCCAGAACATGTGCCAGAAGATATGCCAGATAGAATGCCAGATAACATGCCAGAAGATATGTCAGAATATAGGCCAGATTATATGCCAGAAGATATGCCAGATAGAATGCCAGATAGAATGCCAGAAGATATGTCAGAATATATGTCAGAAGATATGCCAGATAGAATGCCAGATAGAATGCCAGAAGATATGCCAGATAGAATGCCAGAAGATATACCAGATAAAATGCCAGAAGATTTGCCAGATAGAATGCCAGAAGATATGCCAGATAGAATGCCAGATAGAATGCCAGATAGAATGCCAGATAGAATGCCAGAAGATATATCAGATAGAATGCCAGAAGATTTGCCAGTAAGAAAATCTATAAATGTCATGGTGGGGATCGCACGAAGTAAAGTATTTTAGCATAATATAGCTGTTTTCTGATTTGAGAAGTATCATAATTGGCACAAGAGACTAGCCCTTAGTCAAAAGTGAAGTGGACACCGCAATTTGAACTCAAAAACTGATGCTATCAGCTTGCAGGATTTCCCCCAACCCCGGTTGGTTGATGGTGGAGTGATAATTACAGGAATCACTTCCAGCCAACGCATTAGTGTTATTGGAAACAAGTCCGCATCAGGTGTTGGAAACTGCCGGGCTTGGAATTGGATGGTTGGGGTTGAAAACTCACGAAAGACTGAGCACTGGCCTCCATAGCATGTTGATTCGGAAATCCAAGGGGAACAACGTGCAACGGACCAATGTGATCAGTCCATTTGCGAGGGGGGTTCTTCAAGCCAACAGACCTTATATAGGTTTGTAAAGAACATGCCGCCCCGGCAACATATTTATGGATCTTTGTGAGCTTGTCCACCTGCTGTCATGGATAAAGAGTGGCGAAGGCGCGCTCAATAGGTGATGGCATCGCGCAACTCGCTGGATTTGATTTAAGCTTCATAAGGACTCTTCCATCCCAGTGACGAAAAAAACATTAGTTTCCTGTCTATAAAATCTGACAATTTCTGAAATCATGTTCATGTTCATGATTGTTCTTGAACTCCATTGTTTCCCATGGTTTTGTAGATTCTGACTTCATTCACCAGATTTACCCTCTGGTTATCTCAAAATAGCTATTGAAAATGGCTATATTTAGTTGATTTACCTATTAAACATGGTGATTTTCCATAGTTTTTTGTATGTTTACTTATTAAACATGGTGCTTTCCCATAGTTTTTTGTATGTTTACTTATTAAAAATCGTGTTTTTCCATAGTTTTGTGTATGTTTACTTATTAAAAATGGTGCTTTTCCATAGTTTTTTTGTATGTTTACTTATTAAAAATGGTGCTTTTCCATAGTTTTTTGTATGTTTACTTATTAAAAATTGTGATTTTCCATAGTTTTTTGTATGTTGACCAGGCCGGGTATGTCTTGCAGCCAGGTCTTGAGCCGATTTCGCCATCCAAATCTGGTGATCTTAATGGGCTTCGCCAGAAATGGGCGCGCGGGGCGCGCGGTCTTCGGATTTGGATGACGACTGGGGATGGGTCAGAACTTATTCTTATTATTTCTTATGATTAACTATGGGGAAATATTTATTATATCATTAATTAATCACCAAATTATAAATATTGATTCTTATGATTATTTATGATATTTATGATTAATGTGGGGAAATGGATGATATTTTTCATGGGGAAATTGGATGATATTTATGATCATTTCTTATGAACTAACAAGCGATATGAGGAATTATGAACCCCAATATTTTTGTTGGATTATAAATGAGCATTTCTTATCAATTAACCAACGATATGAGGAATTATGAAAGGATTATAAAACCAATAAGTTCTTATAATGAGGAGTAATGAAAACATTTAACCATCTTATTAAGCACAATGTTATTTTTAGATTATGAATGATCATTTCTGACAATTTGAATGGCTTATCTTAACGAGATCTTACTTATAGGGGAGAATAAACATCCATTAACCAGCAATTTTAGGGTACTATAGGTACCAGGGTTGTGCAACCAGTTGTGAGTCACTTTGGTAAATAAATGTGGGTATTATAAAGTTAGTATCCTGCAAATGGTATGATAATCCTCACGGGTCATTAAGTACCAAACTGGGACGCACATTGAAGTAATGCCGCGTGTTCACCATTTCTACAATACACACAAATGCAGGAAAGTCCTCAATGAGAATTATGTTCAATCGACACTTTCCACCGACTCATTGATACAGTATCGCAGGGGGCCTGAGGTAAAATCCATCTGCTGGGATCTTGTAGAAAGGATTCGTATACAGAAAATTTGATCCAAGATGGCCTTTTCAGGCGTGTAAGAAGATGATAGAAGATGGTGAAATATCAAATTCAAATAATTCAGAAAAACAACATCGAATTGAAGAAAACACATCTGAAGACCATCTTAACAGATTTACTTTCTACTTTCCAGGCTTCTTTCTTGCTTATTTTAATCACAATGGCCTGTGTTTTAACCCTCCAACATCGAACTGCCAGGCGTGAGCGTTACCTTGTTTACGAGCTCCTTCCAGGGGGGGACGTTCATTCACGCCTGAACAAGGATTTGAGGCGAGAAGTTCTGGGAGGGTCTTTTCACACATGGAATATTGAGTGAAGGGTAACCGAGTAGACCAACAGGTGAGTTGTTTGGGCTAAGCAAAAATGGTGGTTTAACCAACAGCAATATTAGTCGATTAAGCCTTCAAAAAGATGAGTAAACCGACTGGTGATGGCTATAATTCGAATCTTCTGCGATAAATATGATATTTACTAATAACTAGTCTTTCTTTACATGGTACTGTACCAACTCGACTGACATAATGGTCTGGGAAAACAGCTCCATTGTGGGAGGGGACTGGGGTTCTGCATCTCCTTTGCCAAGCTGATCCAGTACTGGACGTTCCATTTGTATGTGGGAAATGGTGGGAAACCCAATAATGATAAATTTACCATGATAAGGGATGGTTTATAGCACCCAGTTACGGTGATTTTCGGGATGGCTTATTATTGGGCTTACTGCACTACATGTACATAAATAGGTGAATTTCCCCGTCAGATTAGATAACCGGTGGGTAGGAGATGCATTGACTTGACTCTGTACATGGGCAAAAAGGTCGCTGAAAATACAATCAGCAACCATGTGTTGCACAGGAATGTTCATAGTACTTTTGAGGCTCTAGGTGGCCTAGCACAATCCATATACCTTCAATATATTTCAATATACCTTCAGGCAATTGTGCCTAAATATGAGTCTGTTATTTAGTAATGGATGTAGGTACCTTGTCACCAAATGTACAATGTCACCAAACCATGTTTGCCAATTGGTGTTCAAAGTCTTGCTGACTACACAAATCATTCGACAGTACCTAAATGCTACAAATCTGGATGATCTTTAGTTTCCACAACAGGTTTCTCCAGAAATGATCCATATTGGGTAATCCACCCCAATAACCAGGTCTGGGATTATACAAACCATCCAGAGCTCTGCCCTTGACCTCATGACCAGTTCTCATTTGGGCTTGTTCGAGGGGATGTTTGGGTTGAGTAAATGGTCCTGGTCAGTCACCATTTCTGTCGCGCAGTTTCACCTGGGAAAAGCGTCTGAACGTGGTTTTGGACTGCGTCGGGCGACCCGGGTTATCCCGGGTTGGGTCTGGATGGATGCTGGGAAAAAACTTGGTTGGGCAGGTTACATGATTGGGCGGCTAGCTATTCTTCACTTTGAGGAACTTCCGACAGGAAACCCATATAATATGGTTAAAACAATAATAAACAATCCCTAGATTCACCATAATGGGTTGTATAAACCATCAAAAATAAGGTGGTTTATTATTGTGTTACCCACATTACCTATATACTTGCTTCGTGTGTTCAATAAGGATGTTCCTTTCGAACTAAAACTAACATTGAATCAAGCTAATCACTTAAAGTTTTGACATTAATAATCAACTGACTACAGTACTGATTAATAATTGTACACCCAATAATTATAACAATTTAAGAATCAACTGATTAACTACTGATCACGCGTTACCAAATTGCCAAGTTACCCAATTGCTCACAATTTTTGGTTATTGATAGATGATTTATGAGTTAATTATGTTAACTGGCAATTGCTAACCATCGAATACTAATCACTAGTAACCAGTCACTTAAGTTACTAGTCAATAATACCAATTCCCCTAGATTCTCCCAGTACTCAGCTGATTACTGATCACTTGCTCCTAAAGTACTAAATCTCTCAAGCACTCACAAGATGAAACAACTGATAGGCCGCCGTGATTTCGGGATGTCAGGCCCTGGGTCTGAGCCATTTGCACGGATCGCGGCCGCAGGTGCGAGTTGGTGGATGTGCATCGTTAGTAGCCTCCTGTAAATGGTGTAGAATGTAGATCATTTTACGGGAAACCATGAGTTTTCATGAGTTTTCACATCTATGTACACGTTTACCCTGGGGATGCGTGGTTTGTAAGCCAGATATAAGCCATTTGTAATATGGGATATCCCATATAGAATTGCTTTTAGCCCATTCACTGAGTGGCATGCACCCCCAACATAGATGTGGAAAACCATGGTGTCCCGTCCGTTCAGACAACGAGCTACAAATCGCTGTGTTTCCACATCTATGTTACAATGTTGGTCTACAGGAGGATATCATCTATGAATAGTGTAATCTCATCCCGCTGATATGTATGGGTGCACATCCCCTATTAAACATCCATGGTTTCTAGGTGGTGTTCACAGTAGGGAGGTGGGAGAAAATAATCTTTCATGATATAAGGGTATATAATTCGAAAGACTATGGATAGTTTATTTGGTGTTTACCAAGTGTGTGAAAATGGGGTAAGCCCAAAGTGCCATTTCAACCATTTCAAACATTTCAGTAAGGAACATGATGATCAAGCATCAGAGTCACGGTACGGTACTTTCAGACGATCCCAGCATCAAGGATCACGTGTCTTCGATGTCCATTTACAACCTGTTTTTCCTCTCCCGTCTGAATTCTATGAAAATCAAGATATTTTTTATCAAGTGGTTTTGAAATTCCCCACATCCAAGTTTCTTATGGTTTCTTATGGTTTCTTATGGTTTCTCCACATCCAAACGGGGGTTTCTTCAACAAATCGGGGATCCCATGGCGTCATGGCTGTGGATCCAGGTCTTTCACCGCGCAGGGTCCTCAGGGTTTTTGAAAAGCAGACGTGGCGACGTAAACATGGGACAGTTATGGTAAAAAAAAACTGTAACATACTTAATCTACTTGGGGCAGTTGAGGTTACAATTGGGTATACTCCATGGTATTTTAAGCGCCATGTTGGAATCTGTTGGTATATCACTTTTTTTTTACACCATGGTTTTTCATCCACAACTTAAGTTGGCCGACTTGCCGACTTGGCGACTCGAAGCCGCAAAGGACGTGAAGACGCAAAACATGTTAATGGACAAGAATGGCACGGGCAAGGTGACGCCCTTTGGGCGGACTGGGCGGACTGGGTGTTGGAGATCAGTTGGAGCAGCAATGCCCCTGAAATCTGACATTGAAATTATGGAAAATAATGGCCTTGCAAGATGCCAACCCATGGCATGGTATTATGTTTGGTTTGGTCCGCGCATGTGTGACAGCCTTCAAGATGGTGCAGGCACCCTTGGTGTATCCTTCCTGCACCATGATCCGGTATGATACCTATGGCCCTATGACAAGCAACTTCGACAAAGTGTTGTGGCTCGGAATTTGACATGATCCAAGAAGTCTTGGTTGTTGTTTACCGTAGCTCTCTCTGCTTCTTGTGGTTACTTATGCCAACAGATCTATGGCTGTGTGACCACCTTGACAAACATGATTTCGGTGTGTCTGAACATGGGGCATATACCCCATGTTATGGCCACGTTCCATATGGAACATGATAATCAACTAGTGGTTTTGAGGGCTTTTAAAAACATCGCAATCCCTATCTTTAGACAAAACCATTTCGCTGTGAAACGTGCTGTAGAGCTTGTCGCACAGGTCGCGGACTTTGGACTTGCTTGCCTTGCACAGCCCAACCAACGCTCTTTGATCGTGGGGGCCCCGTTCCCATGTCATTCCAGGAATTCAAAGCACAGGTCACGCGCGCGCCTGGGTCACAAATATCCAGGCTTTGAGATATGTCAGATATGTGATAGTCACTCTGCCCCAACGTTTGATTTTTTTCAGTTTGCTGGGGACAACGGTCCGATGGTCCGTTGACCTGGTCCGAGTCGATCCGACTGGAACGGCGGCGCAAACCCATCACCCCCAGGTCCGCGAGACTTCGGGGACCTTGGGGTATGCGGATCCGCTCTACATACGCTCAGGCGGAGGGATTGGTATCATTGATGACAGCGGTAACTTGTTGGAGCGCGTCCCCATTGGTGGTAACTGATAACCCATATGCCATATGATACAACTGGGGCATGTCTTTCATATAAGTGGGTTATTTCATGTGGTTATAAATGTGTTACTGTAACTATGTCGTGCGATTATTACGCACTTGCCATGATGTGGATTCACATCCGGGTATATTGATTGTAAGGGTTGGCTAGGGTTAGCTAAAATGATTCTAATCTAATCTAACCTGCTATTTTTGTTGGTGTGCAACGTATTTTGTAGAAGTGGAAAAAACTGAGCATTTGATTCCCCGGCTAATCAATCATGCATACATGATCGATTTTTGGGTGGCATATGGTGGCATAGTATGATGTTATATAGACATGTAAACATGATTAAATATGTGGTCTTACCATACGGTATGACGTAATAAGTTTCTTCACTTTCCACGCGCTGCTTGCGATCATGATCCCAGTCGACATTGTAGCGGCAGAAAGTACTTGCCCCAGTACCGTCCATAACACCAATCAATTCCATTTATACAATGCTCCTAGTTTTTGTTTGTGTTCGGAATCATTTTCCTGAAGGGTGTGTAATATCCAATTATTAATTTGATTATGATATATGATCGTTTTTTAAAAACTATGTTTCCTTCACCAAAGTCACCTTCAAATTACCACCAAGCTCTGCGTTTCGGCTTTCGAAACTTGTCACAGGAGAGATCACCGAGAAGTCGGAAGTGTACTCCTTGGGGATGGTGTTGTTGGAGGCCTGGGTGCGGCGAAGGTGGGAAAGGTGGGAAAAGGTGGAAAAATGCTGATTTCAGTACAATGTGGGGCCCCCTAGATAGCTAAGTTGGTTTATAACTCCAATAACTATGGTTTAGGGTATTTATAACTATAGTTGCTGGGGCTTATAAACCATAACTGGGGGGGCCCACATTGTAAGGGAAAATGGTGAAAATGGTGATTTTTGATGGGAGATATCAGATTTTTACGAGATCATGGGTATTTAACAAGATTTAACAAGGTATTCTATAGGGTAAATTTACAGACGTGGAAAACATCTATGGTTTCCCATCGGGAAGATTTTCTCTACATTCATGGTGGGTTGTCCACATAAAAATGGCAATGTTGAGAGTTTTTTGGCCCAGTTCCAAGCGGGACCGTGAATCCACAAGGATGGACCCTTCCCATTTCTGGGACTTTGAGTGGTTTTGGGTTAGTAAATATACGTATGTACCCTCTGGTTATTTAACATAGCCATGGTATAGATGGCCCATAGAAATAGATGGTTTACCTAGCTATAAAATGGTGGATCTTTCCATGGGTATGTTAAACAACCAGATGGTATTTAAAAGTATTTGGTTTCTCATATCGCGACTTATTTGGATAGCAGTACCATTCACATGTTTTAGAGTTGTAATTTCTAGTTCCAGAAATGTCCGAAGCCATTCTGGAAGAAACACATTCGCTACAAAGCCTTCTGAATGTTGGAAACTTGTCGGACAAATACATTCACGGATTTCACCATAGCAACAGCAACTACCCCCAATTGGTGAAGATGATCCGGTATGGATTCATGTATTCGCCATGAAAGTATATGAAAGTACCAAGCCCATGTTACCAGACCACAAGAGACTTGCTTATGACCGAATAGACTGGACCTATACCATCCATGACATGGGGCCGGTGGGAAAAATGAAGGTCAAAAAAATTGGCACCATTTACGATCTGTGGAAATCAGTCCCTTTTTTCTACCCATTCCTCTTGGTGTCCTTTTAGTTTTCCGAAATAAGCTACTGCACCCATCATCCAATGATTTTCCCATTAAAACTGCCTGATCATTTGGATGCGAACTTGGGATCACCACGGCTTAGGAACAAAAAACAGTGACTGAATCGGAACCCGCCGTCCCTTCACACCAGGTGCTGACCGGAAGGCCGCCTGCACTACAACATCCCAATGGGAAGATTGAGTATCAGTCCGGAAGCCCTATTCAGGGTTTGATGGAAGAATTTCATAAGTGGTCAATAGTCAACAACCGTAGTTAGGTATGATTCTGGAATCATCCACTTAGGAGACTTACTAACTAGGGCAACAAAAGCCAGCTACTAAGTGGCAGGATCCTGCGAGTGGGGAGCTGATGCGGCTGTGGAGTTGGACAGTGTTAGATTTGTGCCCATTGGCATCCCATCTCAGGTCGTCATGCCCATATCTTTGTTGATCTCTGAGTGGGACCATACTGAATTTGTTCTTATATCAAGAAGATAAACGCCGAACCAGCTGGGGCCACTTGAAGAGCAATCATAGATAGTTCCAGATACAAAAGGATATATAATATACAGATACATATATATATATATATATATCACGAGAGATCTCGGATTTCTGCTCTGAACTTGTCATCCTTGATGATCTGATTTGCGACTGCACAGTCACTATTCGAAGGTCAAATCTCTACAAGGTAACCCCATTTTTCATCAACCCAGCAGAAAAAAATCCAGGGTCGATGTTGCACACCCGCCATTTGCTTAGCTGGCACTGATGAATTGAACAAAATACATCTACATTTGCCATGTGTACTATCCCATCGGTTCTGTTTGACGGGTTTGATTGTGTGATATTGTTGACGATATACAATAGTATTGTGTTACATCCTATACTACTACATCATATTCTTATATGCATCAATAATTAATATATACATATATCCCATGGGTTTAAAAGGAATACCCCAAAATATAGAAACATAGTGTATTTTCTCTATTAGACTTACTTGTCTATCAATTTTAAGGATTGCTATATCCCAATGATATCATGAGTCCCAATCATAAACACTTTATTATATCCTGCAGGATGCGGGTCCCAAGATAGCCATGTTGAGACCAAAGAGGCTGAATTCTATGGTTTATAGTAGATATAAGAAACTAGTATTCATGAGGTTTATAAACCAACTTAAAAACCAACTTATAACTTCTCAGGATTGATATGTTCCGATATTATTCCAATGATATCATGATATCCCAATCATAACTGGTTGCTGGTTTGGAACATTTTTTATTGCTCCATATATATGGGACAATCCTTCCCATTGACTTTCATATTTTTTAAGATGGTTATTGCACCACCAACCAGAACCATTACTAACCATTATTGACCATTACTAACCATTATTAACCATGGAAATCCCTATGCAAAGAGGTTCGACCATCTCAATGGTGACCTCCGAAAGCTCCTGGCCATGGCGACTTGGCAGCGATCTACGTGTCATGCACAAGATGTTGTACATATATATATATATATACATAGATAAATAAGTATAAAGAATTATATCTAAAGATAGATATAGATATGCACAAAAGATATGTGTTTATACGGTGATACAATCAATGTATATATGATGATGTACATATATATGGCAACCCTGTGGGTTTTGCTCCTCTGCGGTGCATCTCATGGTAGTTTTACTAGTTTTCGCCATGCCCGCAAGGTCACAACCATCCGACAGGGAGGATGACATCGGATATGCGTATGGTTCACATCCATACCATTTGGGAATTTAACTATAGCTCTTCAAGATTGCCATTTATAAAGTGGTTTTACCTATGAAACATGCTGGTTTTCCCATGTTTTCCCATGGGTTTTCTGTATGTTGTCCCAGGGTAGATCCTGGTCCGTTTTCCTTCCCCAGGGATTCCACCAGTTGTTTGTCGGTTTCAGGTGGATCGCCGTGGGCGGTGGCCACAACTCATGGCGGAATACGTGGGACATTTAGCTTTACAGTGTACCTGTGAGCAGGCGGCGGCCACGGGGGGATGGTAGGGATGGAAGGAATGGTAGGAAGGAATACCCCCTGGTATAGAGAAAACGATGGAACATCATGGAACATCAGCATGCTGAATTTTGAAGGGTAAATCTTAAGTATCCTACACCAAGAGGTGGTGTATCCATGTGTACCCTCTGGTAAACTAACATAGCTATACATAGCTATGGAAAATTACCATTTCTGACAGGTATAAGTCAAGTATTTCTATGGGCCAGCTATTCAATAGCATAAGGGATGCGAAGGGATTTGCGGCTCGGGGGTGGAAGGAAGATGGCGATGGCTGGATGTGGCTCATGTTCGATATATTTCCATATCTCTGGATGAATTGAAATGACCAACATATGTGACATCATTCTTTTAAATGATGCTCTGTATGGGAAATCATCCCCAAGTCGTCTTATTTTAGCTACTTTCAGGCTAGTGAATCATTATTTATTTAGCCAGATATGGGTTTGTCTGAAAATAGGGTATTCCCAATTTAATAATCATTTAATTAAAAGGGATAATGATCATTAACCATTGGGTTTAGGGGTACACTATTTTCAGACACACCCATATTTGCTGTGGTTTCAAAGCCATGGCCATGTTTCTTCGGCGCTGATCAGATCCGTCCCCCAGGGCGTTGAACACGTTGAACAGATCCTGATTTGCGCTGAAGATATCCCTCAGTTGTACCTCGTGTTTCGCTCAAACACGTCATTCCATAATCCCTATATCATTATTCCATTATGACCAAGAGGATTATATATATATATGAATACCAGTAGTACCCGCACGAGGCGGGGCGGAAGTTGCCTTAAAGATATATATGAGACCTTTCTCATCTATAGAACTTGCATGCGCCGTGCGCCAGCCAAGCCCGTGCGTGCGTGCACTCTGCGAAAGTTGTGTCCTGCTTCACATGTCACATTTGAAGCTCCACGTCACACTTCACACTTGACAGTCTTCACACTTCACACTGCACCCTTCGCAATCAACACTTCACACTTCTCACTTCACACTGCACTCTCCCCAATCCACACTTCACACTCCACACTTCACAGTCCACACTTCACACTTCTCACTTCACACTTCACACTTCACACTCCACACTTCACACTCCACACTTCACACTGCACTCTTCACGCCCCACACTTCTCACTCCTCACTGCTTTCTTCACACTCACAACTTCACACTTCACACTTCACACTGCACTCTTCACGCCCCACACTTCACACTGCACTCTTCACACTCCACACTTCATCTCATCTGAGCCCTTCTCACCTTATCCCAGCTCATCTCTTCTCATCTCTTCTCATCTCTTCTCATAATATGTCATTTAAGCTTTCATGAATCACTTCCCAGTACTACTACTAATCACTGTCGCAGCCTTGATGCAGCCGTTCCAATACGATTTACGATCTTCAGCTGCAAAAGACAATAGTATTACGCATGCAGCCGCTGCACCAAGCAACCTTGACGCAGCCACTACAATGCGATCTGCAGAGACTGAGTCGCAAAACACAATAGAACTACGTGCAATGGCGTCGGAAATTGCAGCTCCAAAACCGGATCTCGACGCCAAAGCGACAAAAAGACGATTTTGAAGCACTTTTTAAAAGGAATTTTAAAAGGAAAATTATTAGCGCCAAAATGGAGAAAATCTGCTGACAATTCACTTTCGCAGCCTTGATGCAGCCATTCCAATACGATTTACGATCTTCAGCTGCAAAAGACAATAGTATTACGCATGCAGCCGCAGCACCGAGCAACCTTGACGCAGCCACTACACTGCGTTTCGCAGCATCCCATAGCAAACCTGCACCTATCTACGGACGTGGCAACATCAAATGACGACAATGAAGCAGCCATACCAATGCAATCTGCAACCAGAGATTGAAGAACCGCATGGAACTACGCACACAGACACAACCACTCGTTGCAAAACACATAGGAGGAACAATTCGCGCACAAAACGACCGCAGCCGCACCCGTCGCACACACGAGGTACCTTTCATCGTCGCCTGCAGCCACTTTACACGGAAAAACATAAGGTTTCGTGCTCCGGCTTCCTCCCCAAGACATAGCCCATGCAACATTCATGCAGCCATTACAATGCGTTTCGCAGCATCCCGTGGCAAACCCGCACCTATCTACGCACGTGGCAACATCAAATGACGACAATGAAGCAGCCATTCCAATGCAATCTGCAACCAGAGATTCAAGAACCGCATGGAACTACGCACACAGACACAACCACTCGTTGCAAAACACATAGGAGGAACAATTCGCGCATGAAACGACCGCAGCCGCACCCGCCGCACACACGAGGTACCCTTCATCGCCGGCTGCAGCCACTTTACACGGAAAAACACAAGGTTTCGTGCTCCGGCTTCCTCCCCAAAACATAGCCCATGCAACATTCATGCAGCCATTACAATGCGTTTCGCAGCATCCCGTTGCAAACCCGCACCTATCTACGCACGTGGCAACATCAAATGGCGACAATGAAACAGCCATTCCAATGCAATCTGCAACCAGAGATTCAAGAACCGCATAGAACTACGCACGCAGACACAACCACTCGTTGCAAAACACATAGGAGGAACAATTCGCGCACAAAACGACCCCAGCCGCACCCGCCGCACAGACGAGGTACCTTTCATCGTCGCCTGCAGCCACTTTACACGGAAAAACACAAGGTTTCGTGCTCCGGCTTCCTCCCTAAAACATAGCCCATGCAACATTCATGCAACCAGTACAATACGTTTCGCAGCATCCCGTAGCAAACCTGCACCTATCTACGCACGTGGCAACATCAGATGACGACAATCAAGCAGCCATTCCAATGCAATCTGCCACCACAGCTTCAAGAAACGCATAGAACTACACACACAGGAACAAGCCCTCTTTGCAAAACACATAGAAGGAACCATTCGCGGCAGAAACGCCCGCAGCCGCAACCGCCGCACAGACGAGGTACCTTACATCGCCGGCTGCAGCCATTTTACACGGAAAAACGCAAGGTTTCGTGCTCCGGCTTCCTCCCCAAAACATAGCCCATGCAACATTCATGCAGCCATTCCAATGCAATTTGCAACCAGAGATTCAAGAACCGCATAGAACTACGCACACAGACACAACCACTCGTTGCAAAACACATAGGAGGAACAATTCGCGCACAAAACGACCGCAGCCGCACCCGTCGCACAAATGAGGTACCTTTCATCGCCGGCTGCAGCACGGAAAAACACAGGGTTTGGTGCTCCGGCTTCCTCCCCAAAACATAGCCCATGCAACATTCATGCAGCCATTCCAATGCAATTTGCCACCAGAGATTCAAGAACCGCATAGAACTACGCACACAGACACAACGACTCGTTGCAAAACACATAGGAGGAACAATTCGCGCACAAAACGACCGCAGCCGCACCCGTCGCACAGACGAGGTACCTTTCATCGCCGGCTGCAGCCACTTTACACGGAAAAACACAAGGTTTCGTGCTCCGGCTTCCTCCCCAAAACATAGCCCATGTAAGATTTATGCAGCCATTCCAGTGCAATTTACCGCAGAGATTCAAGAACCGCATAGAACTACGCATACAAACACAACGACTCGTTGCAAAACACATAGGAGGAACAATTCGCACACAAAACGACCGCAACCGCACCCGTCGCACAAACGAGGTACCTTTCATCGCCGGCTGCAGCCACTTTACACGGAAAAACATAAAGTATCGTGTTCCGGCTTCCTCCCCAAAACATAGCCCATGCAGTATTCATACAGCCATTCCAACGTAATTTACCGCCAGAAATTCAAGAACCGCATAGAACTACGCACACAGACACAACGACTCGTTACAAAACACATAGGAGGAACAATTCGCGTACAAAACGACCGCAGCCGCACCCGTCGCACAGACGAGGTACCTTTCATCGTCGACTGCAGCCACTTTATACGGAAAAATACAAGTTTTAATGCTCCGGCTTCCTCCCCATAACAAAGCCATTGTATTATCATACACCACTCCCCTTCATGGTTGCCAGTTCCCTTCCTCGCCACTCCCCTTCATCATTATTTCCCTTCCTCTCCACTTCCCTTCGTCACCACTTCCCTTCCTCATCACTTCCCTTCGTCACCACTCCCCTTCATCATCACTTCCCTTCTTCACCGCTTCCCTTCGTCACCACTTCCCTTCTTCACCACTTCCCTTCATCATCACTTCCCTTCTTCACCACTTCCCTTCGTCACGTCCCTTCCTCACCACTTCCCTTCGTCGTCACCACCCCCCTTCATCATCACTTCCCTTCTTCACCGCTTCCCTTCGTCACCACTTCCCTTCTTCACCACTTCCCTTCCTCACCACTTCCGTTCGTCACCACTCCCCTTCATCATCACTTCCCTTCTTCACCACTTCCCTTCGTCACCACTTCCCAAGTCTCACACACCCTTCATCAAGGTCAAGTCTCAATGTGAATGTATGTTATGTCATGTAAAGTCTCACACCACCCTTCATCAAGGTCAAGTCTCAATTGTGATCGTCGTCAAGTTCTCACCGCACCCTTCATCATTTCAAGTCTCAGAATTCTATTTGTCCGTAACACGGAAGTATTGCCTCCCAACTTCCTTTGATAAATGGCATATGATTCAAATACCAATAATGATATTCCATTATTATCCACTAATGGCCCCCATTGTTTACAGTCCCATTGGTGATCATCCCTATGACTATATAATCCCTATATAATCCCTATTCTATTTCATGATTCCCTTCATATGAAACCAACCCCAATCCGGCTGCAACGCTAGGCCAAGTTCCGGCCGAGCTTCGTAGAGATTGTGACGCAGTTGCGGAAGTGGCACCTGGGCAACGTGGGGAAAATGGGGATTCCGCGGGGGATTCCATGGGATTTAGTGACTAGTGGGTTTAATGGGATTTCATGGGGGATTTACTGGGATTTCATGATGATTTAATGGGAATTAATTGGATTTCATGGAATTGAATTGGGGGTTCAATATTTTTTTTAATTGATGGGATTTAAGGGGGATTTGATGAGATTTACCAAGGGACAACTCCAAAAATACCAAGTCGGAATTCTAAAGTTTACCACATGATGGGATTTCCAGGGTGAAAGTGGCCTTACCAGGGAAAATTTGTATTTCATGAGGATTAACTAGCCAATATGTTTTTGGGGAACAACCTAGCGGATACACCAAATTTAGGGGAACAATGAGGGGAAAACGCCTGCATGCTCCTCCAATGGTTTATACAATGAGGATGCATGGGAATATTATGAAATGTATTGATATACTGGAAGAACAATGAGAGTGTATGGGATAACACAGTTTTTATTTAAGGCGAATTTAATTGGGGTTAACAACCAACATATGGCATATGGAATGAAATTGAGTGGGATATAACCAGCTACAGCATATATTGGTTTGGTACCTGACAATTTTGGCGAGAACACCACATTCCACTGGTTGAATTCATAATTTTCTCTACTTTTCACAATTTGCAGATTCAATTTATTCTTGGAACCATGGAATTTCAGGGTTTTGTGCCTGCTTTTTCCCTAGTTTAAAACAGACACGATTGGGGAACATGATGAACAAACAGGATGGATCAAAACTGGGGAACATGATGAACAAACAGGATGGATCAAAACTCGTTACCCTCCGGACTGGCTGGGAAATCCCCGAGCTAAATGGAGATTTATAGCTGGCAATAACATCTACATTTCCTTCGTGAATTTCAAGCAAACCATGGATCTGATGACACCGGGTGTTTTTTTCTCTATGTTGAGAACATTGTTTGCTTCCATTTATCATCAGATTGGTTTAAGGGAAATTGAGCACCGGGACCCCCTGGAACCCCCGTAATATTTTACAGATTCATGGGAATGAATGATAAATACGACAACATAATCCAAAAACAAAAAATAATAATTTAAAAATCAGGTAAAATCATGGTAAACACACCATGGTTTTCTCTAGATCCCTAAACCAATCCCTTGACATCTCCCAGGCTAAGAGACGAGTCCTTGCATCAACCATCGCCCGTTTCAGGCTGGAGCCAACCTCGTCATTTTCAGTGGGGAAAGCAACCCAAAATGGCTGAACAAAAACGTGCCTTGAATTGTTAAATAATGAGTTACCAAGAAAAAACAAGTAGATTGTGGTGGTGTCGGAGTTTTTCAATACCACTATGTGTTATAAGTTATATATATATATATATATAATTGTGCAACGAAAATGCGTGTGCTACGGATACAAACTCAACAGTTCATTGTTTCATCACTACTTGGAATGATTGAATGTAAATGATCAGCTTCCCCAAAAAGGTTTGGTGGGTCAACGACCCCAATCAATGCTCAGCAAATGCAGCTGAGTCCTGCGTTTAGGCAATCAACGGCCTACAAGGAAGGATGCATTGCACATGAAAATGCTTGCTCCAACAAATTACAGGTAAGCTACAACCACACGAGGGGAACATTCGTATCATCTTTACTCCATTTACATCTTTCTCTTTTTACATCTAAAAAATGAAAAAGATGTATTCACCCCTTTTATGGCTGTTTTGCAGATATGAAACCAACAATACAATTTATCATTAACCCTTGGTTATTGTTGTGTTCACCCCTGTTCTTTGGGAGCCTCTGCATCTGCAGGTGGTCATTCGCCGCAGCTACCCGCGGGCGTTGGGGGCTGAGAGCTCAAAATGACACTTTAAAGCCATGACATGTGGGTAATGATATCCACTGAAAACAATGGCTACCCTTTGGTAAAATAACATAGCTAGTGAACATGATGGTTTTCCATAGTTATGTTAGTTTACCAGAGGCTACCATATTGAATTTGCATCAAGTTTGGAACGCCTTATTTGCGGAAAAAATGGATCAAACTTGAGGTGGACTCATTTGATTGGTGGTAATTTTCATCATCCCATTTTTCGGGGGAAGTTTGAGCGTCGCATGGGGACTGATGTCCACGAATTTTGGTCTCGTAAAATTGACTTCGCATGATAGATTATGCAGAAGCATCAACTAGTTTGAAATTATCTGGTTGGTGGTTTGGAACATTTGGATTATTTTTCCATTCAGTTGGGAATGTCATCATCCCAACTGACAAAGTCATATTTTTCAGAGGGGTACTGTAGGTTGAAACCGCCAACCAGTTATGCTCAGGAATTCTATCATGCCTATCATGGCCATTTCAAGGAGCCAAAACACCTGGATTTCTGTATCCACCAAGCCCTCATGTGTTTTGGTTCATTGAATGAAACAGAATACCCTTGGATTCAATACTTAATACCTCTAGATGTTATCATATAGTGATCCTATAAATACATATCATATACTAAAATACCTAGATGTTATCATATAGTGATCCTATAAATACATATCATATACTTAAATACCTAGATGTTATCATATAGTGATCCTATAAATAAATTTCATATACTTAAATACCTAGATGTTATCATATAGTCATCCTATAGATGTTATCATATAGTGATCCTATATACATATCATATACTTAAATACCTAGATGTTATCATATAGTGATCCTATACATACATATCATATACTTAAATACCTAGATGTTATCATATAGTGATCCTATAAATACATATCATATACTTAAATACCTAGATGTTATCATATAGTGATCCTATAAATACATATCATATACTTAAATACCTAGATGTTATCATATAGTGATCCTATAAATACATTTCATATACTTAAATACCTAGATGTTATCATATAGTGATCCTATAGTACATATCATATACTTAAATACCTAGATGTTATCATATAGTGATCCTATAATACATATCATATACTTAAATACCTAGATGTTATCATATAGTGATCCTATACATACATATCATATACTTAAATACCTAGATGTTATCATATAGTGATCCTATACATACATATCATATACTTAAATACCTAGATGTTATCATATAGTGATCCTATAAATACATATCATATACTTAAATACCTAGATGTTATCATATAGTGATCCTATACATACATATCATATACTTAAATACCTAGATGTTATCATATAGTGATCCTATAAATACATATCATATATTTAAATACCTAGATGTTATCATATAGTGATCCTATAAATACATATCATATACTTAAATACCTAGATGTTATCATATAGTGATCCTATAAATACATTTCATATACTTAAATACCTAGATGTTATCATATAGTGATCCTATAAAATATCATCCTATTTATATGTTTTGGCGACAAGGCTATCTCCAACGTTTCCGAAATCTTGAGGTTCAAAGTATTCAGGCCCAGCGCGACTCCAATGGCCACGTTTCTTGGCGTTGGGCGTACGCTGACTTTTTTTTGCAACTCACAGGGAACCATTTTTTAGACATGTTGAGCCCAACTTTGAAAGGTATTTGCGAGCATAGTTGGTTCATGAATTTTGGGTTTGTCCAAATTTGCTAGCATGTTGCAACTTAGTTCATGTTCCAACCCCACATGAGTTCATGAACAGGTTTCCCGTGACTTCTGAGAGGTGTATAATGTCAGTACTGTAAGTGTTGTTTCTTTTGTTGGGGCAAATGTGGACTGATGAGAAGTCATGAGTTGGTATCCTTCTCATATCATCAATGGTTCATACGGGCCAGTCGTATGGGTACGGGTCAAATTGTGAAAGTCTCCCAAATGGATGGGCTTAAAATGGCCTACAGTAATCCTATCATATCCTATAATAGTTCTTAATATGGTTTAATATGACCATTAAGAACTATTATAGGATAGTCCACCATTTTAGAACTATTATTATAATGTTATCCATCATTTTAATCCTATTATATAACATATCATGTCCACCATTTTCCAGCCCAATTTTGACCATACAAGACCGAGCCTGGTTGGTTCCATCCCCACGCCGAGGCCAAGGCGCAGTCCCCTGCAGTGCAAGTGCAACAAGTGCAACGGCCGCAGGCGGGGCAAGCGCCCCGATTTTGGGGTATCCCCCATTTCAACCCAGAGCAACGTCTTGGTTGCGGGTAGACACCACTTTGAGATCCTACTTGGACATATCAATAAGGATTGATCGCCCTAACCACTGAAAGATTCATCCAGACGTCTAGTTTAAGATGTTTATGGTATGATCTTCAGCCAAGTCATGGTATCGACCCAGTATCATCCAATGATCAAAGATAGTAGACGGATGTCAAAGGAATTGAGCAGTCCCTTGGGCAGTTGAGAGAACAGAAGATGGCAGCCATGCACTGAACAAACGCCTGAGGAGTGAGATATAAACACAGAAAAAAACAAATAGGAAGCGGCAACAAAAAGAGCAAGATACCGGACAAAGGCAATACAACCTGCTGTGAAAAATAGGAAGCTGCTTTTAGGTTGATAGATCAAGATGCTAGCAACCAAGTTGTTTTTGACTCCCTACGCTTCAGTGCAAAGTTCATTGTGTGGGGCCTAGTACTGGGTATGGGGTAAGCCATGGTGACAACAATGTGACAACACGTGTCATCGATCCTGGATGACTCCGCCTTGATGTCGCTGGAATGATGCGAATCAGCATGCAAATCATCTCCAAGTGGCTTTATTTTATAGCTATTTTCAGTTTTCAGTGAGTTACTGTACGTATATAATTCAGCCAGATTTAGATACCAATTCTTATTGGTTTTATGAGAGTTAAGTCCCATTGTTTTAATCTGTTTAATCGATATATCCAATCAAATCCATCAAATCAATCATTGGCCAGGTCCCATGTCAGCTAGATATTTATCCATACCGTCGCTAGGTGGCCTCGCCTTGGCACGATCCACGCCTCAGCCAGGTGGGGCCATGGCTTTCAGCAAGAAATCTGGGGATTGACCTGCAAGAAAATTAGATCCATTGAAAAAGTGCCTAAGATCTGGAAATCAATGGACTGGATTAGGGGGAAATTTACAGGAAAACCCGATATTTAATGGGACAATCTATGGTTTCCGGTTAAGATTTTCCCTTAAACCAATCCATTGAGGAAATCTACTCAGCTTTGCTAAGACTTGCTGCTGCTGATCCCATCTGGCAGCTTTCTACCAATCCATTTCTACTGCGGCAGGCGGCAAGTCCATTTGGAAACTCTCTGAAACCAGTGGCAGGTGGCTCCTGGGGACCTGGGAGCACGGCTTCCTCGAAACATCCATCTGCAAATGGGACATCTCCATCTGGTTTCTGTAGTTGCCTGTTTATAGTTAATTTTGGTGTGCTCATTTTGCTGTACTTAGAGCTCTACCTATTTCTCAGAGGTAGTGATTTGTTTGGGGGTTCTTCTGACTCCATTTTCTGATGGCGGGCATATCCACAATATTCCAAGAGACAGTCGAGCCTGGAAACTATATAGTTTAGGTATTAGGTAAAACAGCTGGTCATGGTCATTACATGCGGACATGCCCCACACAATTACTCTGATGTCGAGATTGCCATGTTTAGTCGGTGTAGTTCTGTGGTGACAGCTATCAAATTCGGGATGTATAACCAGTTTGTGGCGTGAAACCGACTTCTTTTCATTTTTGGGGACTGAACCGCATGACTCACATGACATTCATCCCTTTCCTACATCAATCCACCCGCATTTCGCCTCCATCACCAAGCATCCACCATTGCCAGGTGGATACATGCAGCAGCCACAGCAGCCACAGCAGCCACAGCAGCCAAAGCAGCAGCCAGCGGCCGTGCCGGGTGAACGCCTTTCCTGGGAACAGATCCAACAGCAGCAGCTACAGCGGGAACAGCGCGAAGCGCAAGCGGCGCAAGCGGCGCAGGCTGCGCATGCGGCGCACGCGCAACGCGAAGCGCAAGTTGCGCGCGAGCAGCGGGAAGCGGTGAGGGAAGTGGAGCAGAGACTCGGTTGTGGTGAGGTTTGGCAGTTGATGTGTTCCCATTCCATTCGCGTATGGAAAATGTTTATGATGTTTGTTTTTGTTGGGTTTCAGGGTGGGGTTTACAATATGAATTACTCCAAGTATAATTATAGAAAATGATAGAGTTCCTCCCAAAAGATTCTTGGATCCATAGTATAATAGTGTTGTTGAAGATGGTTCCTCCCTATTTATTATAGGTAGGTCATGGTAAATCCTGCATTCTTAAGGCGCCCAGCCATTTTTTGCTGTGCAGTAGGCAACGATGTTGCCTGTTCTACCAAGCGGAGCCTGACATGTGTTTCACAAGACAATATCATGGAAACATTCCATTGGACCAGCATCTATGTGCAGTGTGGTTGCTTGCATTTGGGTGATTTTCTGGAGGTTAGGTCGAGTTGAGAGAGATAGATAGATAGATAGATAGACAGATAGATAGATAGATAGATAGATCTACAATTAAATACTGTATCGTACAAGTGCAAAGAAGCTTTGGGTGGGGGTTCCAGCCACTCTGATGGCATTGTTGGAACCCTTCAGTGTTGGCAGCATTTGGGATTCCCATTCTCATGATGGTGGCTTCTCAGAAGCATCAGTGTAATGGGATAAGATTATGTATATTATACACTATTACAATAAATATATATATATATGTATGGAAAGCAAGGCTGGGAATGTGAATCCCATCGTGAGGCTCCGTTAGAATGCCATGGATGAGGTTGGAACAAGTAGTAAGATCCACATTTGGTATATTTACCTACTTTTGCCGTCAAGTAGATAGAAATTTTAATCTATCATACATTGATATGTCAAACTCGAGACATTTCTTAGGCGTGCGCCCCAGATTGTGTATGCTTTGGGATGCCGCCCAAGGAGAGTGCGAGAGCGCGAGGAACAGCTCAGAGCAAAGCTGCCGTTCCCGCAGCGATCACAAGGTGGACCCCAGCGCCGAAGGGAACACCTTGGTTTGCTTGGCTATCAATGGAATAAACTCAACTAATAATAGAATACATAGTAAGAAAACTATATTGACCTGCAATTGACCAGCAATAATGGGGAATTTGATTGGATAATAAAGCTTGGGTCTTCGGAATTATCTAACAATGAATGGTGATTGAAATTATAATAAGAAAGCATTGAACCAACATACTGAGTATATAAAGCTTGGCAAATGGTTAGTTGACGTTTTTGTGTTTGCCATAAAGTGAGCCATACCCCTAAGGATGCAAGAAAATCATTATCATACTGCTAAGACACCCTTTTTTGCTTTGATGACGAGTGCTGTGTTTTTTGTTTGTGTGTGTTTTTCCCATTTTGAAGAAACACGCTACAACCAGCTCCTCCACATGATCTATCATGACCCAGATGATGAGTGCTCCGGGATGTTCGTTTCCGACCAACATCACCTACGCATGGAGGTTCTAATGGGAAAACGATCTGTTTTTAGGGGGAATTTTATGTACAATGGCCATTTATGGTGAGTGTTCCCATGGCAAATGGTGATTTTCCATAGTTTTTTGTATGTTTACCAGAGGGTGGCTCTTGTGACTCTTCGGGTTTTCTGAAACATGTTTTTCTGCTTGGAAACGTTGGAGAGCCAGAGCTGACTGTGACTGTGCCATGTGTTGCGAAGCGCGGCTAGGTGATAGAAGCCCAGCTGGGAATCCAGGATTTCCTGATGGCAGAGGCATGGCAGGGATGCGTCGATTTGGCGGGATTTGTTTGTTAAAGTGATGACAGGAATACCTGAGGTATATCCAGAATTAGCCAGATACCTCTCACTAATAAGGGTTATAACTTACTACAACTCGCTAACTCTGGCAACATCTAAGTGGTGCTGGATTCTTTATTGGACTTCACTGACCGACCCTATCACTAGTAAATGACACTTTATAGCTGTCGGAAGCTTACCCACAAAAAGGGGATGAAATTTCATTTCATGTTACTTGCTGTTTTTTTTGGTACCGTCACATCAAGGGATTCCTAAGCATGTTGATATGCTCTTTGTGTTGATGAGAACAACTTATTCTAGAAATTATTGAAATTGTTCCCTTTACATGGTGGCTGAAAATTGGGTATACCCGATACTTACCATTTCAACTGGACAATTTCGATTAAACGGTGGTTACAGGATCCAATGATCATTGACTTACTTTCCGGTGATTTAACATAACTATGAAACAATGCCAATTAATAATTATGACTAGTATCAATGGACCTACTTAATGGTGATTTTCCATAGCTATGTCTGAAACTGATCAACATACTGATGATTTTCCATACTAATACTGATGTTCGATTTAGTTGACTATATTAATCCCACTGTCTTCAGATTAAACAACCCACATTCTAAATATGATCCATGGTGATCCCAAATATGTGGTTTCATCCCCTACATCCACCATGGTTTCTGGGGGGTCAGTATTATGGGGTCAACACAGTCTTTGATTTGGAGAAAGCCATTTTCAAAGAGACCCCAAAAATTGTTGGTGTTGTATCCCACTATATAAATCTCATTTCAGTCCTTTTTGTTCAGTCCGATTTTTTAGTGGCTTATTCCTTAGACTAACCCCAGAACGGTGAAATCTATTCCCATATAGCCACGACATATCACCATATAGCACCATTCAGTTGGTGAAATCTATTCCCATATAGCCACGACATATCACCATATAGCACCATCCAGTTGGTGAAATCTATTCCCATATAGCCACGACATATCACTATATAGCACCATCCAGTTGGTGAAATCTTTTCCCATATAGCCACGACATATCACCATATAGCACCATCCAGTTGGTGAAATCTATTCCCATATAGCCACGACATATCACCATATAGCACCATCCAGTTGGTGAAATCTATTCCCATATAGCCACGACATATCACCATATAGCACCATCCAGTTGGTGAAATTCTATTATCCCCATATAGCACCATCCAGTTGGTGAAATCTATTCCCATCCACGACATATCACCATATAGCACCATCCAGTTGGTGAAATCTATTCCCATATAGCCACGACATATCACCATATAGCACCATCCAGTTGGTGAAATCTATTCCCATATAGCCATGACATATCACCATATAGCACCATCCAGTTGGTGAAATCTATTCCCATATAGCCACGACATATCACCATATAGCACCATCCAGTTGGTGAAATCTATTCCCATATAGCCACGACATATCACCATATAGCACCATCCAGTTGGTGAAATCTATTCCCATATAGCCATGACATATCACCATATAGCACCATCCAGTTGGTGAAATCTATTCCCATATAGCCATGACATATCACCATATAGCACCATCCAGTTGGTGAAATCTATTCCCATATAGCCACGACATATCACCATATAGCACCATCCAGTTGGTGAAATCTATTCCCATATAGCCATGACATATCACCATATAGCACCATCCAGTTGGTGAAATCTATTCCCATATAGCCACGACATATCACCATATAGCACCATCCAGTTGGTGAAATCTATTCCCATATAGCCAGGACATATCACCATATAGCACCATCCAGTTGGTGAAATCTATTCCCATATAGCCACGACATATCACCATATAGCACCATCCAGTTGGTGAAATCTATTCCCATATAGCCACGACATATCACCATATAGCACCATCCAGTTGGTGAAATCTATTCCCATATAGCCACGACATATCACCATATAGCACCATCCAGTTGGTGAAATCTATTCCCATATAGCCACGACATATCACCATATAGCACCATCCAGTTGGTGAAATCTATTCCCATATAGCCATGACATATCACCATATAGCACCATCCAGTTGGTGAAATCTATTCCCATATAGCCACGACATATCACCATATAGCACCATCCAGTTGGTGAAATCTATTCCCATATAGCCACGACATATCACCATATAGCACCATCCAGTTGGTGAAATCTATTCCCATATAGCCACGACATATCACCATATAGCACCATCCAGTTGGTGAAATCTATTCCCATATAGCCACGACATATCACCATATAGCACCATCCAGTTGGTGAAATCTATTCCCATATAGCCATGACATATCACCATATAGCACCATCCAGTTGGTGAAATCTATTCCCATATAGCCACGACATATCACCATATAGCACCATCCAGTTGGTGAAATCTATTCCCATATAGCCATGACATATCACCATATAGCACCATCCAGTTGGTGAAATCTATTCCCATATAGCCACGACATATCACCATATAGCACCATCCAGTTGGTGAAATCTATTCCCATATAGCCACGACATATCACCATATAGCACCATCCAGTTGGTGAAATCTATTCCCATATAGCCATGACATATCACCATATAGCACCATCCAGTTGGTGAAATCTATTCCCATATAGCCATGACATATCACCATATAGCACCATCCAGTTGGTGAAATCTATTCCCATATAGCCATGACATATCACCATATAGCACCATCCAGTTGGTGAAATCTATTCCCATATAGCCATGACATATCACCATATAGCACCATCCAGTTGGTGAAATCTATTCCCATATAGCCATGACATATCACCATATAGCACCATCCAGTTGGTGAAATCTATTCCCATATAGCCATGACATATCACCATATAGCACCATCCAGTTGGTGAAATCTATTCCCATATAGCCACGACATATCACCATATAGCACCATCCAGTTGGTGAAATCTATTCCCATATAGCCACGACATATCACCATATAGCACCATCCAGTTGGTGAAATCTATTCCCATATAGCCACGACATATCACCATATAGCACCATTCAGTTGGTGAAATCTATTCCCATATAGCCATGACATATCACCATATAGCACCATATATTATCATGTTTGTTGCTTAAATCTAGTGTATTCCCATAGCTTCACCTTTGGAAACACAACCACGAGCGGTCGCCGGTTAGGCTTCGGGGTCGATGCCCGGGATGTCCGGCCTGTCGAAGGATGGAACCAAGGCGTGTCACCGTGGAGAAACCGTGTCCTCGTCCTTGGTGGCGAATTCCTGCACTAAATGGAGATGTCATGAAATTTATGAAGATCTGATTGGTGGTTTGGAACATGAATGGATTATGACTTTCCATTCAGTTGCGAATGCCATCATCCCAACTGACTTTCATATTTTTCAGAGGGGTAGGTATACCACCAACCAGTGAATATAGCTGGGATCATCAGCTATAAATCTCTAGAGCGAGCCCAGACGGGGTACGAGGTAGACATAGCAAATTAACGAGTCGATTTAACTAATTCACGCCCCCATGAGGTGAGGCTTTTTGCTTACTTTTTGAGTGGAGGATGGACCAAAAAAAACTGTTCAGAGGCCAAACAGTTTTTTTGTTCCCGGTTGTTTGGTCACAATTGCAATACTTTTATCAGGTCTAGAGGGGAATAAACAGTTCAGCTTGTGAATAGTTTTTTTTCACATATTAATATTGGCCCCATGGCACACTTGCGCTTCCTAGTCCTCAGCCAAATGGCAGCGGGGGGCCAAAGCAACATGTAAATGAACTTTTCACAAGCTGAACAAATTAATTCCCTTTAAATTTTAGACCTGATAGAATCATCGCAATTGCGACCAATCAACCAGAAGAAACCGTTCAGCCTTTGAACATGTTTGTTGTCCATCGTCCACTCAAAAAGTATAAGCAAAAAAACTCACCTCGTTTGGGTGTGAATTAGTTAAATCGCTATGCATTTCCACAGGTTATAAGTTGTAATTCTAGCAGGCCACTTTTGCATTACCTTTCCAATAGGTCCGGATCAAACATATTTTATGTAGCTCACTCGTTCCATACTTCCTGATGTATAATCGACATGTCGGAAAGTTGTTGTTTTTTTGCACGAGCCCAGCAATTCCCAAACCCTAAATTAACGAGGCAAGGTAAAAGGTCACACATGCGAATTAACGACGATGTGACCGGGTGCGAATTATTCTAAATTGGCCAGATAAATTCAGGATTGTCGATTACCACGTTTGATTACCGGAGGGAACTATGGTAATAGTAATAACTTAGAAAACCCAAAAAAGTATGGTCATAGTATGGTCATATATTCATTTAGGTCTGGAACCAGTTATGTGTGTAAAACATGTACAATCATGTCCTTTCGGTGAGATGGGTTTGACTTCAAAAAACCGGTGAACCTCAATTCCAATCATTGGTCATCATTTTCCCTATCCAAATTGCCCTGTGGTATATGTCAGTTTTCGACACACCCACATCTACTAACAAGCAAAATTAAAGTGTGTGTTTTCAAGTGGGGAATGTTCTCCTTGGTGCCACCACGTTTTTTTTGGCGTGGTGGTTTTAGCTACACCGAGCTAGAGGCGAAGAAGTGACTCCAAATGAATTCATCTATTTTTGTAAACTGTGCAGTTATGGCCATTTATCAGTTATAAGTACTTATAACCTCATTTATAGAATGTATAATCCCATTTATAACCACTTATAACTGGTAAATGGCCATAACTGTGTTTTCTGAAAAAGTCTTCAATTCCAGGGGATAGAACTAGTTAGTGGATGGTCATGGAAATGGAGACACCACGTGCCACGGTCTCACCATAAGTGTTCTTCGATTCGTACAGGTAGTCGCAACGTGCCGCGCGGATGGGAGGATGGTCAGCGTGCGGCACCCCAGATGGGTCAAGTCCGTATTGTACTAGCGTTTGCTATGGCAAATGTATTAGGATACTATGTTAAATGGCATCTAAGATATCCTAAGATAGATTGCCAATCATAGATTGTTTTTTTGTTCAACCTATGGTTTGACGATGTTGAAGAGTGTTGGGTGGGATGGATACATGCAGATCCTAGGACATGAGTTTGTGGTCAAACATGACAAAGTGTGCCTCAAATTAAATCGAACAGTGTGCACTTGGACCCAAGCCCAAATGTGTACATCTTCAAAAATGCACATCAATTTCATGAGTTCTACAGTTTTTTTTAAATAATAATAATCCACAAAATAGATAGAAAAGAAACATCCTATTGAAATAGTGGTAAATCAACGTAATTTGTTCGAAATTTATTGGGGGTTCCTATAGTTATGGCCATTTATGAGTTCCAAGATGTTATAAGTATATATAACACCATTTATGCCATTTATAAGCAGTTATAACTCATAGCCATGGCCATAACTGTAAAACTATGTTTTGTCGTTTCGGAACAGGGCTTGACCTTATCTTATCGACACTTCCTGTCAGCCTCGCAGCTGCCAGGAAGTGCAGAGACCTACACGTCTAAATCTCAGTGCGGAAGATTTCGAACTCGAAGATTCAGACAGGAAACCCCCAATTTTGATGGTAAAAAACATGGTTTCCGGTGAAGATTTTCCCTTAAGCCAATCCTATGTCCAAATAATGTCAATGAACGTGTTGAAAATGATCAAAATTTACTTCATTGAAATAGTTGATGATTAAGACAACATGTCTTACACTTCATTCAATAGTCAATGAACTGTATGAACTCATCAACTATTGTCGGAAGCAGATTGAGATTTCTGAGAACATGAACGACATGAACAATTGCTGAGAAGCTATCCAGTGAATGTTGTATGGTATGTCACTCAGGTTTTGGGCTTGTTGACATAGTTGTTCATGTTCCATCCATCACCGGTGATTCTTCCATCGGCAGGTTTTTTCAGGGACCAACTGTGTGAGATCTGCGGGGTTAAACAAACATATAGCCATGGAACAACGGATTTTTTGTGTGTATTATGGTTGTACCCGAAAATTGGTGGATGTATTTATTTGTCACGTTTAATGCATATACTTTCCCTGGTCATGTTTTAGTTAAGGAATTCTATGTGTTTCTCAGTCGCGTGACCCAAACCTGCTTGGAAAATCCCGAAAAAAACGGCAAGGGATGGCAATGGGCCTCCACGTTTGGAAGCTGGATGTCAGTTGTATCACTAAACCAAGCCATTCTGGGGTCAAGTTTTGCAACTTGTCCACTGAGCAAATTGCATTTGTTAACCTTTATAAGTCTTATATTCGTTGCATGTTGATTAAATACACAAGTGTTCTCAGTTGAATCCAAGTATTCATTGGTTAGATCCCAAGTTTTGTTCCTGCAGTCATCTTTGATGCTCGAATCCCAAGAATATGCCGTAATTTTCCGTGAATTCTTCATAATTTCGATGTCTTGTGTAGCTAAATCCCAGTTTGCATTCCCATGACGGATCCGGCTGGTGCTGGTATATATGCTAACATGACTGGGGTATTTCTTGATGGTTTCTATGGCACACCAAAAAAATGGCAGCACCGTATGGCACACCGTCATGGGATTGGTTAAATCCCACATGTGAAGCGATGGGATTTCGGGATTTATCCCCCGAATTTGTTTGAAGCGAAAATCTGACCCCCAAAGCATGGTCTCGGGGGGTGTTTAAGATATTTTAAGATCAGTCCCCACTATCTCTGTTATAATTCCTGTTTTCATATTATGGGGATAACAACATATTTGTCAATGGAATGGTTTAAGGGAAAATTTACTGGTTTAAGCCCCATATTTAATGGGGAAATCTATGGTTTCCGGTTAAGATGTTCCCTTAAACCAATCCATTGAATTTGATTTGGAGAAAACTACTTTTCAAGAGACCAATATCAACTACCCTCTGGTAAATATACAAAAAGCTATTGAAAATGGCAATTTATAGTGGATTTACCCATTGAACATGGAGATTTTCCATAGTTTTTTGTTAACGTTTACCAGAGGGTATGTTTACCAGAGGGTAATGTGCAATATAGCAATCGAATCCCATGAACTTGCTGAGGCGAGCTTCACCAGCACCTCGAAATCAATTGGCGCGTACCGGGGTAGCGGGCGTAGCGGGCGTAGCGGGCGTAGCGGTTGGCGAATGTCTCCATAGCTTTACGGGTAAATCTTGGTTTGATACTGTATTAACATGGATTAACTAGCACAAGAATGAGGTATGTTTTCAAATCTTTGAATGAAAACACAAGAAAGGACAATGAAGTTCAGCATGAACAGAGTCGGTCAACTGGTTGGTAAAACAGCATATGTTCCAGGGCAGGGTCTCCTTAGGGTATCTAATATGTGGATATAATATATATATATACATACATATATATATATGTGCGGGTACTCAAACGAGCCATTTACAAAGCAGTGGTTTATCATTCTGGATAATGCACTGCGATCTTAGTCAACGATAGCAAAAGTCCTGATTAATCTCATTGGTGCATTGGTGGCTTATGGGTGAAGATTGTGAAACCACCGAACATGACCTACTCAGCTGGACCATGGAATTGGTGAGATTGTATCCGATATATATATACATGATTATATGGAGGTTTCCATAAATGGGGGTACCCAAAAAATAGATTGTTTATTATGGATCCTTTCAAAATGGATGATTTGGGGGTACCCCCATTTTAGGAAACCTCCATATCCCCCAACACAACTGGATACAGAGTCCAGCTACCAACCAGTGAACAAATCCCATGGCCCATCTAAGTATGTCACTTAATGTCAACCCGAGTTAATAGAACATGTGGTGAAGAGCATGAGAGGCCCAAGTAAGGCAAGTTACATCGACCTCACTGGCGAAGCTTATCATAGATGATGCTTAAGATTAGAATGCTATCCACCCTCTGTTTGTTTCCATAGCTATGGAAAATTACGCATTTATGGATGGTTTGCGATGGTTTAGGTTTTCCTATAGAATATTGAATTTGTTCATTGCTACTATTTTCAATAGCCAGAGGGTAACATATTCAAACATAGCCTTAAACATATTTTTCCGTTGGGTAACCCAACTAAGTCCAACTATCTCCTTTTTTTCGGATGTTTCGTGTTTAATCTTCTGACCCTCGCCAGATCTCCCTGATTTGATGTGTCCGGTACCATTTCAACTGGATTGATGTCCCTGACATCCATTTTTTGGCAGGATGAAATCCGGACATCCAATTCCGATGAAATACGGTTTTGATTAGTCAAATTCATTCAAATTCACAAGATCCCATGTTCTTTGTTTAGTTCACTTTACCATGAAATTCCTATCCATTGAAGATCGCGACGTGCTGTGACCTTCCAATTGAATGGTCTTTGCCATCACCATCATCACCCCAGTCTTGCCACAGACCCAAATTCAGAATTCGTTGGTGAAATCCGTATGATGGAGAAACAATCCTACACCAAGACGTGGTGTATCCATGTGTACCCTGTGGTAAACTAACATCGCTATGGAACATTACCATTTTTGACAGTTAAATCAACTATTTCTATGGGCCAGCTATTCAATAGCTATGCAAGCAATTACCAGAGAACTCCCCAAGAAATCCCAAGAACTCCTATGAAACCATGTTTGATCCCTATAAATCCCTATGAAATCCCCAATAAATGCTTATATATCCCGTGACTTTCTAGGACTTTCAACATGTTTCAACCTAGGTGCAGCAACATCCCCATGACATGTCCGAGCTGTGGAGCCGTCTCAGGCCGCGCGGGACTCCACTCCCAGTGCCAAGGCTTCGACCCCAGGCGACGCGTTGACGTTGACTCGGGCACCAGCAAATTCCGGATGGGACCCCCTAAGATAGCATTCAGTTGGTGACTATAACTCCAATTTCACGTGTTGGTTTTTGTTGGTGATATATCCAACTAGTTTTCATGGGGTTTAGTCATCTAAATACATGGGATTTATGGGAGATCACTTGATGTAACTATCTATGGATGGGATTGATTTGCAAAATTGGATGGATTGGATTGATGGAGTAATGGGATTGGATCATTGATTCCCCACCTGCCAGGTGAGGGTTGTTAGATTTTATCAGAGCGCATGCCCGCCACTTCCTCCTCCTCCGCCTCCTCCTTCTCCTCCTCCTCCTCGACTAGCTGTCCTCCTCGCCCTCCTCCTCGCCTCCGCCTCTTCCACCTCCACTTCCGCCGTGCCAACCTTGCCAACTCGTCGCCAAGCTCTTCGCCAACTTCCCAGCTCAGTGCGCACTGCTGGACGTCAACCTGCGAGCTGCCCAGCTCAGTGTGCACCGCTGGACCTCAACCTGCGAGCTGCCTAGCTCAGTGTGCACCGCTGGACCTCAACCGGGGACCTGCCCAGGTCAGTGTGCACCGCTGGACCTCAACCTGGGACCTGCCCAGCTCAGTGTGCACCGCTGGACCTCAACCTGGGACCTGCCCAGCTCAGTGTGCACCACTGGACCTCACTCCCAGCTCAGTGTGCACCGCTGGACCTCAATGGCCAGATAGAATGCCAGAAGAAATGCCAGATAGAATGTCAGATAGAATGCCAGAAGATATGCCAGATAGAATGCCAGAAGATATGCCAGATAGAATGCCAGAAGATATGCCAGAAGATATGCCAGAAAATATGCCAGAAGATATGCCAGAACGTATGCCAGAAGATATGCCAGAAGGTATGCCAGATAGAATGTCAGATAGAATGCCAGTAGGCATGCCAGATAAAGTGCCAGAATGTTTGCCAGATAGAATGCCAGAAGATTTGCCAGATAGAATGCCAGATAGAATGTCAGAAGATATGCCAGAAGATATGCCAGATAGAGTTCCAGAAGATGTGCCAGAACAGATTGCAGAAGATATGCCAGATAGAATGCCAGAAGGTATGCCAGATAGAATGCCAGAAGATATGCCAGACGAAATGCCAGAAGGTATGTCAGATAGAATGCCAGAAGATTTGCCAGTAACAACATGTATAAATGTCATGGTGGGGATAACTCGAAGTAAAGTAATTGATAGATGTTGTTGTTGTTTTTTTAATGCCAGCCAAATATGAGATGTAATTGGGGATTTGATATATGAATCAATGGAGATTCAGTAGGATTAATGGCACATATGATATTTGATGTTTCATTCGAACAAACATGGACATATTTGAGAATCTTCCAGGAATTGTCTGACTGGAATAGTTGAGGATATTGAAAGATATGTCCAACCAAATCTATCAGTGAACAGACAGTAGAATGGTTCGTAAAAGGGTTTATATCAACGAATCAATCAATGAATCAATCAACCAATCCATCAATCAATCAATGAATCAATGAAACAACGAATCAATCAATGAATCAATGA